TGTCTTAGAGCTCAGACGTAGAACTCTGAGGGTTAGAAATATTCAAAGAAAAAATTGTTTATCAGTTTGAAACAACAAATACAGTTGTTTTATCAGTTTCAAACTAGAAATACAACAACAATTTTTATAGAAATTTGAGCTATGTTTTGAGCTATGTTTTTGTTGACAAAAAGCTAATCAACTAATCATCAAAAAAGCTAATCAAAAAAGCTAATCAATCAAGCTAATCAACGCCAAAAAAAATAAATCCTACCTTTTTTTCCAAGAGCATAGAATAATGATAACTCAAAAACTAAAGAAGTTATTTAACTTTAACTTTAACACCAAACTTTAACATAAAACATCAAATTTATAAATAGATATAACAAGTACCGTTTAATAAACTTTTGCCATTGCTATGAAAGAGAAAATCTGGTGCAAATGTGTCAAAGAACTTTCCACTCATGCATAATTCTCTCAAAATTTCAGCAACAAAGCGAAAATCATCGATATTTGCATGCAGTTGAATCATTTCGTCAACAACAACGCCCCAAAAGTTGGCGAAGAAAAGAGAGAAACTTTTTCTTATGCCAAAAAGAAAAAAAAACGTCGAAATGTTGTGCTTCTCGATTTCTCTTCTATTTGCCCAACTGTCCCCTCTTTTCCCTTTTTATTTTTCACTATCCCAAAAATCCCTTCCACTCAACACAGATTGAGATGAAGTTGTCAAAAAAGACACACCACTTCTTTTTATCCATTCTTTTCATCCATTCTTTTTACCCCTTTCACTCACTTCTTAACAAGTGTTGTCTAAGCGAATGTTTTCTTGTCTTCGTTGTGATCAATTGACACTTTGAGCTTGACAATTAGTCTTATTTTTTCTCGACAATTAATTCTCTGAATTTAAACGAAGAATTTCTCATCTACGAAGCTTAAAAATTAGGCTTTCTATCAATATTTGTCTGATCTTTAGATAAATCTAAAAAGTACCCTAGAGTCTCGAGTATAAGTTCTGCCTTAATACATCGCCGAAACGAAGCTCGAAGCGGTCAAATTTGCGAGGAAATTTGGAACGAACGCGGCTGCGATCGAATTTGAAATCGCCGAACAGATGATTAACCGCTGGAAACAAGCTGAGCCGGCACTGATGAGTTCACCAAAAAAAAAATCGAGCTTTCCGAGGATTGAGGGCAAAATGGCCGGATGTGGAGAAAGATCTGAAGGCATGGGTTCTGGAGAGGCGATCAAAACAACGAGCTGTAAATGAGCTGTAAAAGCAAAAAAGTTATGCTGCAGCGGGGTTCGACACACCGCACCGGAGACAGCCGTCAATTTGCATGCGAAAACCAAACAGAACTTATACTCGCGACTTTAGGGTAACTGGTTTAATTACCCAAATTGAACAGATTTAGAAGTTTTTGGATCTCCAGATTAATCTGGAGATCCAAAAAAAGCTTAGGCTTAGGCAAAGATATCTCCAGATTAATCTAGAGATCTCTTTGCCTAAGCCTAAGTCTTAAAAAGATTTCTAGACTGGCTTAGTTACCCAAATCGACTTACAATCAGCTAACATTTTCTTCCGATATTGTCAGATGCCACTTTTTAGCATTAAAGCCAGCTAAAATCACAAAGTTGACGTTGACTAAATGAAAAAACAAGTAGACAAAGGAAATGTATATGTTTAAAAACTAAGAATTATGTGAAATTGTGAAAGAGATCTCTTCTTAAGTATCCCCCTTGTTCTCAGGTTATTGCACAAGGAAAATGGGTCTATTTGGGGTTCTCCCAATTGACATGTCAAGACAAATTTTCTTTCGATATTGCGCCCCATATTGCTCGGATTTGGATCTCCTCAAAGACAAAAAGCAAGCTCAGATTAAATAAAAATACTAGAATACGATAGTTCTTCCTAGAGCATCTTTTAGAAAAAAGCTAGGGTTACGGAATAAAATTGGACAACTAGATACTTAGGTTCAGAAAACAATGCAATTGAAGAGCTAAAGAAAAGCTAAAGCCAAAAAACGAATGAATCTATTGAGTGAAAACTTCGACACTTTTTTCTTTCTTTCTTTCTTTCTTTCTTTCTTTCTTTCTCTCTTTCTTTCTAGGATTGCTTATCAAGGTTGGAGTGTGTATGAAAGAGATTGAGAGAGTGAATCAAAGGAAAAGGACGTGTCATTTCCATAAACCCTTCCCATCTCTTTTTTGGAAGGACCCAATGATCACAACAAAATCATGCACTCTTGATAAGGGATTTGGGTATTGATTGATGAAAGAAATAGAAATTGATCTGGCTATTTCCCCCGCCAATTTGCATGTAAAACAAAATTAGCATTTAAAAGTTGACGAGGGGGAAGTCAAAAATTGGCTCGAGACTTGTGACTTTTCCCCTGCCAACTTTAGAATTAGAATATGGAAAAAGAAGACTAATTCAAAGCGACAAGTTCTTTTTTATTCTTTTACGCAAAGAATTTGGGCTTTATAGAAAGTTTAAATGTTAATTTTGGGCTTTATAGAAAGTTTAAATGTTAATGTTTCGTTTGTCTATGCTAATTGTTCAGTCTACTAAATCAGTCTCCTAAATCAGTCTACTAAATTTGCATCTAACAGTACCGAGGAAAATAGAGTATGTAGGTAGTAAAAGATTCAGTTTGAAAGAAAATTAACGCAGATAGATATCATTAAATTCTTTACTTCAAGCGCCTGATATTTCCCCAAATGATTTCTCTAAAAACCTTGCACACATATGAGTGTTCATGATCGAAATCATACTGTAATCATATTGTTCAGATATTTAGTTATCAGACTTCTAGTTAAACTAGAAGCTAAACAACTAAACTAAGCTGACAATGAGTTAATAATGTTCAGTTTAAACGTTTTAAGTTTAAGTTTAAGAGTTACAATAAGAACTTTAAGAACAAGAAGAACAGTAAGAGTTGTCTTTTGGGTACAGAACTACAGTTAGAACTGGAGCTTCCTGGAGAGTAAACGTACTTGGATAGGTTTTTAAGTTTAAGTTTAAGTTTAAGTTTAAGTTTAAACGACTGCTTCAAACCCTATTCACGATAGTTTATTCTCTTATGCATCTCACAAATGATTCATGTAATGAAGAAAATGATCTAAACAACTTTTTTATGAATCACGTCTCTTTGCACAATGAACAAGTGCGTTTTTGTTAAAAGAAAAGACTCTAGAAAATATTCTAGAAAGTTTCAAAGACCCAGAGAGTTAAAAATTGAGCATTGAAGTGTTAACAAGTGCGAACGCCTACTTCTTGACACCAAAAATTGAATTGTGCCAGAAGTTTCAAAGCACAAAATGCGGAATGGTTTTAAATACTCGTCAAGTAACTTTGGCTTAGTCAAGCTTTAAGATAAAACTGGTTTTCAAAGCTTTAAGATAAAACTTTCTTCTGAAACTTCTTGAGATAGACACGCGATCTAGACACAGCATATTCATATTTAAAGAAGAGAGAAAACCCGAAGAAAGTCTAGTCAGAAGAAGATTCGAGGATGTGGGAATTCGATTCACACACAAACAAAGAGAACACCAAAACATATCGAAACCTATCTTTAAATCTTGTTTAAAGATACGAAACCTATCTTTAAATCTAACTATGAGCTACTCATGTTTATTCTGAGATATCTTTAAAGCTAATATCAAAATCATCATGCTAGTGTAAAGGAAGTTAAATGAAAGCCAGCAAAAAAAAACAATGAAACATGTGAAAGTCAAATCCAGGTACTCAATTGCGTAAATTCTTGACCTGAAACTTTACATTGAACTCTTTTTCCATGTGAAGCCTTGAAATGTCGGAAATGTGTATGTAATCCGAGCCGATTACACACACATAGATGACGCCGTCTCCTCTCACAATTCGACACCAATCCAAGCGCTTTCTCACGAGAAAAGAAATCATTGAGTGAGATTATGAGTAACACAAAGAACAAAGAAGAAAACAAAGATATTCGAAAAAAAGAATTTGCATTATACAAAGGGTTTCTTCGAACTGAATTTGAACCTAAACTCGAAACCCAAAAAATGACGAGGAAATTGATTTGTTTCGAACAAAGTCAGGAAAACAAATGAAACAAATGAGCACACTCTGTGTTTTCACATTGAAACTCGTTCTTTTGATTCACTTTATCCACCCAAAAGCAGAAACATACCCTTTCTGGTGCACCGAATTCCTCATTTTTCCACACAAAAACGAGTTGGTGCCGACGAAAAAAAAAGCGAGATTTGAGGGCACCAGAGGGGGTGCATTTACATTTTTGAGCACAAAGTACAGCTTGGAGAATGAGTTTTGGACAGAATAAGCCTCAAAGAAAAGATTCTTTGTAGAATTGTTCTTCAAGAAGTGACCAGAACGGTAATCAAATTTCATTTTACGATTTCCCGAAAGTAAGTCAAATATTCAAGCTAGAGGGATACTAAAAAATTCAGCATTTCCATTAGAAGGGGACTTTTGAGAAGATAAAGAAAGGGTTGAAGGAGAAAGAAAAGAAAGAGGCCAGGTGCTTCTGGGTGCTCGGGGAGACAATGGACACAACGGGAAAAGGGGGAACCACCATTCAGAAAAGTTTTCTATTCGGAATTAAAAAGGATTTAACCAGCTAGATTCTGAAGAGAAAGAACAATTTCTTGAAAATCGTCAACTTTTCAATGTTCGAAATTTTGGGATGCATAAAGTTGTGGGAAAACATTTCTGGTAGAAGAGACTTTTTGGGCATTTGAGTGAGTGAGAGAAGGACGATGACGGAAATTGCGTTACATTCGGCTTTTTGGAGGAGAGAGCCCTATGAGAACATGTCCCCAGAAAAAAGACACGAAGTAAATCCCCCCACCCCCACTACTTCCCTCGCAAAACGGATCTCGATGGTGGCCATGATCATTTTTTCAACTTTTTAGCACTAAACAGTACCCTTGTAAAATTCTACCAATTTATTAAACAAAAGTTTTTGCGAAAAACATTAAAAAAACAACGATTAACCCATGCAAATATAAAAAAATTTAAACTATGAAACAAGTGAATCGGGTTTATGTCTCGGCAGCCTTTCCTTCTTTCGTTCGGCCTCGTTCTTCTCGACGAGTTCCATATCGATTTCTCGTAGTGGCACAGGCTGCGAAATCACATGGCCAATTCTTCTTAGGTGCCGGCGATCACCTTTTTCAGCGCAAGCATATCGGACAACTCCCTAAACAATTTTGATTTCATTTACAAGCCAAAGAACACTAACGTCTCGAAGGATTTGTGTCATCCGAATTGACCTGCCCACCTTGCCTTGCACCACTTCGAACGGCCTTTCGTTCTTAATTTGAAAAAAATTGCTTTACAAAATCCAAACTAACCCTTACTCCTCGTTCCATCAATTCATTCCAACGGTGCTCTTTAGCGGCCTCTTCGTCAATCTCCTTCTCAAACGAAGCTCCAGCATCCGTCATTGCTCCTGCGCAAGATCGTGCTCTAAATTTCAAATTTTTTTTACCTTTACAAAAAACATCAATCATACCTGCGTCTCTTATAAGGCATTGCCAGAAATGGTGACATAAGGAATTGAAAGTATCCATGCACAGCCTAAATCGCAAATTTCTATGCACCATATAGCCATAACCCACTTGAGCTTCCTTTTTGATCACATTCTTCTTCACGGAAGGTTTTTCCTTAACGATCAATGTGTCATTTTCCTTGAGAAGACCTGCAGGCACTAAAATTTTTTTTTATTTAGTAGCAGTAACAGTGAATTATCCCGTACCAGCTTTAGGTTTTTCAGCCATAACCTTTTCCTTCTTTGGTACATGTGGAGGTGATTGCTTCTTGAGTTTACTCCCTTGGACTTGTGGCAAAGCATCAAGGACTAAATGACTTGTGAAAGGTTTTAAAAAGGCCATTACGTATGGTCTTGCGACGTTGTGACCAATTCTGTGGTAGTTTACAGGATGACGAGTTTCTGTTCTGGATTTTAGGCTCACTTTGATTTCTAAGAGTAAAAACGTAGATTAAGTAAGAGTAATGACAGACTTCTCAGCTTCCATCCCGGTGAGAATCTTTTCAAGAGGGTCGATGTGGAATTTTGGCTTTATCGGTTTCTTCTGTGGTGGAGGATAGCTGGTAGGAATCCCAGATGATGTAGGCCCATCCTTTTTTTGTTGAACTCCGATGCTTGGCCCAGTTTCCTAAAATAATGAAGATATTTTAATCATGTATGCAAAAATTACTATTTCTCCCATAAGACCAATGTCTTCGCCATTTTCATTCTTGTAAGCTCGATCGACCTTTTTCTGGCTCTCTTTTCTTTCATTTGGCCTCGTTGCAGGATGAGTGCCGACATAGATTGTGCCATCAGCCGATTTTCCGTCTCCACCTTTGCCATTCGAGTTGCTCTAAAAATAAAAAGTCAATATGTAGCCATGATCCGCAAAACGCCGAAAAAAGCTATAAGTGCAACTCTTACGGAGGCTAATCCAGCTTTGAGCTTCTGTAGCTTATTCTCCAAAGATCTCTTTCGTGGTAGTTCTTCGTCCTAAAACAAGAAAAAACAGCTTTGTTGCATCCAAGGAACGAACGCTAGAAGACGAGTCAGTCAGTGCACACAATTGCCTCCAAGTACTTTCATTTTCCTTCGTCTGACGCGCTTTTATCTCATGATAGCGTTCCTTAAAAAAATTTTTCCAGTCTTTGTTTCTCAAATAACTCACATGCGCTGGACGTTCCCAATAAAACGATGGTTGAGTAGCAGTCCCGTCACTTTCATCATTCTAAAAGGAGTTTATAATCGTTATATCGTCAACATAACCAACCGTGAGCAACTTGACTTTCTTAGCTTTCTTGCTCTGTTTTCCAGCTTTCCGTTGATCCTAAAGCAACCAAAATAAAAACAGACACCAAATAACTACCGTTGATGACGCTAAAGAATCGGTGCTAATTTCTCCACTTGCCCCTTTCAGACTATTCGCTTTTGCCTCTTTGGCTGGCAACTCTCTTAGGCGCCCCTAAAAGATAATGGAATCATAAAAGATAACACTAAACTTACAGCCGCAGAAGTCTCCGGCTCATCAAAATCCATTCGTAAATTGTCCACTTTCTCAGCATTTTTATCCTCACTAGATTTGAAGTAAAAACAAAAACTTAATCGCGCTTACCCCAATTGACTAGGCGGTTGAGTCATAAACACGGCGTTGGCATTCAAGTCAGGCTCATTGAAGGTGCCGATTTTACTCACTTCTTGTACCCATTCTAAGCGAAATGTTAAATTTTAATGTTTTTTGGTTTTTAAATGATAAATCAAACTACCTTCAAAACGGTTGTTTAATTCGGTGTAAACTTTTGCTGGAAGGCCGAACTTCTCCAAGGTCTCAAGATTAGCCTGACCTAAAAGTAATAAAATTACCTAATAAGAAACTGTGACCAACCTGCAAATTTAGCTTTCAAGGTTTGATTGCTTCTTATATTATGCAGCTTCTGATACTCGACCAAACATTCGTTCGTCGACGCTTTTCCTTTATCATTTATCTGTAATTAAACGAATATAAATCAAATATAAATTATATGAAACCAACCGTGAAGTTGCTTTCGGGCTCCCATGTATCGTCTTCTGGACGATATCCTGCCCAGCGTGTCTAAATACAAACTTTGAACAAAACGTCTTTGTTTTCCTGACCCTGTAAACAAATTTGTTGCATAAATCGCCTTTCTCGAAATTCGGGACGAAATTTCCCATAATTTGATCGGTGGCAGGATGTCGACTTTTGAGAAACATCATTTTTCGAAAGTACATGTCGTCAAAGCTAAAATCAAAGTTATCATAAAAGCGAATAACTCTCTATTTATTATGTTTTATTGAAAGTATTTCAAATTTCAAAGTAGCAAAAACCGCCACCGTGCATGATCCACAATCTTTTCGACTGTATATTCGACATTTGCGCTCGTGTCCTCCATGGTGAATGCACTACCAGATTTCGTCTAACGTTGTAATACGTCAACTAAAAGAGAAAGTGGATGATTGTTAAAACTAAAAAATAACAGGTTTAAAGCAAAAGAGGGTGGTATGTTGCTAAAAGGGTACTTGTGGAGTATCCGGGGGGGTCTTTCAATATCCGGGGTGGTAAAATTTTAAGATCCGGGGTAAACAAGATGCACGAGTAATGCAAGAGCATAAACATAAACCAAACATAATAATTAAATAAATTTGTGAAGTACAACAGTGACTATTTGTAACAGTGACAATGAATACTACTTGTAAAAATCTATCGAATTTACTTCTAGGCCAGGAGGCCAAAATCAACACATAAAACTACCCCAAAAAATGGTTCTGAAGAAAAAAAAGTGACCCACCAACTAGGATAATATCCACATTCCTAATAATGACATAAATAATTTTGTAGAAGTTACGTTTTTTGATCGAGTATCACCTCGATTCACGTAATCACCTCGAATAGATTGAATCTCTTTACATTTGAAGGGAATTTGTCACCAAATCACTTAAGCGGCTGAATATCTTTAAAAGGGGTCGTATATAAAGTATATAAAATTTTATCCCACCGGATCTTAAAATTTTACCACCCCGGATATTGAAAGACCCCCCCCGGATACTCCACAAGTACCGTTAAAAGTTGCGAAATGTTGTGTGGAACCATCACCAATCGATTCAGCATAGTCAAAAACCCCTGAGCGCAAAAAATCAGCTCATTTGGCAAAAAAAAATTTGTCCCCCCTCCAATTACTATAGCCCCCAAAAAAGCTTTTGCTTTAAAACTGTTATTTTCAGAATTTGGTAGCACAATAGCTATAAAACTAGTTAGTTCTACCAATCCAGGCCATCTACGTTTTCGGGTTTCGATTTGGTTTTACATGGTATACACAAAAAGCTGGGTAAACTCTTTTTCAAAAAAGTTTAGGCAATAGAAATAAAATTTACGCTAAACACAGATAGTCGGCGATTGACAGCGTTTCGTAAAATGAGTTTGTAAAAACTGCGCCAACTGAAAGTGCACCGTGTACGAGACGCGCCAATTTGCAAACAGCGATATGGGGAATGGGAATGGGACAAATGCAATCTTTTTTTGCGCACCTTTTCGCTCACTATAAGAAGGACTGCCCTGGGCCCACAGAATCGTTTTTAGCCCCACTTTTTGAAGTTTTTTTGTTTTTCTGTTGGTAGACTTACCAGAATTGCTTTTTTTAGTTGCGAATCGACGAATCGACTTCAAGAAGCTCGGCAGATGACAACAACTCGACCAAGGTACACTTTCTTTTTGCGTTTTACGCCTATAAAGTTGCTTTTGCATCCTATTTAGAATTTTTTCTTTCTACTTTATCCTCTAATTAATGTTCGCTTTTAGAGTTTTGTCGGACACGCCTCGATCCAACAGGAATAAAGAAGTGTGTTATGACACGAGCGGCTTCGAATTTCGGCTTCACAAGAACATTCAGATCAAAGGACCGATTTACAGGTACTAATTTATAGTTTATTTTTTAATTTTAATTTTAAAATTTATGAAAGTGAAAACTCTGTTTCTCACAGACACTTACAAAAAAATGTGGTCGTCTTGGCAAATAGTCAGCTCGAAACGGGTGCATTTTTAGCGAAGGTCACCACCCACATATCCTGTTGATAAATGGAATGTCTACAGTCGTGTTATCCAACCTCAGCAACTTGGTAATGCGACAAGGCGTTAATTCTCTATTGAAGGTTTGTTGGTAACTTCGGTATAATTTTTAGTTATCTTTAGTCTTTACCAGCGAATCCACACCCTGGCTACGTTGTGTGTCGGCTCTATGAAGAAATGCGATCAATTGCTTGAAGCTTGCTACGACTCGCAACCTTTCGTTGGCACAACAATATCCTCAATACCTCAAAAGGTTATTTTTCGCCAAGATCAACGCTTTCACGCTGTTTTAAATGATAGAAAAAATATTGCCCATGTTCTACATTTGTCTCGATTATTGCCTCATATTGTATCACGTTAGTTTTTACTTTTATGTATCGCTTTGTTGCTTTTAGCTCTAGCTTTTCTTCTGATATATGTTATTTGTTGAAAGATTTGTTGTTTTTATGTTGTTTTGATTTACTGCTTTGTGCTGAACAAAATGTATTCCGGGAAACACACCAACCAAACAATGTATACACGACAAAAATGATAAGAGTAACGCTAAGAAAGGAATGCTCGAGAAAGTTTACACGTAATGAGGTATTGGCTAGAAGATTTCAAGAGGACAAGTTTAGGTTTTGGGAGAAATATCCAAGTTTTAGTTAGGCTTATCAAGCGATTGAGTGTTGAGAACTATCTAATAGCATTTAAGCTTTCTATTTCGATTATCCCTTGGGTGAATCGTATCGAAGCCCTTGAATGTGCGAGTAGATCTCGTCCATCCTGTACGATTCCAATTCGGCTCCAGTTGCAGTTTCCTGAATTTGGATTTGATTTGAAAGAGTAGCACGTCCAAACAATTGGCCAGGTCTACAGTAAAGCAAGGCAAGACAAGGATTTGATCTAGCTTAGCCATTAGTACACCCTGTTTCTCATCCAACAAGCCTTTCACGAACCCGACAAGTGAGAGCGATGGCGGAGGCTCGGAGTGGTGGATTCCAAATTGTGTACGTGCCTGGCTCCAGCTGGAGAGTATCGTAACCCTGAAGTTTTTATAAGTTGACCAACTGATTAGATTCATAATCCTACTTACACAAATATCTTGTCATATCAAAAATTCACCTTGTAAACAAAGATGCACGACTCGGTCTTGACTCTAGTCTTATTCTCGCCATCCATCACGCAAGTCTGCTCAATCTTTGAGTCTTTCGTCTTCAGATACCTAGATTTATTGTTAACTTGGTTTCTTTTTCTATTTCTTACCATCTACATCCAATCACTCGATCCATCATCGATCCATCCGAGTCGGGAACGTGACAACCGACTGCTTTGCGGCCGAACGAATCGGGACGGATCTGGGATTAAGATTTGGTTGATTTGTTAGCTTTTATGGCTTCTGCGTCAGCTTTTATGGCTTCTGCGTCAACTTTTCCTTTTCTTACCTCACACTGGAAGACAGTTCCATTTTCTCTGTACCGATCGCCGTCATAAAGTCTTTTCTCTTTCCACAAACAGCCAACGCAAACTTTCTGGCAGCGGCCTTTGTTCGATTTGCAGTAGTACACGTATTCGCCATCCTGAAAGTTGTATTGGATTGTATTGGATTGTATTGGATTAAAATTCTAATCTCTCAAACTAATCCCCTAAACTTGTATTACCCATTCGATGTAAAATCTTAAAAAATCACTGCCCACTTTTTTTTCTGAATGATTGATAACCTAACTGGGATCAGCAAAGTTAGACTTTTCGCAAGTGTTTCCGCAAAAAAAAAAAGCCGACCCGTTCCACTTATGTGATTATAAGCGCTTTCCCGCAAAAACGTTAACAAAAGATAGATAGAGAAATAGGGGAAAACTGAACGGAAATCCGTCTAATCGCTAAAAAAATGAGATGAGATGAAAACTGACCACAAATTGCTCGCCGACTTTAAAGTGTTGACCCCGGTGCACACAACCGATGCTACACATAGAGACACTGCCGTTGAACTTGCGCTGACACTCGTATCTGAAAAGTTATGGTAGTTTATGGTAGGAAAGGGTTATAGTAGTTTTGAGTCTGTAGCTTTGTACTAGTTTGGAGGGCTCTTCGGCTTTTCGGCATGCATAATTGTAGCATACGCAGTTTAGTCAGATACGACTAAACTGAGCTAAAGCCATTTAAAGGATTTCAAGCGCAAGCTAGATTCTTTTATTCTTTTATTCTTTTAAACCAACCTGTAATCTCCTTCATCATAGCTCTCGCCAAGAGCGATTCGTCGTGAATGATCGTGGGTCATACAGCCGATCACCTCGGCTTTCAGGTAAGGACCGTCTGGCTTGCACTCCCAGTAGTAGGTGCCCTGATTTGAGCTTATAAGTAGAGCTTATAAGTAGAGCTTATAAGTAGAGCTTATAATTAGAGCTTTGTACTGTAGCATAGGTCAAGATTAGCTTAATACAGTCTGGCTCAAAGCCGTTTCTCAAATCTATCGTACACTAGAACTCATCCTGAACTTTGAACTAGTCATATTTCTGTCGTACAGTTCATAGAAGATTTTGAAGCTCAACTCACCGATGGATCGGTCCATTGCTCGTATAGTCGATACCGTCGCCCGTCCACATCCAAACAGGCGCTCGTCTTGAACACCAAGTAGTTCTGATCGTCAATCGAGCAAGTGATCTCGTAGCTGAACTTGCAAAATTCTATCTAGGAATCTAGATATTGACTATCTTTAATTGTTGATTAAAGTTAATTAAAGTGCCCTAAGCTTTCCAAACTCCGAACCAACCCATTCTCGATAAAAGTTCCCCATAGATTGATTCGTTTATTGTCATTGGTGAAGCATCCCTCAGGCCACAGCTCTCCCCGTTTACATGTGTACCAATATTTGCCTATATCGAGTGTATCGAGTATTTCTTCACAAGTGCATTGCATACCTCTATCAACTCTCTCTCCATCATTCCACCATTGTGCTGGTCGTCCGTTTCCCGAGGTCCAGCATCGTGAACGAGATGCCATATCCTAAGAAGGATTTTGATAAGATAAACAGTTACCGTAATCTCTTGCTTTATCTAAAATCTCCTACATATTTATCTATTTGAGGGTATAAACTAAGAATCTCAATACTAATTGCGTAAAAGATACCCATTGTGCTACCGCCGTTGAGAAGAGAAGCGCCGTCGCGAGGGCGGACAACATTTTCTGGAATTGACGAAGATTTTATTGAAATTTATCTAACTAGTTATCTAACTAGTTGCCTAAAATTGAAATATCAATACATATATCGTAGCCAATTTGCTATTTCGCCAATTTGCTATTTCGCTAGCCAATTTGCCAATTAGATTTTCTTTTTTTCAAGGATCTATTGCCAATTGTTTCAGGATCTATTGCCAATTTCTTTGTTAAGCTGTGCCCGGAGTGCAAGTTGAAGAAGGGGACCCCAAAGAAGAGAATTGTCATCAAGCCGATCACACAGGAGCAGAACGAGCGATGCCAAGTCGATCTCATTGTCAAGTCAATCTCATTGCCAAGTCAATCTCATTGATCTACAATCGATCGACTTGACAATGAGATCGACTTGGCATCGCTCGTTCTGCTTCTGTGTGATCTCATTGATCTACAATCGGTTCCCGATTATGAACAAGTTTCTTAACAAGTTTCTTATGATATATCAAGATCGCCTAACGAAGTTCGCCATCCGGGACCACTGAAATCCATGACAATAGCAAATCGGCTATCGAAAACTTTTCAAAGCAATAGCAAAACGCAAATCGGCTATGACAATATACCTATCTAAGGTCAAACAAGTCAAAGCCAATTGTCAACTCCTTATCAATTGTCAACGACTATTGTCTACACTATCAATTGTCAACGACTACTACATATTGTCTACTCTCCAACCGCTTCTAAGGCTGAAATTTCGGGAAACAGTTCTGCTTTGTGCTTTAGCAAAAATGACAAAGACAACTTAACTTGAAACAGAAAATATTGGTTTTCATTGAAGACTTGGATATAATACTAGAGCTTGTAAGGATGCTAAAGTCATTCAAAGTACAAAACTTGATCCTACTCCTATCGGTAAGCTTTAGACAATAAAATCAATAGAATTTTGAGAAAACAATCGTTTAAAGAAATCCCATAGAGACTTTTAAAAACTTAGACAAAACTGAAAACTTAGACAAATATATGCAAATTCCAAAAAGCTCTTTAAAATGTGCCGATTCTCCGTGAAGAAACGAGCCTTTTCTAGGGCTCAAAATGGGTGTTCGAATCCGGACTGTCAAGGAGAAAAGGTCAAGAAATGGGCGGAGTTTTTGAAAGTCTTGTATTTCTTTTTGGATGATCTCTTTTGATGATCTCTTTTGACGATCTCTTTTGACTAGTTTTTCGTTTTGATTGCTTTGCTTTGCTTTGCCATTCTTTTCTTGACCGTTTTGAGGATGAAGAAGCTTTCTGAAGAAGAGAAACAAGTCTTTTCAAAAATATAAGCTCTATTTTAAGAGTTTTATGAAATAAGGGTCAGCCTTTTTCAATAAATCATTGTCAAACTGGTTAGAGATTATTTTAAGTTTATTTAGACTTATTCTTATTGATATTTAATTGAAAAAAATGGTTACAATAAAAAGAGGCAATCGGCAAGGGGCAGGCAAGGTTAAGATCAATCAAAAAAATCAAAGATCAAAAGCACTAACTCGTAATCCAATGATAATCATGCGAAACTTGTGAGTTTCTCATAAGAAAACTTTATAGTGATACAAAAATCTAATAGAAGAAGAGACAAACGTGATCTAATAGTTAGAAAGTTGGAACTTCTCAAAATAGTTTGAACTTCTCAAAATGGATATTTGGCTATTTCGCTATTTCGCGAGGTGAAGAGTGTGTCAAATGAAGTGAACGAACGAGTGATACAAGCCTTGTATCACTTATCCGTTCACCTCAATAACCGTTCCATTACTTTTTTTCCAAAATTGAGAGCATTTTTGAATGCTTTTGAACGCTTTTTCAGCTTTCAACTTATCCCTATCAATTTCACAGAGAAATCTCCTGATCTTCAGCTCAAGAGGAACCAAAATTGGAGACAGTTAATCAAAAAAGCTCTTGGATGTAAAAAAGCTCTTGGATGCTTACAGTTCATAGCTAATTTGTTGAATGATTTAGCTTTGATACAATCCCTTAGCACGATAGTCTAAAGGACTTTTGTCTGTTTCTATTTTCTAAAAAAAACGAGTCTAGTTGATTGAAAGAAAATTGTGTTTTCATTCCGGAAGTCACCTCTCAAAATCACCTTGACTTTTCGACCTTGGCTGGGGAGCATTTTCTGGGTAATTAAAGATTAACACATGCAAATCGGGTTCAAAATTTGAAAAGGTTTCAGGTCAAAGAGTTTCTTTTAATCAAAATTGGAAATCTAGGTTATTTTGTTTTTTTAGAGTTGCATGGATAGATTCTTGTTTGTCGAGGAAAACCAGATCCACTTACATAAGGAGTTTTTTTTCCTGAGCATCCCCCGCAATGACATTGTTAGTCACGATTTGAATAGCGAGAAAAAAAGCTTTAGTGTTCTTTATTTAGAAATGATTTCTGAGACTTTAAGAGCTTGGGACAATTGGTTAGATTGTTCAAGCTTGGACTACTGTAGATTGGATGACATGGAGTGGATGACATGGATTGGATTACATGGATTGGATGACATGGATTGAATCACATGGATTGGATCATCTGGATTGGATGACATGGTTTGGATGACATGGATTGGATCACCTGGATTGGATGACATGGATTGGATAGCATGGATTGGATCACCTGAGTTGGATCACCTGGATTGGATTACCTGGATTGGATCACCTGGATTGGATGACATGGATTGGATTACCTGGATTGGATCACCTGGATTGGATGACATGGATTGGATGACATGGATTGGATCAATGATCATATGTAGCTTGGATTACTGTAGACTGGGTTATTTAGCTCAGACTCTTGTAGCTTGTTCTACTGTAGCTGGATTTCTGTAGCCTGAATGACTGTAGATTGGATTACGGTAGCCTAGGTTACTGTAATCCAATCTACAGCTTATTATCGCAACCTTTTAGCACACCTTTTCAGTACTCGATTGATTACATGCTTCAGCTAGTCTAATGCGTTTTTTAAAACGTATCAATTACTTAGATCACTGTAGCTTGGGTTACTGTAGCTTGGGTTACTGTAGCTTGGGTTACTGTAGCTCAGAATCCTGTAGTCTCCTATTTTTCTATACTGTAACTTTTCTGAAGCTAGACAACTTTTCTGAAGCTCTCCTAAAAAGCTTACCGATAGACTTATGATTTGAAAAGCTCATCTTGTGACAAAATAAAACCTTTCCCAATCTCGTCTAACTGTCTAAATATTGAAAAATTTGAGATAACCCATAAATCGTTAGAGATAACCCATGAAAAAAAGCTGTTCAAACTTTTTTTTTGCCCATGGCGCCTCCGTTTTCGAAGTAACGTCCTTGAAATGGAAAGCTACTCTCCATTTTTCTTCGAGATCAAATCACAATCATTTTTGCGGTGAAAAGTTTTATAGTAAGGACAAATTTTGAAACCCGTTTTATGAAGTTGACAAGTTTAATCGGAAATGGGAAAGGCTGTGCTGTGAAGGTTCGAGGTCTACTTCAGTATCAGTACTCAGTTCAGCTTTCAAAGACCAGCACTGAACTTCCTTAGCACTGAACAAATGAAAAACGTTTTTAAATTTTCCCAACCGATTTATTATGATCAATAAGCTGTCTAACTGTTTGTTAAATCAACGTTTTCACTTTTTGAACTGAAAACTGAAAGCCAGGAAAGCCAGGAAAGGCAGGCTTAGTTCTAAAGTGTTGGAACAGCTTGAAGCTAGGTTGGAACATTGGATTAGTTACACAATTCGATCAGATCAAGCTCACTTTTGATTGGTTGAGATTGAGACTGAAGCTCAATTGAATTTCAAGCTCCGATTTTTCTAGAGGACTTAAACTCAAGAATTTGATGACAAAGAGCATTTTTCGATTTCCCTGGAGCTTTCAAAGCTTTCAAAAGCTTCCAAACAACTTTCAAAGCTTTAAAACAGCTTTCAAAAGCTTCCAAACAGCTTTCAAAAGCTTTCAAAAGCTTCCAAACAGCTTTCAAAAGCTTTCAAAAGCTTTCAAACAGCTTTCAAAAGCTTTCAAAAGCTTTCAAACAGCTTTCAAAAGCTTCAAAAGCTTCAAATTTCATTTTAAACTAGTTCTTTAAATTGATTCATTTGACTGATTCATTCCTTAGAAGTTTTGCTTTAACTAGAAGAATATACAAAAATGATCTCTCCAAAATGAACCAGACTGATCCCTTGAAAGAACTACACGAAGCTACAAACAACGTTCTCTTTCCCGCTCAACCATGCCATTCATCACTTCATCAAAAAGAAAGCCAGATGGTTTTTGAAAAAGAAAATTCAATTCAACAATAGATATTCAGCTTTTTTGAAATCTCTAATCAACAAAGCGGCTTTATGACTGAACACGAATCACTCAACTATTTCAGGGTTTGCAAAAAGTTTCAAAAACAAAAATGTTTTTGGTAATAAATTTCAGGAAAAGCTATCAAATGGTCAAGTGGATGACGAATTGCACAAATTGGCTAAAGAAACTCTAGAAAATCATGTACATTTTAAAGAAATTCTAGAAAATTATGTATATTTTAAAGAAATTCTAGAAAATTATATAAATTTTAAAGAAATACTAGAAAATAATGTAAATTCTAAAGAAATTCTAGAAAATTATATAAATTTTAAAGAAATACTAGAAAATCATGTACATTTTAAAGAAATTCTAGAAAATTATGTATATTTTAAAGAAATTCTAGAAAATAATGTAAATTTTAAAGAAATACTAGAAAATAATGTAAATTCTAAAGAAATACTAGAAAATTATGTAAATTTTGAAAGAAATTCTAGAAAATTATGTACATTTTTATGTTATTTCTTGACTAAAAATTTTCAGGACACTTCATCAACGCTAAAAAAATTGGCAGCAAAAGTAATTTGGGCAAAAGAAAGAGAGTTTTCTGAAGAATTACTTCAAAAATCCGCTGTCTACGCGGCATATTTGGAAGTTTTGGAAAAAGATCGATTTGAGGAAGAATTAGAGAAATATCTGGAAAGGTAGGAGTTAGAAAAACAATTAAGAAAGCTTAACGAGTACAAAAGACTAGTGAAAGCCTAAACGGATATGAGATTTTATCTAACTGAGTTTATCTAGGTTTTAAAATGAATATAGTTAACTTAATTGTTTAATTGTTTAGCGTTTAGGCATATAGGTTTAAGTATATAGTTCAAGAGTACAATTTTACAAAAAAGAGTAGGCTGATGGCCTTAGATGATCTTAGAAGATCTTAGATGATCTTAGAAGATCTTAGATGATCTTAGAAGATCTTAGATGATCTTAGATGATCTTAGATGATCTTAGATGATCTTAGATGATCTTAGATGATCTTAGATCACCTTAGATCACCTTAGATCACCTTAGATCACCTTAGATCACCTTAGATCACCTTAGATCACCTTAGATCACCTTAGATCACCTTAGATGACCATTTGCTTCAGCTCATCAAGTTCTAGATTTTGTTTAGATCAAGAAACGGCGACTCACTCGATCAAAATGCTCTCTTAATCTTGACAACATTTGTGCAAAGAGCGGCAAAGTTGAAAAAGATCTCGAAAGATCAAGCAAAGGGACTTTTATTAAAGGTTAATTTCTAAAGAACAACAATTCCGTTATGCTTCGTTTAGACGATTCGTTTTGTCGAATCTCGAAGTGAAGATCTCCTCCATTTACTCAAAAGTTGCATCAAGTTGATGGAAATGACGGAAAATGAGAAGCAAGAGGTGCAGGTTTCGAGAATTTTCCCCAAATTCATGTTTTAGTTCTTTGATTTCTTTTACAAAGAGCTTCCACCAGGATTTGAGTCAAAATATTATTTGTTGTCGATACTTTTGACTCAAATGGATTCGAAAAAGGTTAGTGTTTGTTTTTTTGCGCACCTGGACATTTGCGCACCTTTTTTTTGCTAGAAAAGGCCTTAGGCAAGGCCGTAGAGCTTCGAAAATATTTCCACTTAAGTTGCGGAAACTTAAGTTGCGTAGTTTTTGCCTTTTAGCCCAAATTTGACTTGTCAGCGAGGTCTGATTTGTCAAAATTCTGAATCTACGTATACGATTCCCTTATATGGAAATATTTTCGAAGCTCTATGGCCTTGCCTAAGGCCTTTTCTAGCAAAAAAAAAGGTGCGCAAATGTCCAGGTGCGCAAAAAAAAAAAAACGTCGCATTTGTCCCACCCTCTGAGTACCGTACATCTAAAAAAACCGCCAATCAATTGCCCACTATGCCCAAATTTTTGATAACAATTTTGATAACAATTTTTGCATTAACTTTATTTATACTATTGCTACAAATTCTACATTCTGTTTAATTGAACTAGCAAAAAACAAAACAGTGTAGATCTATAGGGTACTGTAGACAGTTATTAGGTTGGTGCAAAAGAAATTTCGGTCGATATAAAATGTTCTTATTTTTTTAATCTGAAGAGCTTATTTGATGTTCTTTTGTGCATTTGTACTCTTGGATATTTACTTTATTTTCGCATTTTTTCAAAGTCAGAGCTTTCACTTTTTAATTGATTTTTGCTTTAGATCATGGTGGATCAAAAGTATGTTCTGCGCACGTGTCTTCTCTATGACTTCAAAATGGGCAAAAACGCTGCTGATTCACACATCGTGATCTCTGTTCCGCCTTTGGAGAACAGGTTATCACCGAAAGATCATGCCAGCTCTGGTTTGCCCAATTCCGAGATGGTAATGAATCCCTTGAAGACGAATCGCAGGGACATCGTGCCACCGCCATCTACAACAATGAATTGAAGCTGATCCAATGCAAACAACACGAGAACTTGCCAAATATCTCCAATTCAACAATTGTACGCCATTTGGAAATAATTGGAAAGACAAATCGTAATGGACAATGGGTTCCACATCAATTGAGTGTTGAGAATCTGGGAGCACGCGTTCCGATCAGCCATATCTTGCTCCAGAAGTCGAAAAGAAGCCATTTTTTTTGAGAATATCTTGACGATGGATGAGAAGTGGATTCACTTTGATAATACTTCTCGAAAAAGACAATGGCTGAGCAAAGGTCAAGCGCCAATTCCAACTCCAAAGCCGGATTATCATGGGCGCAAAGTGATGTTGTCTTGCTGGTGGAATATCAATGGACTTGTTCATTTTGAATTATTAGAGCCCGGAAAAACAGTCGATTCATCTTATTTTATTCAACAACTCAAGAAGGTTGACGAAATTTTGCGTGAAAAAGGCCTAAATCCCTCAACTATCAACTTTCTCCGTGATAATGCTCCAGCTCACACGGCAAAAACCTCTTGTAAGGAACTAGAGAAGCTAGGATGGAAGGTCTTACCACATGCGCCGTATAGTCCAGACTTAGCACCCTCCGATTTTCACCTTTTCAGATCGATGCAACATTCCCTTGAGAATTGCCAGTTTAAGAATGCAAAAGAAGTCGAAAATTGGGTGACCAACTACTTTGCATCACAGAATCAAGCGTTCTTTGAGAAGGGGATCCGCAATCTGAAGCAACGTTGGAGGGATGTCATAGATAATAATGGTGCTTATTGTTTTAAATAAATTGTTATCAAAAAAAATTTTGGATGACTTTAATGTTTGTAAAAAAACGAAATTTCATTTGCACCAACCTAGTAAAGGCTATCTGTAGACAGTACTGTTGACAGTTAAGAAACTGTAGACTGTAGAAAGTTAAATTGAACAAGAACTGTTTTTAGATTACCATTAAAAAGGACAAATTATTTGAAGAATTACTATATTGTGCCGAATATCAGGTAAATCTTTGATGGTTGAATATTTTTAAATTCAGACAGCCTTCAGACATACTGTAGCTCGGCTTCATCCTTCGTTCTCGCATTGACTTCTGTATTCCCTGCGCTCATCAAAGAGCTCTTGAAGAGCTGTCTTTTACATGAATCTGTGTAGGCTTTTTAGGAATTTAGGAATTTAGGAATTTAATGGCAAACCTAGACCCTCGTTAACTCGACTAATGCTAAGCCAACCCTTACTGTAACTAATGTTACAATAAGGGTTGGCTATTTCACTCGTCCTGTTCTGTGTGGTTTTTGGTCTGGTTCTGTGTGGTTCTGTGTGGTTTTGCGCTGAAAGAGCGCCAACACGGTGTGGACTAAAATGGCCGGCACCTTCACGCGTAACGAAGTCTTGGGCGACGATGCGGTGCCGGTCAAAATCACCCGCCCTCTCTTGATACGACTAGTGCAACCTGGAACAGATTACTTCCGAAAAAGGGAAACGACTCCCTCTTATGAAAAAGCCCTGCGCCAGACGGCGAGCGATTACCGCACAAAGAACAGCTCTTTACAAAGGAATTTCTTTTGTTATGTAAACATTGCTCAGATGAGATATGAAGGCAAAATTGTTCGCTGAGGTTTTCAGGGTCGGGGAAGCGATCAGTGGGCTTCTTTTTGTCATACCCCAAGCAAAATCTCTAATTTGTGTTGAACTTGAGTCATTTTTCTGAATTTTGGCTAAAAATAATTGTAGAGGTAGAAGAACTTATCTATCAAAGATCAAACAATCAAAGATCAAACAATCAAAGATCTATCTATCAAAGATCTATCTATCAAAGATCTATCTATCAAAGATCTATCTATCAAAGATCTATCTATCAAAGATCTATCTATCAAAGATCTATCTATCAAATCAAATATCTATCAAAGATCAAACAATAAACCCTAAAGCCGATTTACGGTAGCTGGAACCCGATTTAGCCTTTGATCTAACATGTTGTCAGGTTGAATAAAGATTTCAGCGCAATCCGAGTCAACACCGTGCGCACATGGATTGGCAGAATGACGTCAAACAAATCACATCATCAAGTACTTCTTGAGCTGATTAGTGAGCTGGAAAATATTGTGCATGCAGAGAACAAATCGATTGGTTGGTTAAAGCTGAATGATCTATTTAAAAGTAAATGATTTCAGACCTCTGGCCTCCATCATCCTCAAACGAACTCGAGAATTTGTCTTCTGTTTCAGCGGATTGGTCGTGGATCGAATCAACATCATCGACCTCTTTCAGAGATCGATCTCTTTACGTAAGTTGATGATGATCTTCTGTACTTTTTGATGATGATCTGTCCTTTAGCTCCTGTCAGGCTGTCTTTTAGTTTCTTTTCGTACTGCGTGAACGAATCCTTTAGTTCCTTTAGTATGAAGTCGCCGACTTTCAAATCTTTTTCTAGAACGTATAAAACTTTCATATAATTCAATTTGTATACTCAAAAAGATCTATCATTGCTCTACATTGACTTTTAAGAGATTCCAAAAGTTTTATTTGATGGATTTGGTTAGTGTTTGAGTACTGTACATCTAAAGACCGCCAATCAATGGCAATTGTGGGCACACTGTGGCAATTGTGGGCACACTGTGGCAATTGTGGGCACACTGTGGCAATTGTGGGCACACTGTGGCAATTGTGGGCACACTGTGGCAATTGTGGGCACACTGTGGCAATTGTGGGCACACTATCAATCAATCAATTTCTCCTAAATCAATCAATTGCTCCTAAATCAATCAATTTCTCCTAAACCAATCAATTTCTCCTAAACACAACGTCTCCTAAACTAGTCAAAATGAGGTGTCCATTCGTCATTTGACTCGTTCTTTACACATAAACTTAACTAATGTTAACTTAATGTTAAAATAAAAATTTTAGAGCATATTTAATTACATAAGTAGCCAAATTTTTGTCATAATCTCGTCAGTCATTTTCTCTAAATGACGATTTATAAATTTTCTAATGATTTTGATTGAATTGGTCTGACCTTGATCTTTTTATTTTTGAGTTCTATTTCAAATATGATTTCGTAAAGAAATCAGTAACCTTTCAAAATCGTTGATAAAGAATAGAAATTATAGAAGTTTCTTTAGAAATTGGCGACATTTCATATTCCTCAACCCAAAAATAACAAATTCACCAATTAACCTATGATTTGCTCTAAAGAAAAGGAACGAAAAGACTTTGATAGCCTAATATAGCCTAATATCATCAATTCATCCAGCTCATTATTCATCAAGAATTCAGGCCTCGTTAACGATCGCCTCTGGACTCATGCAAAACCTAGTGCGCACAAAGAGCAAGCAAATCGATGGGTTATTGATGTCAGAAGTGAGATCACATGCTTTGCAAGAGATCTTTGTATCAAGAGATCTTCAAAGGCTAATCTTTATCCATTCATACAACATTTAGACTCTGCTTGCTGGGTTGAAATGGCACTCGCCGACCATTCGTCGCATATCCATCAAACTTTTATCACTTATCGACGAAAAATCGAACTTCTTTGCTTGCTTAAAGGCTGCGAATGGTAAATATCTTGTAAATAATTAGATTAGATTAGAATTCAGATTCTAATCTAATCAAACTTGATGTCAAACAAGAACTTTCCTCATTCCCTCTCGATAACTGTGACACGGAAAATGAAGAACTTTTCGAAACCATTCTCAATCTTTTACCGAAAATCGAATGGAGTCAAGGTTTTGAATTATTTCTTTAAAAACAATAAAAATTATAAAATAGGACAATTACAAGAGTGGACAAGGATTTTACGATCTCAATGCTCAACTGAGGAGTCATTGATCATTGCCATAGATGTCCTTCAACGAGTCGATTCATCGTTTTCCCAGACACACAAATCTGTTCTAACAGTGAGTTTTTGTGAAAGTTATTGGAAGAGAAGATGAGTGAAACAATTCAATGGGGAAGGGCAATTCAATAGGGAGAATACTCAGTCAGTTCTGTTGTACAGCCAGCAGGGCATGGGTTCTAGGCTGGGCTTCTAGGCTGGGCTTCTAGGCTGGCCTTCTAGGTTGGCCTTCTAGGCTAGGCTTCTAGGCTGGGCTTCTAGGCTGGTCTTCTAGACTGGGCTTCTAGGCTGGCCTTCTAGGCTGGCCTCTGGTGGTGGAAGGCAAGGCCCCAGAATCCAGGCTAGGTCACGGGAGGTAAGACAACGTCAAAATCCAGGTCAAGACAATACCAGAGGCCAAGAGTGCAGTAGAACCGGCCCAGCAAGGCTCAGGCTCAGGTTTCACCAACTGCTAAACGATTTTTCAGATTCTTTGCCTGCACGAGTCATCCGCTGTTCGGCATCGAGCAATGAAAGCATTAGAAGAAAGCTTAAAATACTTTGAAGCACTCATTGATGAATCGATTAGAATTTGTAAAGAATCTCTAGATTGTAAACAATCGTAAACAATTGTTTTTTGAGATGGATCTTCTCATGAAGTCACCTATGATCTGTTGAAGAAAACGACGAGATTCGATGATTATATGAAGAGATTTCTAGATAAAGATGAGCTTGGTGATCTTTAATGAAATGAAAATCTTTCAACTTTCGTTTTTCTTCCAGATCAAACCCATTTATTACTGTGGAATTGTGAAGAAGTGGTGAAGAAAATCGATGATTTCACTGTGAATGATTGGATCGAACGCATTGAGCAACTTTTACGGTAAACAAAAAGCTTTTAAAAGCTCTTAAAAGCTTTTAAAACCTTTTCTATACCTCAATTCAGCTACTCCGGCTCATCGATGTTCCCTGAGTGCCCCCAGTTTTCTGATTTGGCCACAAATTTGTCTAAGCAGCAACTGAAACCTGTGGAATTTGCTCATCTACTTTTGGTAAGTGAACGACTGGAAAATCGAGTTGAAATCTCGATCTTAGCAAGTCTCGTAAGACAAGAATTCCATTGGAAATGCCTTCAATAAGCCATTGACAATGCCTTCAATAAGTCATTGAGAATTCCTTCAATAAGCCCTTTACAATCCCTTCAATAAGCCATTGACAATCCCTTCATTAAACCATTGACAATCCCTTCAATAAGCCATTGACAATGCCTTCAATAAGTCATTGAGAATTCCTTCAATAAGCCCTTTACAATCCCTTCAATAAGCCATTGACAACCCCTTCAATAAGCCATTGACAATCCCTTCAATAAGCCATTGGCAATCCCTTCATTAAACCATTGACAATCCCTTCAATAAGCTCATTCAATTTCAAATCAATTTCAAATCAATTTCAACTTTCTAGAACTATCAAAAGCTTATTTTGAACTCTGTGACTCGATCGGATGATGAGGAGAAAAAATGGGAATGGTCGATGAAGATCTGGTATAGTTCTAAGATTCTGAATGAGGCCAAACGAAGATTGTTGGGTTCTTGGCTATCCTGGATTGATTTCGGATTACAAGTAGATTACCTTACTAACACTAGATTTGACTTTGATCTAGTGCTGGCTTGAAGCTAGCTCATTGTTCGTTTAAGTTGTGCTCGTGTTGAAATGGAGCATTGACCTGGTTTGATCTGATCACTCTAATCAAAGCTTGAACCCGATGATAACACTGGCTTTCCTTTAGTGTTATCATCAGATAACACCAACTTTCCTTTAGGCAATCCCTCATCCGAACTCGTCACAAAACAGTGGTTGATCTTGGTACCGAGTTGATACCAAAAATGCTCAAAACTCTAGAGTCCAAGAGAATAATTGAGTTATTTGAAATGGTTTGTAGCTGAAAGATTCGTCTATTAGATTGTTTATCAGGCTGAAAATCTACTCTTCTCTGTGAACGCAAAAACGAGAACGCTAACAATCACAAAAACGCTGTGGGCTTGTTGTGAGGCAAAAGCGGAACTATTTGGTTTACTTTGGGATAAGATTCAGGTATAAAGACCATTATTTTCAAATACTTTCGAATACCTTTGTTTAGGAGTACATCAAAACCAACTTAAATCCAACAGTGACCGCTAGAATCCTGAAAATCGTTAAATATTTCTTGGCACGAGAGCAATGTCGTAGGTTTTAACGGGGAAAAAAATTAGCAATTCTAGCTTCTAGCTTGGAGTGCGGCTAATGAAATCTTGAAGATTCTATTCGAAAAATGTCTTCTCATCGTGGAGAATGAAGAAGATTTTCTTGTGAGAAGTGCAGCGACGATTCTATTTGGTGAGAGGCAAAATTGTCTAAGCTTTGTCTAAGGCTTGTCTAAGCTTTGTCTAAGCTTTGTCTAAGGCTTGTCTAAGCTTTGTCTAAGGCTTGTCTAAGCTTTGTCTAAGGCTTTGTCTAGGCTTTGTCTAAGGCTTGTCTAAGCTTTGACAATAACAAGCAAGCTTGATTCCTTTCTAAAGTGTGTCCGTAAGTCGACTGGGTTTTAAAATATCTGGAATCACTTCTTAATCTGGAATCCCTTCTTTTGATACCGTAATCTGAGACTGAATTAGTTCAGCTACATAGTACTGATACGTACATAGTACATAGCACTAGTACATAGCACATAGTTATCATAGTTACTGTAGTTATCGAGAAAGCTAACTAAAAATCTATTTCAGGATTCGTGACAAATCTGATGACTCGAAAACGAGAGCTGTTCTACTTTGAGTTATTGATCGACACATGGAAGCCAATCTTTCAAATAATCTACAAAACGTTTGCAGGAAAGAAAGTAAACAAAAATTTTGACTACAAGATTCAATAAATTCTTTAGGAGTACAGCAAAGAGTACAGAATGTTGGTCCTAGCTTTTCTCTCGAAATTTCGCTTCGGTACACCATTATTGTATTCAAAGCAGCAGATTTGGTAGAGAAAAATGGTGAACTAATAAATCTAGAATCGTTTTCAGCTTTTGCAATCATTTATCCAAAGCTTTGTTGACCTTTCTCTCGATTTTGAGCGATGTACGTGCATCAAGAGCTACACTTGAATGCATTGCTGGTTTGATAGCGTATGTTGAGGTGAGTGGGTCTAGTTTTGGTCTAGTTTTGGTCTAGTCTAGTCGAAATCTGATCCCATTTCATCTATTAGAAACACGATTGGCTTTTTTGATCAATCTAAACCTTTACTTTTTGCGTTCAAGTGCTTCAGGCTGGTTTTGCTGGCTGGCGTTTTGCTTCAGGCTGGCATTTTGCTTCAGGCTGGCTTAAAAATCAATCTCTGGAAATCTTTGGAAAGCCAATCTCTAGCTTTTCACAGATCTTTCCTCAAAAATAGCTACTCTAAAAGATTTAAAGACATTGGATTAATGCTGTGATTGTTCTTGAGCCAAATCTCAAAGCTTTAAATCATTTCTGATCTTGTTATCATGGAAAAGATAAAAACTAATTTTAAAGGTTGAGCCATTGCTTCAAAAGCTTCTCGAAGACAATGCAGAGGATTTCACCAGCCATGCACAAAAGGCTTACTTCATCTACACTTTAAAAAGGTCTTTAAAATATGGAAATCTAATTCCTTAGCTGAAGACTTTTTAGAATGTGGAGTATCGAGTTGCAAAATGTATTGAAAACAAAAATCCCCTATGATATCGCTGAAACGCTTTACATTCGACAAGTTGAGGAAATCGTTGATGCGACAAACAAAAACGAGTTGGACAAAGTCAGTTGACAATAAAATATTCATATAAAAGAAAATAGCTTTGTCAACTCGTTGATGTCGATCGATTCCACCTCAAATGGGAGCTCAGCGCCAATGCTTTTGGGTACGCAGTGGCTATTTCGTCACGAGCTTTGAGAGATCAGCAATGGTGAGTTGTGCCAAAGATAGGAGCAAATATTTTAGGATTCAAAGATATTCAAAGATATCCAAAGATCTAAAGATAGGACTTTAGCGGTCGGAAGAAGAACCTTTCAGGAAAACCTGTAGGATCAATCCAACCTCTAATCGAGATCCACGTTTGATTATTGGCTGATCTTTAGCATTTATTCTAAGCCTCCAATAGCAATAGCTATGAATATTCAGCTACTGAATATCCTAAAACTAAGGCCGAGCCAGTCAACTTACGATTAGTTCATAAACCAAGATTGGCTTAAGTACTAGATCAGTCTAGGCAAGCTGTTAAGCCAGTTTTGCAGCAGTTTTGCTCACCTATGAAGCATTTTTGAAACAGCTTTGGCAAAGTCTGAATCTTTTTCAGCTCCGATAAGTTTCGAGCATTATGGAAACGCTCAGCTTTCGAAGCACTTTCACTTTCAAATCATTGCTCAAGAATGGCTGCAAGATGTGTTACTGAAATGGGGTTAGCGAGATGGCATCTACAGCCAGTCATTGCTAAACGGGTAAGTAATTGATCAATCATTAAAGATAATCATTAAAAGATAATCCTTTTTAGATTCTGCGAGACTATTTTACTGGCTGAAATGGTCGACGAGAGTTGCTTGTTGTTGTTGTTGACATTGTTGACATTGTTGACATTGTTGACATTGTTGAATTTTGTTGCCATAATTGTTATAAAGTTTCTATTGACTTGTTTGATGACTGTGAAGAGTATTGGCTCAGTTGATACCTGTAAAGATGTAATATCTCTAACACAATCTTTCAGAATGGCAGTCAACTATTCGGATTGTTTGAGTCCATACGATAATAAGGGAAAAGTGGGAATGCCTGAAATATTTGATAAAGAAGAAGATATTGAAAGGAAATGTGGGCAAATGGCTGAATGGATTCAAGAAGCAAAGCATCTTTTGGTGATCACGGGAGCCGGTTTGTGAAACAGGAGTCGTTTACTAAAATGTGTCAACTTCTGGAAGCTACTTCTGAAAGCTGAAAGCTAAAACTGTCGCTAGTTTTATTTATCTGGTTACTTCTATCGTAGTCTATCGACTATGGTAACAATCTATCGACTATAGTAACAATTATAAGGACTACTGTAACGTCTACTAAGATTGCTAGATTGTCTACTAGATTATGATAGTTTTAGAAAACTCACTAACAATCGGTTTTAGGGATCAGCACATCTGCCGGTATTGCCGACTTTCGTGGACCGAAAGGCGTGTGGACTCTAGAGAAACAGGGAAAGAATCCTGAATCGGTGAGGGTTTTTTTTTGGATAAAGATTTTCTTTATCTAATAGATAAAGTTTACCATTTGGCTTAAATTTTGCTAATTTATTGCTACAAAATCTATATTTCCCAGATCGATTTCTGCTCAGCTCTTCCCACCTACACTCATCACGCACTAAAACGCCTAGAAGAACACGGATTTCTAAGGCATAAATTGAAAACTGAAAATAGACTATTATTAACCAATTTTTTTAGCTATTTAGTCTCACAAAATGTGGACGGATTGCATTTGAGATCAGGATTCCCGCTAAATCGACTCGCTGAGCTTCACGGAAATGTTTTTGCCGAGCAATGTATTAAATGTAGAAGGTTTGATGAATTTAAAGTTTTTATGGAATTTGTTAAGTCAAATTTTAGACGATACTACCGAACAACTCCAGTTGAATCTTTCTGTCTACGGCCTACGGGAAATTTTTGTGAAGGGACGCCAAGGTAGGAAAAACTAAAGCTAAGGTTTTCTTTTTTCGATTCTATTTGTGGAATAAAGAAGAATCTGGGCGATAACGATAAGATTGAATATAAGCTTTAGCGGAAGTTTAAGAATTAGTGTGATTGTCTGAGCTTGAACAGGTGAACACTGGTATCCTGGGTACAGCATCCTGGATACAGTATCCTTAAAGTATTCTATTAAATGGTACAGTTAGCATAAAGTATTCTATTAGTAAATATCAAAAATTGCATCAAGTATCACGAATTTTCAGAGGTCGCCCGTGTCGTGGCGCTCTCCACGATATGACTCTCGATTGGGAACACGATTTACCTGAACCGGATTTCACGGTGATTCTTGAAGCTTTTCTGGAAACAACAGAAAACCCTATTCCTGTAATTTGCTTCATATCCTGATTCTAGACCTCTTCCACTTGGGCTCAAGTAGCCGATCTGTGCATCTGTCTGGGCACTAGCCTTCAAATTGTCCCCGTAGGTGATTTCCCGCTTCAGACGAAGAAAAATGGGGGTCGAATTGTGACGGTCAATTTACAAGCAACTAAACATGTTAGTTAATTCGATTTTCAAAGCACAATTCGATCAGGAAAGGAAAGTCGATTTGGCGATTCACGCTCGAGTAGATGAAGTGATGAAAAAAGTGATGATGAGGCTTGGACTTGATACGGTGAAGAGCGAAGGGGATGGAGATGATGGAGATGGAGATGTTTGTGTGAAACGAGAAGAGGATTTTGTGATGAGTGGGGTTTTTTCACTTCATTACAATAAGCTCTTCTTGTAAACAACATTTTTGCTTTACTAATTTAAAGAACAGATCAGAGCTAAAGCCAGATCTTGGTTGGCTGATTGGCTTTGATTAAAGGATTAAAGGATTTTGACAACAATGTGACTGTAAAGATATATTAGGTTGATGCATAAGTGTTTTTGTTCCTTTTCGTCTGCCGTTTCAAGCCAACAAATGCACGAATTAAACTACGGTTGATTTCATTAGAAAAAGCAATTATTTTTCTGCAAAATAACATTAAAACGGGTTTAAAAATATTTAATGCCTGGATTTTCTTGAGAGTATGAAGTCGGGTAGTCAAAAAGGGCTAACTCGATGATGCGGTTTAGACACCTTAGCTAAAGAAAACCTATCTTCGTGTCAATAGATAAAAGATAGAGAAAAAAAAAACGTTTGATATTTCGCCAAAATTTCAGAGAAATTCATTCAGCCAATTTTTCCGTAGAGTTTTTTATAGATTTTTACGAAAAAGGCGTTTTTCACTCTCGAATTTGCTTGAAAGTGAACCGAAATTCATTTAAAAAGATGCAAATTGAACAAAAAAAACACTTTTTTTATAGAGCAAACTATAGATTAATTGGTGAATTTGTTACTTTTTAACAGAAGTACGAAAAAAGCGAAAAGACTTTTGCATCAACCTATTAGTTTGAATGTCTGAATTTTAGAATCAAAACGTCCACTAGAGAATCTGAAGACATTGTTGAAGGAAAAGACAAAACGAAAGAGAAAACATTCGGAGGGAAATGAGCTTTCTTTGACAGCTCCAGAAATGAAACCCGAAACAACAGCCGAGATTTCTAACAACGCAAGCTTGAATGATGTTAAATATGATTGAATGATACCTCTACTTAAACCTTGTTTGCCATAATCTGAACTGATTGTACTACAGTACAAATCCTAAGCCTCTCAAAGCCTTTTTATCCTTGATCTCACTTGACACCAAAAATTTTGAAGCTTAATAAAGGTTATTTTCATGGTTATTTTTTCTAACAAAGCAAGCTTGAATGAAATTAAACCGGAAACAAATACCTCTACTTAAACCTTGTTTGCTATCATATGAACTGATTGTATTGTAGCCTCTCAAAGCCTTTTTTATCCTTGATCTCGCTTTATCTCAACATTTTGAGGCTTAATAAAGTTTATTTTTATGGAAAAACTTTAAACAGTGAACATTGGCTTGTCAGAGATCTATAAAAAGGCTTTAGAAATGTTTAAAATAAACAAAATGATTGTAATTGAAGGTGTTTTGTGATCCTGATAAGGCTTAGAACAGATTTGGCACTAACTATAGCAATCTATAGCAATCTATAGCAATCTATAGCAATCTCTAGCAATCTCTAGCAATCTATAGCAATCTATAGCAATCTATAGCAATCTCTAGCAATCTCTAGCAATCTATAGCAATCTATAGCAATCTATAGCAATCTCTAGCAATCTCTAGCAATCTATAGCAATCTATAGCGATCTATAGCAATCTATAGCAATCTATAGCAATCTATAGCAATCTATAGCAATCTATAGCAATCTATAGCAATCTATAGCAATCTATAGCAATCTATAGCAATCTCTAGCAATCTATAGCAATCTATAGCAATCTCTAGCAATCTCTAGCAATCTCTAGCAATCTACAGCAACTACAGTAATCTAAAATACTAATTTGCTAAGCTTAAGTTCAATAAAAGTCGAAAAAATCCGTAAATTTGCCTGCCCGAAAAAACACTTTCAAGCAACTTAAACTTAACTTAAACTTTTTCAAAAATTTGTGTTGAAAAGTCTTAGACAACTTAAAGAACTTTCAAATCAAATAAACCTTTATGACTAATCGATTTCTTTTAAAAAAAACATTGTCTTAAGGGAAAAAGAGGCTCGCGGAAGCCCCAAGGCAAGCAGATTAGTGAAGAGGAATGGAAAGAGGATGGACTGACTGTCCATTCAACGAGACCATCGACTTTACTCTCGTCAATTCCTCCTTCTAAACCCATTCCTTGTCAGATCAACGATTCAAAAATATAAAGATTCAAGTGGCAATGTCATCGACACGGGTTTGTTTAGTAATGTTTTGTTTTGTTTAAAATTTAGACCTCTTTTCTTAACAAAGACAGAAACAGAAGCCAGATTAATCCAAGAATTTTTCATTTATTTTAAAACAATCTAAACTTCTAAGTTTTTATCTAAAAGATATCTATTTTTGAAAAAACAATTGTAAGCCAATTTTCATTTGATCATAATTTTGAGATCCTAGACTTCAACGGATTTTCGAGAACCACGAGCTGCTCGAATTCGTGCCCGAGTCAGACGTGTTCGCGCGTCGCTCACTCGACGAAATGTCAAAGAATGGATTTATGGATTTTTACCGATTTTAAAGTAAATTTATTGGTGATCAATGTTTGCATAAAGTATAGATGGCTTCCACAATACGATTGGAAACATTCGTTCTTTGGCGATCTCTCTGGTGGGCTGACGATGGCTGTTTTCTGTGTGCCACAAGGTTTGTGAAAAGGTTTTTAATCCAAAACTTTGCTTAACAGATGAGATTTGTTTACTTGTTTTACTTCTCATACTATATTCTATAGTAGTGATCTTCTACTATTAGAGAGAAGGATACTTCTCTCTAATAGTGGTGCATCCCGGTGAGGCGAGTTGATGACTATTTTACGGTTTCTAAGTTTTCGCAGAAGCTCAACACTCAAATCCTCCACTAGATCTCATCGTCAGCTACATTTTCCGACCCCACATCGATAGGTTCTGAAAAGCAGTTCTCGAGATTTCGAGCAATTTAAGCGACGCTCAGGGTGCACTACTATTAGAGACAATACGGTCTGTCTGGCATTTTCTAGAGCGTGTTTTAACCAATAAAGCTAACACTTCTTTAGAAAACCTTAGAATACATTGTAGTTGTGTTATTTAAAATAAAAATTAAAAAAAATTCAAAATTGAGTGGCACTATGGGGGTCGAACCCGGGTCGTGTGGGTTGTAGAGCGTGCTCTCGACTGCGCCACGGTGAACAAAACGGCTTTATTTTCTCTTATACAACTGCCCCGAGTTGATGCCTATTTTACGGTTTCCAAGCTTTTGCAGAAGCTCAACACTCAAATCCTCCACTAGATCTCATCGTCAGCTACACTTTCCGCCCCCACATCGATAGGTTCTAATAAGCGTTTCTCGAGGTTTCGAGGAATTTAGGCACGGCTCACGGTGCACTACTATTAGAAAGAATACGGTATTCCATAGTACCCATACCTATTAGGTTGATAAGTCTTTAAACACTACATTTAAAAATCTATTTAGAATTTAGAATCACCAATTGCTCCATCTACTATTTTTCTATAAAATAGTGTTGAAATTTCAATTTTTTTTTGAACAATCAAATGTATTCATTTCCAGGCATAGCTCTCGCTGGAATCACAGGCGTTGATCCGGTCTACGGCCTTTACACAGCCATCTTCCCATCGTTTCTCTATATTTTCTTTGGAACCTCGAAACACAATGCACTTGGTTTAGTTCTTTCCTTGAGCTTGTTTAGACTTTAAAGGTTGACGTTGAGCAAATAAAACTGATGCAACAGCTTTCTGATATACTCATTTCCAGGTGGCTTTGCCGTTCTCTCTTTGATGACACACTCAGCTATCGAAAAAGTTGTCCAATCAACAGCTGTCCCTTATAACACAACTGAATACATCAATAGAACGTTGACACCAAATTTTGGTGAGCTCACTAAAAGCCAATAAATTCAATAAATAAATTATAAATTCATTTGGATTCAGAAAATGGAAATGAGACAGAATTCGCTGGAAATGAGACAGAAGCTATTCTCAATTCGACTTTTTACGAGTTATTATATAACTGTAAAGATTTTTTGATTATTTGAGCAATTCTAGTGATTCCTCTTTCTACAATGGAACATCATTCATCGAAGAAGTCACTCGTATTCAATGGACATCCGGTCTTCGACCAACCGAGAAAATTGTTGTCGCGACAACGGTGCTTTTCTTGGCTGGGATTATTCAGGTAAAGAAAAAGAGATACTTTACTTGAAAGGTTTGGTTATCGTAGCCAAAATAAAGTACTCTATCGTAGCTAAAATAAAGTACTCTATCATAGCCAAAATAAAGTACTTTATCGTAGCCAAAATAAAGTACTCTATCGTAGAAAAAATAAAATTGATACAGTTGAAAATGAAGAATTAGAAAGCGATTCCTATTAGTCTCACGATTCTCATGAAACCACCTCGTAAACCACCTCGAGCGTCTGAAAATTGAATTGAATAGTGAAATGATCGTGCAAATTTGATATAGGACAATAGAATGTATATGTTGTGTCCGATTTAGATTGAACTTATCGCGGACGTCCGATTTAGATTACAGTCTATATCGGACGTCCGATTTAGATTCAGTCTATATCTTATATAGATTGAACAATAATATAAACATGTTTAGTATATGTTCTTAAGCGTTTTCTGTAGTTTTCTGCATTTTCAAAGGTCTTTTATTGATTATTTCATAGTTGGGTTTTCTTTTCAGAAAAAGACAATAACAGACCTTTGAAAAATGCAGAAAACTACAGAAAACGCTTAAGAACATATACTAAACATGTTTATATTATTGTTCAATCTATATAAGACGTCCGATTTAGATTGAGTCTAAATCGGACGTCCGATATAGACTGTAATCTAAATCGGAAGTCCGATATAGACTTTAATCTAAATCGGACGTCCGATTTAGATTCAATCTAAATCGGACGGAAATCTAAATCGGACACAACATATATATATACAGTACTGAACAATGAAATATCATATTTGAAAAATATGATTTCGTCACTTTCGCGCGCCTGTAACTCCCTTGTCTTTGAGTTTAAACTATTAGTGTTATACATTTTCTGAAAGCTCTTTTCAACGGCTACACAATGGTAATATTAATATTTAGAAATACGGTAAAGACAAGGGAGTTACAGACGCGCGAAAGTGACGATCTTTTTTCAAATATGATATTTCATTGTCCATTTCATTTCATTTCATTGTCCAGTAGTGTATATCGTAGCCAAAATAAAGTACTCTATCGTAGAAGAAAATAAAATTGATACAGTTGAAAATGAAGAATTAGAAGCGATTCCTACTAGTCTCACGATTCTCATGAAATCTAAAAGTTTAGACTAACAAAATCTGAGTTTCAATTGATAAACTCAATAAAATGAATAGCTTCAATCGCTTCCCCGATTCCGAAAATCCCTGGGCACAAAATTTTAACATTAAATCTTTTTTTGAACCATTCTCAAAGCAAAATAAAAATCACTGTGTAAAGTGAACGGCGAGGTGTTCTTTGTGCGGCCGTGTAATCGCTCTCCATCTGGAAAACCCCTCGGGTATAAGATGTTTCTCTTGCCTCCCGAAATCTGGCTGTATTTTTGCTACAAATTCGACATCCTGTTAAACCGAAACTAGCCTAGAGCGGGAGACTCAAGTTTAAAAATGACTAGGGAAAGGCTTAAGGAAACAAGAGCTAAGGAAAAGCTCAAGGTTAGCTTTTATTTGGACCAAGAAATATACCAAGAAAAAGCTGCAAAATGCTAGAAGTTGCTCGAAAAGAAAAACAAGAACAAAAAGCTATGCCAGGAGCCGAACCCCGATCCTGTGGGTTGTCGGACGCATTATCCACTAAACCACCACCGCATTGTTTTAGAAGGAATGAACATCCGTTTTTGACGACCACCACCACAAGGAAGGAGCTTTTTAATGCATCCGTTTTCTCGCAAAATTTTCGATTTATTTTTACACGTCCGAAAAATCATTTGGGAGATGTTGATTTCGGATTCGGTTTCCTCATATCGATTCTATAAAGTGTTCAGACAAAAACTCACATTGAGTGAAAACTAGTGAACTCTAGTGAACTCTAGAACTCTAGTGAACTCTAGAACTCTAGTGAACTCTAGAACTCTAGTGAACTCTAGAACTCTAGAAAACTAGTCACCTAGTGAAAACTGAAAAGCTGATTTCATCTTTTAAAAATCGATAAATCATATAGGCGATAAATCACTAATAATTGATTATTGATCACTAATAAATGAGCTTTCAGATTCTGATGGGCCTTCTCCGTCTCCACTACTTTTTTCGGTGTTACTTCTCTGAACAAGTTTGTAATACAATACTTGCAAAGATCCAAACTCGTAGGTTATGTCCGGCTTCATCGTTGGCGGCTGTGTGCATGTGATTTTCTCTCAATTAGGCGACGCTCTCGGAATCCAATTGCCAAAGAGGAATGGACCTGGATATTTATACTATGTAAAGAAAATGAAAATTTTCATACAACTTTTTGCATACAACTTTTTCCATACAACCTTTTGCATACAACTTTTCTCAGAGACTTCTCGATTTGATCGAACTCTTCCCGACTTTAAAATTGCCGACTGCGATCATTTCTGGTAAGATTTTTAAACTAACACTGACAAATGTTTCTTTTCAGCTCTATCAGCGATATTTTTGCTTATTGGCAAAGAATTCTTGACTCCTTGGCTGTCTGAAGTGTTTTTTTATCCAGTTCCGTATGAATTGATTCTGGTGAGTGAAAGGATTTTTCATGTATTAGGTTGATGCATAAGTGTTTTTGTTCCTTTTCGTCTGCCGTTTCAAGCCAACAAATGCACCAATTAAACTACGGTTGATTTCATTAGAAAAACCAATTATTTTTCTGCAAAATAACATTAAAACGGGTTTAAAAATATTTAATGCCTGGATTTTCTTGAGAGTATGAAGTCGGGTAGTCATAAAAGGGCTAACTCGATGATGCGGTTTAGACACCTTAGCTAAAGAAAACCTATCTTCGTGTCAATAGATAAAAGATAGAGAAAGAAAAACGTTTGATATTTCGCCAAAATTTCAGAGAAATTCATTCAGCCAATTTTTCCGTAGAGTTTTTTATAGATTTTTACGAAAAAGGCGTTTTTCACTCTCGAATTTGCTTGAAAGTGAACCGAAATTCATTTAAAAAGATGCAAATTGAACAAAAAAAAACACTTTTTTTTATAGAGCAAACTATAGATTAATTGGTGAATTTGTTACTTTTTAACAGAAGTACGAAAAAAACGAAAAGACTTTTGCATCAACCTAATATTAGGTTGGTGAATTGAAAACTTGAATTGAAATTGGTGAATTGAAAAGAAAAGGTTGGCGGTTTTTCGATTTCTTTTCTTTTCTTTTTATTATTTAACCTCATCTCTATTCGGGGGTTTTCTCCTCGACTCCGATGAACATAAACATCTTTCTCTTTGCGTCATTTTGAGAAGCAACACTGAACGTTTATAGTTATCATTTATAGTTAGAGATTATCTGTATTCTATTAGGTTGGTCAATTGAAAGTTGCGGGACTTTGAACTAAAATTTATTCAACAAAGCCATCAATTAATTCCAAATAACTTTCATTGACGACTTCTGCCCATTTTACAGGCAATTTGCGGGTTCCTCTTTCGTAGAATTTTGTTTCATTCAAAAGCTCTTGAGATTCTTTATTTTTTTGAGCTTTAGATCATAGCAATTCGATAGATTTGAAGGAATTTAGAAGCGTTTGTAGTTTGTAGTTTTAGTAGAATTTTGGTTTGTGTGTGAGGCAAGTGTGAGACTCAAAAATCGAGGACTGGAGATGTCCCAGATGTCCCAGTTTGAGCATTTGAGCACTTTCTTCAAAAGAAACCCATTTTGGTGTCAATAGAAAAGTTGTAGAGAATCGAAAATTAGGCTTATGGTCAAATTTTAGAAGACTCATTGTCAAATATTAGGTTGGTGAATTGAAAACTGTGGGACTTTGAACTAAAATTTGAAACTGCGGGACTTTGAATTCAACATAAAACCATGAATTCATTCGAAATAATTTCCATTATTATTGACGACTTCTGCCCATTTTACAGACAATTTGTGGATTTGCGGATTCCTCTTTCGTAGTAGGATTTTGGTTTTGAATCGAAAAACTTTCAAAGCCAATTTTTGACTGCTTCTTCCGAATCGAAGTGTTCTCCCGAAAGCTCATTGCTCATGATCCGGAATAAATAGTAATCAAAAGGGGCGAGGTCCGGACTGTATGGGAGATGTGCCAAAAGTTCCCAACCAAGGCTGTTTATTTTAGAGCGAGTCAGTTTTGCGACATGAGGGCGCGCGTTGTCGTTGAGGAGAACGATCTTTGACTTGAAGGGCCTATTCTTCTTTAGGGATTCATTCACCTTTTCCAACTGTTCACTGTATTTGATTGCATTAAGGGTCGTCTTGCTATCCAGCAACTCCCATTATTATTGACGACTTCTGCCCATTTTACAGACAATTTGCGGATTCCTCTTTCGTAGTAGGATTTTGGTTTTGAATCGAAAAACTTTCAAAGCCAATTTTTGACTGCTTCTTCCGAATCGAAGTGTTCTCCCGAAAGCTCATCACTCATAGCGATCAGACGATCGGGTGTCATCGAGTGAATTGGAGGCTACGAGGCCTCGATGATCAATACCTAATCGATATCGACTCATAGCTATAGTAATCAGAAGGGGCGAGGTCCGGACTGTATGGCGGATGCGCCAAAAGTTCCCAACCAAGGCTGTTTATTTTAGAGCGACTCAGTTTTGCAATACGAGGTCGTGGAGGAGGACGATCTTTGCCTCTCATGAGGCTCATGATCCGGAATAAATAGTAATCAAAAGGGGCGAGGTCCGGACTGTATGGAGAATGCGCTATTGCTCATTTTTTGCTAGTTTTACCTCATAAGGAATCGTTTTTCTCGTGCAAAAAGTGAGCTGAATAATAAAGTTTTCAAATATCTCTAAAATTTTAGAGGAAAGCTACACTCATTTTTTTTACGAGTAATTTCTTGGAGTTGACTTTTAAATAATAGAATTAGTGAATTAGTTCTTGAATTAGTGGATTCATTCTTAAGAAATTCCAGTGAAACTTTTTCCGAGAACTTTCTTTCCAACCTTTCTTTTCAACCTTTCTTTCCAACCTTTCTTTCCAACCTTTCTTTTCAACCTTTCTTTTCAACCTTTCTTTTCAACCTAGATCGATAGATTGATAGTCTAATAAATTGATTTTTAGGTTATCATTGGAATCACAGCCACAAACTTTGCCGAATTAGCAAGAAGACACAAAATCAATGTTGTTGGGAATATCCCAACGAAGTGAGTAGAGTTGACTATAGAGATCATTGGGATATTGCCCGGAAAACTAAAGCATACTGAAGAAGATCCAAAAAGTTCAACTATAAAGGCTAACTTTTACACTCCAGCTTTCCTCCACCATCCCCTCCCCGTCTCGATCTTGTCCCATCAATTCTCCATCATTCATTCGGCATTGCTCTCGCTGCTACAGCCATTCATCTAACGGTGGCAAAAGTTGTGGAAAAAAGATACAAGTACAAGATTGATTATGGACAGGTTAGGAAGATACTTTTGTCATAGAATAGGCAGCAATTCGGCTTGGTGAAGGCTCAGCTCAGACTCAGACTCAGGCTGAAGTCAAAACCTATGTTTCAAATTAAATCTAGGAACTGTATGCTCTCGGCTTCACTTCTCTGCTCTCATCACTGTTCCCTGTTTTCCCGTTCACTTCAGGGTTCGCTCGTTCGGTGATCGGAGCTGCTGTTGGGAGTAGTACTCAAGTTGGTCTTAAATAGTTTGTCTGAAGCTAGTCCATAAAAGAAGACAGAGCTTGAGTTCACACTTTCAACTAGCAACTAGTGACTTACAGCTTGTAACTAGTAACTAGTAACTAGCAAACTTGCAAATAGCAATTCACCTCTAGTAACTAGAACAAAAACAGCCTATCAGAAATGTTCTCATGCTCTAGTTAACATGTTTCTTCTCCTCACTGGCTCTTCTATCAGTGATCCTCAAGATCGGCCCGGCTCTCGAGTATCTGCCACAAGTATTTCAGAATTACATCTAAATTTAAAAGTTATTTCAAGTGTATTTTGGCCACGATGATCATCATGTCGCAGAAGTTGATCTTCGCGAAATTCTATGAGCTAAAAGAACTCTGGCCGGTCTTTAAATACGATTTTGTGAGTGTCAATCAACAAGATTTCAATGTATCTTTTAGACAATATGGATAGCTTCGATGTTATTCACAATTTGTTGTGATATTGCTGAGGGAATTCTTTTATCTGTTGGGTTTGCAATTCTCACAACGGTCATCAGAAGTCAAAGGTGGATTGAGAGGAATTTTAGCTCTAAAGGCTTTCTTTGAGAGGAGCCAAGGGAAAAGTTGTGCATGGATTTTATGAATTCACAAGATTAAGAAGATTCAAATTATTCCTTTGAAAGTTTCAAGCTAAATATCAAAGTCTCTATAGACTTACAAATGTAAATGTAAATGTTGTTGTTGTTGTTGTTGTTGTTGTTGTTGTTGTTGTTGTTGTGTGTGGGGTTGTTGTGTTGTGGTTTTGTTGAGTTGTTGTTGTTGTTGTTGTTGTTGTTGTTGTTGTTGTTGTTGTTAACTGTAGTAAACTGTAGACTTGTTAGTAAATGAATAACTCGATCCCCGACTTCGTAAACCCCGCAAAATCTATTCAAGTTGTTACGTTGAAAACTTTAAACTTTTCTACATAAAGTTTAAGTTTAGTTTGAGCAATAAAGCTTTCAAAACTAAAATCAAACTTATTGTTAGTTCATTTTAAGATCATTTTCTTTTCTTTTCATTTTCATTTTTCAATTCTAGACCTCGTTGGCACTATCTGATCGCAAACGCTGATGGAGCTTTTCGAGAAACAAAACGAAAGGTTAGAAAACCTCTTTCTAGAGAAAATCATACCACAATCATACCATAATCATATTATAATCATTTTATAATCATAATCATAATCATCTAATTCTAATTCTTCAAATTTCATTTAGGAACTAGAAGTTGTCAGTGGAGATCCTTGTGTGATTCGAATGAACGCTCCATTGATCTTCACAAGTGTCGATCGCTTTGAAGTGGTCAGTTTCGAAAATGATAAGTATAAATAGATAAAATAAATAAATAAAATAAATAAATAAAATAAATAAATAAAATAAATAAATAAATAAAAGTAAGAAATAAAAGAAATAAATAAAAGAAATAAATAAAATAAATAAATAAAATAAATAAATAAAATAAATAAATAAAAGAAATAAATAAATAAAAGAAATAAATAAAAGAAAGAAATAAAAGAAAGAAATAAAAGAAATAAATAAAAGAAAGAAATAAAAAGAAATAATAATATATATGTTGTGTCCGATTTAGATTCAATCTAAATCGGACGTCCGATTTAGATTGAACTTATCGCTGACGTTCGATTTAGATTACAGTCTAAATCGGACGGAAATCTAAATCGGACACAACATATAAATATCTATAAATATTACATATTATAATAAAATGTAGGCTGTTTGGGAAGGAGTGAAAAAATGGGAACGAGCTAAGACGATGCAACCGGTGAGAAGCTCGCAGAATGAGGATCGACACAATTTAGATTCACTTATCGATACGGTGTGTTAAATCTCTACTTAATGAAAGAAAAAAATGAAAATTTGAAGAAAAATGAAACCTTTCAGGCAATACGTGGCCGAAAATCGACACTAACTTCATCTCGCTCATCTCGTTGTTCTTTAGTCATTGATTGCTCTGGTTTTCCATATGTTGATTATTTGGGAATGGTCACTCTCAAATCGGTATTTAGTAGAACAAAAACCTTTTCACGTATTTGATTTTATAGGTTTTTGCTGATTTGACAACAGCTGGCGTTCAAACTTGCTTTGCAGCACCGCATCGTGAGTTTTAAACCAGTTTTCTCTTGTTTTCTCTTGTTTTCTCTTGTGAATTTGATTGAAAGTTAACCAAAATGACGACTTAAATGATTTAAAAAGGATTAAATTAAGCATACAACACTTTTTATTTATAGGAAACCATAGATTAATTGATAAATTTGGTATTTTTTAACAAAATCATGAAAAGAAATAAAAAGATTTGTTTATCATATCATGTTTATCAATAATTGTATCATCAAGGCTTTATTATCAAGGCTTTATCATCAAGGCTTTATCATCAAGGCTTTATCATCAAGGCTTTATTATCAAGGCTTTATTATCAAGGCTTTATCATCAAGGCCTTATCATTAAGGCTTTATCGTCAAGGCTTTATCATCAAGGCTTTATTATCAAGGCTTTATCATCAAGGCTTTATCATTAAGCCTTATCATTACCATCAAGACATCAAGACTTTCTGATTATTTCTAGGCTATCTTCAAGAGATGTTCGAGAACACCGATTTCTATTCTGAAGTGGGCGAAGATCGGGTGAAAGATACGGTGCAAGAGGCCGTACTTTATCTCACGACTTTTCATCCTACAGGGTTTATTTGAAATTTAATAATTACCTAAATGATTTAGAATAATGATTTACTCAATTAAATACCATTTTGCTTCTAAACTTTTTAGCTATTTGTCCAAAGTTTCCCAGTAAGAGGCAGCTGCCGTACGCCGAAAATGCTGCTGGCTATTTTCAGAGAAACGAGAGAAAAAAGAGATAAAAGAGAGAAAACCGACAAAAAATGCTAGAGAAAATATTTCTCTTTTAGAACAAAAGCATTAATAGAACAGGAATAGGTACGGTAGTTGTTCTACTTTTACTTAGAAAACTGAGTTTCATATGCATTGAATCCCCGTTTTCTAATAGTCGATCAGGTTTATCTAGATATATGTTGTAGCCGATTATGAATGAGTGGATCTAGAAGCGTCCAACCATCAAGTATTTGGTATCATTCAACGCAGAATCATTGATAATTATGTTAAATTTTTAAAATTAGAAAGATTGGATAAAAAGAAAAAAAATTATGGGGCCTCAAAGTTTCCTCCTGAACAAACAGTTTTTTTTGCTCTAATGTTTTTTCTTTTTATCAAATCTTTCTAATTTTAAAAATTTAACATAATTATCAATGATTCTGCGTTGAATGATACCAAATACTTGATGGTTGGACGCTCCTAGACCCACTCATTCATAATCGGCTACGGGGGTCCCGCCGATTTTGATTGAAACGTTGTAGCGCCGGCAATTTTTAACCTAAACTCACAAATTTGGTACCAATCGACGCAGAATTGAATTCGCTACAAGATGATATAATATTGCCCTCATACATTAAAGGGTTGCTCTACTAGAAAGATTTGCCAAAAAAATTTCATTCATAATCGGCTACGACATATATTTTTGACTTTAAAAAAACCTAAACCCATATCTTTTAGTGCAAAATCTCAAGAAACCACTCCTCCGCCACCAAAAAAATACTCCACCGAAACGATCGATTTACGAGAGAAAAACTATTGAAGTGTTTTATGGAATAAACTATTTTGAGTCATATTTTTGGCTATAAGCATGGCTATGGCTAACTCTTTGACTCTTTGATAACTGCTTGCATTAGCGTTCTTTTAGCAATCGCTAAGTTCCAAATAGAAAAGTCCCCATTATCGATCTAGCTTGAAGTGTTTCGGGGAAAAGATTTGGGATAGAAATGGATGAGCTTGAGATGGATGAGATTGAAGCCTACCGCGAGGTTTTATGCCCCAAAACAAAACAGCTGTCCTTTTCTCATTTCTTTTGATTAATGCCGATTCGATTCTCTTTATCCATCTCTTTATCCATCTCTTTAATCCATCACATCCTCTTTGTCCGTGATAGAAAGTGATTTCGAGGTTATGGTAGCGTTGGAAAGGCTTTCGAAGGTTTAATCAGAGATTGGCTTTGTTTTGATCAACTTTACTGTACCTTTACCGGATTACAATAGTAAAGATCCTGGCTTCAATTAGTGATACTATTGTTTACAGCGGTGAAGCTCCACTTTGTCACCGTGGCGTAGTTGGGAGTTACAGTTGGAAGCGTGCTTGTCTAAAGCCCATCTGAGTTCGACCCCCGTTCGACCCGTATTCGACCTACCACGAGGTTTTATGCCCCAAAACAAAACAGCTGTCCTTTTCTCATTTCTTTTGATGAGAAGGCCAATGGCGCGATTATCCATCATACTCTTTATCCATCACAACTGACTCTTCTTCGCTGTGATACCCTCGTTCCTTTCTTTTTAGAAAATTTCTTTGTTTTGGCTCAAAGACGGTTGAGAAAAAGCCGACGAACAGACGAACAGACAGACAGACAGACAGAAAGACGAACAGACAGACAGACAGACAGACAGACGAACAGACAGACAGACAAACAGACAGACAGACGAACAGACAGACCAGACAGACAGACAAACAACAGACAACAGACAGACGAACAGAGACAGACGAACAGACAAACAGACAGACAGACAGAACAGACGAACAGACAGACAACAGACAGATAGACAAACAGACAGACAGACAGACAGACGAACAGACAGACGGACAGACAGGCAGACAGACGAACAGACAGGCAGACAGACAGACAGACAGACACTGTTCTTTTCTATACAGTAGATTACCTACAGTACTCCGAGGTGACTGTATCTTCTATTGTAACCAACAAGCTTATCATACTGTATTATAACCGTAAACTGAACTGAGCTAATGTAGCCGGCTTTGTTCTACCGTACTTATACTTGTCATGTCAATTCTACCGTAATTGCTCAAATCTGTTTCTGTACTTGTTCGCGTTACTGTAGTCAGCTCAATTTCTCCGTACCAAACATGTCAAATGTTGTATCATACTTGTCCATGTCTTGTGCTCATTCTACTCGATCTTTTCCATCAAAATTTCATTCAACTAGTATAAATAGCAAAAATTCACGGCCACTAAATGAGCAAGGGAAAAAAACAAACAAACAAGCAAGAATGAGATCATCTAAAAAGCAACTACCAAAATTTTTCAATACATATTGCTTATTGTGCAAAGAGAAACTGCAAAGAGAGAGAGAGAGAGAGATTAAAAACGATTACAGTAAACTTTAGTGTTTTCTATTTAGCATTAGCATTACTAATAAGCAATTCAATTTTGACTCATCACATCTGGTTTGACGATTCTGCTCGTTTTCTCTCTACGTACTCGCGAAGGAGAGCTTCATGGTTCATTCTGAAAATCAATTTTGAATTATTGTTTCAGATATCATGGCTTGATTTTTGATATCATAGCTTTTTTTAAACAGTTCTTCAGAAAGGTTTTTAAAAGTTCTTGCTTTTTTTTAAGAACTAACGTGGGTGTTGCGCCGGGTCGAAGAATGATGTAGTCGTCGCCTTGGAAAAGTTCCTTATTGAAGCATTGACAGGAGGAGACTGCATGAGATTTTTGAGAGATCAACAATAGACAACGGGAATAGCACTGAAATTTTACATTTTCAAAAGTTAACTTGTTTACAGAACTAGAGAAAGTGACTGCACAAGGATACACTGAGATTGAAGCTCTTGTAAAGTTTGGTTGGTGAACAAAGGCTTGTAACATAAACTGGTACTAAACTGGCACAAGTTCAACACTGAGATTCAAGCTCTTGTAAAGTTTGATTGGTGAACAAAGGCTTGTAACAGGCTTGTAACAGGCTTGTAACATAAACTGGTATTAGAAATAAGTACCGTCTGTTAGTACCGTTTGTTAGTACCGTTTATTAGTACCGTTTATTAGTACCGTTTATTAGTACCGTTTATTAGTACCGTTTATTAGTACCGTTTTGTTTATTAGTACCAGTTTGTGTATTTTGTAGTTTGTGTATTTTGTTCTGATAAAATCATTATAATATAATATTCAGTTAAACCTAAGCCTAACCCTAAGCCTAAGCCTTATAATATAATATTCAGTTAAACCTCGTGTCTTTTGTTTCGAGAAGTGCAACTCCGAATACTCGCCTCGACGTCTGATGGAGAAATTGATGGACTCTAAACAAAAAAATAATAATAAAAGAATCTTATCAACATTGAAATAAGCTTTTAGAAGAATCAAGCAAATAAGCAAGCTTTACAAGAGCTTTTTATGAATTCTTTTAGTTGTTCTTTCTTTGTTGTCATGTCATTGTCATTCTGTCATTCTGTCATTCTGTCATTCTCTACTCAAAACTAACCCAAACAGTTTTTTGACAAAGAAGATGACAACGAACTGTTTCCTGCTGTTTTTCGAGCAATTCGGGGACAAGATCTCGGAACACTCGATCACAGAGATCATTTTCTGAAAATTTTACTTTATTTTCATGATCTTAGCTAGGCTAACTTCTAAATTCTCTAAATTGCTTCAATTTTGAAGGTGTTAAGTAACACTAACGTGTTTTTGGATCAACTTGCTGCTCGGAGTTGTAGAGCTTCTCTCGTACGCAGAAGTACGTAAAACTCTAAAATTATCGGGGTTAAGTTTAATACATTAAATACAAATCGTTTAATACAAATCGATATTCTTTCTATACCTTGTCAAGAATATCCGCACATTCATTGATGGGATCATTTTTGAGGAGAGCTCTCTCACAACACTGAGATCCCAAGGGACAACAGGCTTTCACGATTTCTTCGATTTCTGAAGGGTTTTGGTGATGAATTGGTGATGAATTGGTGATGTTTATTTTGGTGTACCTTTTGTCGAAACGGTGAATGTGATTGAGGCAAGGATTAGAAGGGATTTCCAAAGCATGCTTCTGTGAGGCTAAAGCAACATTTATAGGGGTAAAGTTTGAATAAGAAGAAATTCATTTGCTTGCTTTTGGACTCTTATGGTTCAAATGATTTGAAAAGGATATTGGAAAATTCAAATGAACAAAGGAACAAGAAAATGAAGCTGATCCAAACTCGAGCTGATCCAAAAAATAAGGATCCATCGATGAGAGAAGGAAAATGAGAAGGAGGGATAGGAAGGGGAGGGGCCAATCTCGGAAAAGCTCATTGAGCGACTAACAAGTAAAAGATTACGGTAATGGAGCTGACTGGCTTGTATATAGCTTCAACTTGCTTCAACTTCAACTGTAAAGAAGCATTTTTCACTACAGTACATCTAAGCATTTAATCATTTAAGCATACTTCAAATTACAGTACTACCAAGATAAACTACAGTATACCAACAAGAAAAAGATATCCAGAAAAGCATCCATCCAGAGAAAATGAGCTTTTCCGCCAAAAGCCTCACCTATATATGGGAATAGCAGCTGTCCATTGGTGAATTTCCCATTGATAATTTCTGAGATCGAAGCCCCAAGCGATGCCTGAGCATCTCAATGCACTGCCCGAGATCCGATCTCCTTGAATGGGAACGGGATCACCTGTTGATGGGGACAATTGCGCTTTCTCACATTTGCCAACGGCTGATTCTTCGGGACAATTGCCTGATTCTCCTCCTTTCACCCGGCTTACCGACCAGCTGTACCGAGGCGATTGATCGGCGAAAGATCGACCGTTTTGTGGAGAGTCTTCATTTGAATTCGCTTGCATAGATAGGAGACATTAAGAGAGATGTTGATGATTGGGAAGACCGAAAGAAATGAAGAACTTTAGTTGAAGAGAGTTTAGTGACAGCTCCAGAGAGATTATAGTGATTCAGAGCATACAAATGAATACTTGGGATTCAGGTGTACTGAATAGTAAGTGACATTGATCCAACTGCTGACCCAACCGTTGTATCCCTCTGAGGAATTGAGTTGATTGCGATGAAGTTAGCACTGCAAGGGTCCAGTTGATTCCTTGTGAACATTCTTTGTTTGTTATTTCATGCATATGAATTATATTTCTTTAAAATGTCTTTTTATTTTCTTTTTAGATGCCAGATCTACCTACTCCGATCAAGAAAAAGGTTGTTAAAGGACGAAGAAAGAGGATGAAAGCGAAAGATTTGGCCGAGCAATTTGGATGCACTATAAAAACTGCTCAATCTTTATAGCGAAATCGAAAGCTGGAATAGGTGTGAGAAGAGCATTGAAATGTGGTCGACATTATGTAACAAAAAGCACTGAGGATCGATCAATCATAGTTTGGCCTTTACTCGAAAGTACCAAAGTTGGACGAGCGATGATTGGAGTTAAGTGATTTTTTTCTAATGAAACAAAGGTGAATCTCTATCAATGAGATGAACCTCCATTGATCAGGCGACCTATTGGAAAGCGTTTTCTATTTAAGTACGTCAAGCCTACGGTTCAATTTGGCAAGGGAAGGATTATATGTTGGGGTAGCTATATTTATAAGTTTTATGGTCTAACTGTTAGTTTTTAGAAGCAATGACAGGAAATGTGATCGGTCCACGTGTGATGGTAAATGCAACGATGGACTCCCAGCAATGCATATCAATACTGGAGCAACGTCTACTTTCATTTGCTAACAAAACATTGCTTCATACCAGGATAACTCTCCAGTACACATGAGTAAGATTATGATGGGGTAGGTAGGAAGGCTTTCGAATGAAGGTCGAATACGATTTCCAGGATGTTTTGCGATAAATGGTGTTGCTCTTTGAGCAAAGTACCCCCATTTTCACCTGATTTGAAGGTTATTGAGAATCCCTAGGCGATTATAAACTCAGAATTGGGGGGAAAACGCTTTTCATCGAAAGTCGAGCTTTGATACAAGCTACGTCTTGTATGGAACCGAATTGGACCACCCATTTTGCGTAATCTGATCGACTCGATGCCCAGAAGATTGAAAGAAGTTATCCGAGCGGAAGGAGAACCAATAGACTACTGATGACAAGCAAAAAAACAAAGCGAAAATATATTTTTCCACCTTTTTTATGATTGTTTTATGTTTGACAGTGTTGATTTTCTAGCTTATAATAAAATAATGTTTAAAATCTTTTCTATTTTTGAAAGCTAGAGTCTTTTAGATAATTTTGGGAGTGGGACAAATGCGACCTTTTTTTGCGCACCCGGACATTTGCGCACCTTTTTTTCCGCACTTAGCCCATTAGCGCACCTTTTTTCGCGTTTTAAAAAGCTCTAAAAAGCTAATATTAACCAATTTCTATTCCAAAAGTTGTTTTTCTAGGTAATTTGAGGGTGTAGAATCGAAATTTTGGCATATCAGAGCTTGTGGAAACAAACGGACGGAGTTAAGAGAAAAGAGAAAAAGAGAAAAATATACAAAGAGAAAAATCGACAATTTTCTGTAATTTGATCTAACCGTTTTGTCTTTCAAATTGGTTCCACACGCTCTGTTATGTCCAAATTTGAATTCGACACCCTAAAATTACCTAAGAAAAACAACATTTGGAATAGAAATTGGTTAATATTAGCTTTTTAGAGCTTTTTTAAAACCCGAAAAAAGGTGCGCTAATGGGCAAGGTGCGGAAAAAAGGTACGCAAATGTCCGGGTGCGCAAAAAAAAGGTCGCATTTGTCCCACTCCCTTAGTTTTTGCTAAAATCAATTCGGAAACCAAGGCGAAAATACATATTTCCACCACCGTATATGTAGAAAACCGAAATTTGCATACAAATTTTGAGACATTTTTGTTTTGTGTGAAAAGTTTTCATTCTACTTTCTTCTGCTTGAAGGAAAATGCTCGCTCAGCGAGTAAGTTTTTACCTTTTATTTGGTTTTTGATTGATCTAAAATTGAATATCTGACATTTGCAACGATAAAAGCTGAAAAGTTAAGAGCTAAGCTCTGGAAGCCAAGATTTTCGTCTCTAATTTTGTCATTTTTAGGAGCACGCCGGTTATCCGAATGTGGATCTCGGTGGTGCGGCTCCCGTTCTCGACAAAAATGGAAAGGTATCGTTTTGAGTTGGTTGTCGGTACTGTTGATTAGATTTTTGTTGCATATTTTGATAGTCCATGTGCTTTTATTAGATTTTTAAACAAGGCTTTCAAAACGCTGTTAAGATTACCTCTAACATTATCTACCGGCTTAAATGATCTTGTTTTTAACTATGTATTTACCTTTAGCCTCTTCGTGGAAAAGCTGCTCCACCATATGTCGAAAATGGAGTAATCATTGGTCAGAGGGGTTTCTTTGTTCTTCCATAAGGATCCTTTTAGGTCGCTTCAAGTTCATCAAAATGATTGGCGGGGGTGGTTTCGGCCAAATCTACAGAGTTGTTCATATTGAAGACGTAGGGTTTGGCTTTTTGAATGTTTGATTTCTTTTATTTAGGGGAATCTGATTGCTGCCGGAAAAATTGAACCGCAGGGACAAGATCAGGGTCGAATGATTCTTGAATGTCAAGTAAGGGGGCTTAATTTTTGCATTGTTGAGTACGTTTCAAATAGTAAAGTGGTCTTAATGTTGCTTTAGGTACTGGTGTTGATGCGAGGCAAACATCATTTCCCTACCATGGTGTGTGACTTTGATTTCAACTCATTTATTTTCTTTTTTAGTATTGTTCCGGTGACTATGGTCGATTCAACTTCATAATTATGGAGCTGCTTGGTCGCAATCTCACGGATATTCGCAAACGGACTCGGAACAAACGCATGAGCGTGATCAGCACTTTTAAGGTATTTTAAGTTTGAAAAATCGACTTTTGTTTCAAAACAATACATTTTCTTTTTTGTTTAGATTGGAATTCAATCAACTGACGCTTTCGAGACGCTTCACCGCGAAGGTTACGTACACAGGTTATTAGAGTCATTTCTAGCTTGTTTAACTTTATGTTTAGGGATATCAAGCCATCAAATATGTGCGTTGGTCATGCGGATCGCGGGAACACCGTCTACTTGGTGGATTTTGGAATGGCACGACGTTTTCTCAACAAAAATGGAAATAATTTCCGGTATTTTTTGAAATTTCCCTTTTCATTGATTTTATTAGGCCACCACGTCATTATGCAGCTTTTCGAGGAACGATGCGCTATGTGTCTATTCGAGTGCATGAACGTCGCGAGCAAGTTGGATTTGTGCATTTTTAAATTATCTTTCTATCTTCTAGACTCCTACCGATGACTTGATCTCTCTTTACTACACTCTCATTGAATTGTGCGAGGGTTCTTTGCCTTGGCGATTGCTCACCGATCACGACGAGATCTTAACCCAAAAGCTTCGCTATGACAAACACAAACTTTTCATGTAAGAGATCTTTATTTTTTTAAATATATCTTTAGTTTAGGTACACCCCTAAAGCGATGGAAGAGTTCTATGAGCACATTAACAATCTTTCCTACAACGAGATGCCTAACTATGACAAGATTCGAGAGATTTTTCAAGTAAATTTTAAGAAACCTCAAGGCTATGCGAAATTTAGAAATGTTTGCCGTACGGAGTCCGTTGTGACGATCCGTTTGATTGGGATGAGGACGTCTCTAGCTGTTATCACGATTGAGGGCGAAATGGATCAGCCAGTTTCAAGTGCATCCACCTTCTCGCCCAAATATTTTTATAAAAATGAAAGCACAATGAGATTTTTGAATGCATGATTTTTAGTTAACCATCGACATGTGTAGATTTTGACGCTTGTAAATGATTTTTTTATTGTCTGTCGGTTAATAAAAGTTTTTCCGTACCTCTAACTTTTTTTTATGTTGTCAAGCTATCTGCAAGATTACCGTTGTTACATTGACTGAATTAGCGAGAAGTTGCAAAATGAACACACGAAAGGCAGTTTTATGCAGAGTTTCCGATAATTTCCTTTGCCGTTGGTATTGTTGCATTGAAATGCAGGGCGAAAATGACTTTGAGCAGATGTTTTGTTGAAAATTTACAACCAATTCTAGAACGACAATGCTATAAGCAGTTTTTACTAAACATTTTATCTTTTAGTGGTGCAGTTCGTCATTTTCATTTAATTTCAATTTCAATTTTCCCATTCTAGTTCCACTTTGAATGCACTGATCCAAAATGGATATGGGCGGTATGTTCGGGATCGAGCTCAATGGTCGAATCGAAGATGGATGTGGTCGTTTGTGGCAAGAACAAGAGGAAGTTATCGACGATGATATGGATTGTGAAGCCTATCAAAATGTCGCTGATGTAAGTATTGAATGGAGGTTTTAGCTGATTGAACTTTAGGGACAAATCACTTCGCCACCCCCAAGTTCTTCTTACATGTAAGTTGAAACTTGCATAAATGTAAACTTTTAAAATGATCATCACTGTTTAGTGACGCACCAAATTTGGAAACGCTGGACATTGGAGAGGCATCGGTTAATCCTGTTGGAATCAAAGTCGGAAAGCAGGATTTCAAATTTCTCAAAGTGCTCGGCAAAGGAGGCTATGGCAAAGTTAGTTTACTTTTTTAAAAAATCTACTGTTTTCAGGTGTTCCAAGTTCAAAAGCTCACCGGAACGGACAAAGATGAAATTTTTGCCATGAAGGTTCTCCGAAAAGCAACGATCATTCGCAATCAAAAGGATATTGGACATACCAAGGTTTGAAATTTAAAATTCCACTAACTCGCTTTTTTTAGGCTGAACGAAACATTCTCGAAGCGGTGAAGAGTCCTTTCATCTGTGGCCTCAACTATGCTTTTCAAACAGATGGCAAACTTTATCTTATCTTGGAGTATCTCAGCGGTGGAGAGCTGTTTATGCATCTTGAACGTGAAGGTACCTGATACTAATGGATGTATTACTGTACCGAGGGTGCAGTACTTACAACTCAATTTAGGAACTTTTATGGAGTCGACGGCTGCTTTCTATCTCAGTGAAATCGTTGTGGCTTTGGAGCATCTTCACAACGAAGGAATCATCTACAGAGATTTAAAGCCGGAAAATATTATGCTTGACGCAAGAGGTTGGGTTTTTTTTTGCAAAATCCATACATATTTATCTAGGTCATGTGAAATTGACTGATTTTGGCTTATGCAAAGAAGCAATCGAAGGAGATCAAAAGACGCATACTTTCTGTGGAACTATTGGTATCAGTGCAGTTTTTATTGATTAATGTAATAACTTTAGAATACATGGCACCTGAAATTCTGTTGAGATGTGGTCATGCAAAGGCTGTTGATTGGTGGAGTCTCGGAGCACTGATGTTTGACATGTTGACTGGAGGTCCTCCATTTCGAGCCGAGAATCGAAAGAGAACTATCGACAAGATTATCAAGGTACCTGTTAAGATTTGCGCTTCTTATCATTGTTGTTTAGGGTCGCCTTACGCTGCCTGCCTATCTTTCAATTTCTGCGAGAGACTTGATCAAGAAACTTCTGAAGCGTCATGTTGAAACGCGTCTTGGTAAGATTTGTTTGTGAGTCCAAAACCAACATCATCTTAGGTGCTAGCGAAGCGGATGCGGCTGAAATCAAGGGGCATGACTTCTTTGCTCATTTGGATTGGAATTGCGTTCTCCAGCGAGAGGTTTAATGTCCTTAGATTAGTTCTCTACTTATTTGTGTCTAGATGCCACCACCATTTACACCTCAAATTGTTGATGAAACCGATGTCTCACTATTCGACACAAAGTTCACTAGAATGACTCCAGTAGGCGCAGTTTTTAAGAATTTTATTTTACTTTTTAGGTGGATTCTCCTTGTGAGTCGGCATTTTCCTTGCCGCATGATGGAGATCCGTTTATTGGCTTCTCTTACACTGCACCGTCTATTTTAAAGGCTGAGCAAACGACTACATCACGCCATCAGTGCGCTTTTATGATTTTATTTTATTTTAACTAACTTACGATTTAGCTCCCGTCGACTTCACCCACATGGCCACTCACACGCTCATCCTCAAGGGCATTGCAACACGTACGTTACTTATTATGTTATTTAATCACTACGCCCAATATTTCATCGATTTCATACCCATTATTTTAGGAATGCTAACTTTATGCGATGTGAATCGGTCATTGAAGAGAATATGGAGGCCATCGGCTACACCCCGGCTGGTGCACAATGTAATAATTTTCATCATGCCTTCAATAGGTACTCTTAATTGCTACTCGTTAAATATGATAAAGTTAAATTAATTTTGCCTTATTGAAGGGGTAAGTTGTTGTTTAATCACGGGTTCATTTCCAATTTTTAAGACCGTTTCTTATTTTTCAAAAATTGTTCCTTTCTGTGATCTTTTCATCTTGTTTCGAAATTGATAAATTTTACCAAGTTCAAATGCACAAAACGCCCACATAGTTTAATTTTTCCCACGAATTTTCAAGAACAAGACTTCCGAGAATGCACAATCAAAGAAATGTTAGAAAAACGAATGTATTTTAAAAAATCTATTTGAAGCTGCGATTTGCGATCTAAAGGGCCTTTTTTTTTGATGAATGGCTGCTTTTGGTCCTTTGAACGCATTGTGTTTCCGTCTTTGATAGAAGGAAAGCTCGGATGCACAGCCACTCGCCAGAGAGACCTACAAATTATAGAATAGCAACAAAAAAAATGGATTCATTTACTTCGTGGTCTTAGCTGGCGCAACACTGCGAAGGGTCAAATCGATGAGCAAACGGTGAGTACGACAGGCCTTTGTGCCTTTGAAAACCCGGTACAATCGACGACCCGCATCCTTTTCCCAATGCATCTAGAAAATGCTCAATTTATGAAAACAACCGACAAACACAACCTCGATTGGATCCAAAAACTCGGTTGCGTTGGCCCGAAAAACGCGTAGACTGTAGGCTCTAAATTTACGGCGTTAAAATTACACAAAAATCCAAACCCAGGAGGCAAATCGAGTTTCGGATCTTTCATCAATAGAGCCACCAAATCGGCCATTCGAATCGTGTTCACCACCTCGTATTCCAGTTTCACCATTATTGGCTAAAGATAAATATTGATTTTCCTAGTTATTTTGACAATTTAACGGGTATTGTGTAGAAAAGTAGCTCTTTTCTGTGAAATCTTATTTGATTCTTTGATTTTGAATATCTCTGATTCTCTTGTCCTTCCTCTAAAGATCGTTTGTGTGATAAAAAGGGACGGAGCCCACTTTGTATTCTTTCTCGTTTGGCTTTGACACATTGAACCAACGATTGATTCTATTTTATTGTATTTTCTCGCTAGATTAGTGATTGTGCTATATTCGGAATAAATATCTAAATAATCATTGCCCCATCGGTACCCTCTCACGCACTGCACATTTTGGTGCGCAGTCCAACTACAAACCCGGTGAGATCCGTGAGTACGTGAAGTTCTGTGGAGCCACACGGAGTGGTGACCCGGTGTGTTCCACAGGGAACACACCGGGATCCAATTTTTGCATTTTAAAGTTCAAAAACATCCAATTTTTGAACAGAGAAATTGGACCCGGTCTGGCATACGGTGTTACCAGATATCGTCCTTTTTTCATTCTTGAATAGCAGCTTCAGCGAAAGTAACCCTAAACGATCCGTCGTAATTGTAGTTCGCCTTCAAGAAAGAGAAGAAGGGATCACTCGAGAGAGACCACGCGGAGAGCGTACCCACCAACGTGAGAGCAGAGAGGTGCAAACGGAGAGAGTCTCACAAGCAAGCGTCGCTGTCCCGACGAGAGTGAGCGTCCAAAGACGAAAGCGAGAGCGGGGAAGAAAGCGTCGCGAGTGGAGAGAGCGACAGCTCATTCTTTTGTAAAGAGCTCTTCGGAGAGAGGGCCGCAACGCGACCGCCGAGAGCATCACAAGCCACCGTATAACAAGCAGCACGAGACTACAAATTCAAAATGAACTCAAACATCAGAACAATCAACCAATTCAAGAGGTTGAATACAGTGATCAATGGAGAAGATGAGAATACCAAAAAACTGCTTAAATCGTACTTTTCAGCAAACATCAAAAAGGGTGTTGAGTTTCTACAAGAAAAGGTGTCGAAAATCGAAAGCTATCTGCGGAAATTCAACGAATGCGAGGACAGATGGTTCGCCCTCATGGCGACGCTGAATGCGGAAGACAAAACGGCGGAGAACGACGTGATGAAGAATTACATGGTGACTGAGGAGGGCCCGGAATATGCCCGAGAACACGCTTACATACTCATCACTCAGTTCAATAAATTGCTCGCTTCTGGTGAACGGAAACTTGTGGAAATCGAGAACAAAAAAGCCTCCGTGTCAACGTCGACAACATCTGCTACCACAGCCCCGGTTCAGCATTTTAAAGTAGCCAAAATGCCACTGCCGGATCTCGAGGGAAGTGCAACGTACAGACGGTTCTTTCAAGTGTTTGATCGCACCGTACACTGTCAACCGTGGGACGACGATGTCAAACTCACCTACATGATGCCGCACTTGAAGGAAGAAGCCGCGAAAGCAGTGGCTGGCTTCGACCTGACGAAAGAGAACTACACGCTTGTGCGAGAAAGGTTGAAAGCCCGATTTGGGGATGAAACGATGCTGAAGAATGCTCTCCTCCAAAAGATTTTGAGTCTGCAGAAATCGGGAGAGTGCTACAGAGATACGGTTGCGTTTGTCGACGAGATGGAAGCACTGGTGCAGCAAGCGGATAACCTCCAAATGACGGGAGAATCCGAGGCAATTCGTTTGGCGGTGGAGAAATCGCTGCCGAAATGGCTCGAGGCTCAAATTTTTGCGAAAAAGATCGACCACCCGAAGTGGGATCTGGATGCGTTGAGAGAATTGATTGAGAAAATTATGCGAGCCGCAGCCGAACGAGATTCACTGCACTTTCAAGGGATTTCCACTGAGAAGGTTACAACCATGCCAGTTGTCCAGAACTTTGCAAAGTCTCACGGGCAACAGCAACAACAAAAAGATGGTGGCAAACAGAACTCATTCCAGTCTGTTCCACAAAAGGCGCCAGATGTGAGGCGAAAATCTTGCGGCTTTTGCCAAACTCAAGACACTCACTGGTCGACGGAGTGTCCCTTATCGGTACAAGAGCGTTGGGCAAAGGCGAGAGAGCTTAAGCTGTGCTACAACTGCCTATGAGGTGGACATGGATTGAACAAGTGCCGATCAAAGGAATGTCGCTCATGCAACAAGCCACATCACACATCCTTTGCTTCAACAAGATCCCCCGATAGCTCATGGAGGAAATATGGTTTATTTGCAATTACAAACGGGTTTAATTACCCAGGTTTGCAGAAGCTCCCCTTTCGTAAACGAAATGAAATTTGAAATGCTCATCGTTGGATGGCTTTTGTGTCAGACGGATCAATCCAGCATCCATGTCGGGCCGGTAGCAAATCCTTGGAAAGACACTCCTATAAAACCAATGTTGTGTGCCTCTGAATACGAGGCGTCGGTCTTCAAACTAGGGACAATTGCAAACTGCAAAGATGCGTTCAGTTTTGATGAAAAACTTTCATCTGTCGGATTTGTTGCAAATTTGGTCCCAAAAAAACAAACGATTGACATGGCTGGGTCTATTTGCTGGAAAAAGTGCACAAGCATTTGGAAGAAAGCCGGCTTTCTTGGACTTGGAGGAACGTCATACTCAGAGGACTCTTCTGGCCAAATATCAATTGATGAGTGCAAAATATTCGTCCACAACCACCCACAAAATTATTGGGAAGACCTCTCTCCAGTTGAGCCAGATGCAAGTTGGTTTTTAACCCCCCCAAACATTCTTTTTTCAGATGATGTGTGCTACAGGAGCTGCGCCATTAAGGATTGAGCTTGATGCCCAAGGAAGAATGACAAACTCCATCGTTCGACGATTTGTTCGACGACAAACTCCATCGTTCGTTCAGACGTTCCTCCAAGTCCAAGAAAGGTTTTTTCTTCCAAATGGTTGTGCACTTTTTCCAGCAAATAGACCCGGCCATGTCAATCGTTTGTTTTTTTGGGACCAAATTTGCAACAAATCCGACAGATGAAAGTTTTTCATCAAAACTGAACGCATCTTTGCAGTTTGCAATTGTCCCTAGTTTGAAGACCGACGCCTCGTATTCAGAGGCACACAACATTGGTTTTATAGGAGTGTCTTTCCAAGGATTTGCTACCGGCCCGACATGGATACTGGATTGATCCGTCTGACACAAAAGCCATCCAACGATGAGCATTTCAAATTTCATTTCGTTTACGAAAGGGGAGCTTCTGCAAACTTGGGTAATTAAACCCGTTTGTAATTGCAAATAAACCATATTTCCTCCATGAGCTATCGGGGGATCTTGTTGAAGCAAAGGATGTGTGATGTGGCTTGTTGCATGAACGACATCCCTTTGATCGGCACTTGTTCAATCCATGTCCACCTTATAGGCAGTTGTAGCACAGCTTAAGCTCTCTCGCCTTTGCCCAACGCTCTTGTACCGATAAAGGACACTCCGTCGACCAGTGAGTGTCTTGAGTTTGGCAAAAGCCGCAAGATTTTCGCCTCACATCTGGCGCCTTTTGTGGAACAGACTGGAATGAGTTCTGTTTGCCACCATCTTTTTGTTGTTGCTGTTGCCCGTGAGACTTTGCAAAGTTCTGGACAACTGGCATGGTTGTAACCTTCTCAGTGGAAATCCCTTGAAAGTGCAGTGAATCTCGTTCGGCTGCGGCTCGCATAATTTTCTCAATCAATTCTCTCAACGCATCCAGATCCCACTTCGGGTGGTCGATCTTTTTCGCAAAAATTTGAGCCTCGAGCCATTTCGGCAGCGATTTCTCCACCGCCAAACGAATTGCCTCGGATTCTCCCGTCATTTGGAGGTTATCCGCTTGCTGCACCAGTGCTTCCATCTCGTCGACAAACGCAAAGTGCAAGCCAAAGGCACATCCACCATTCAAGTCAAGTTCAATGGATTGAAGGCGCAGACACAAGTGGATGTGTCGGCGTGTCATTTGATGGAAAGTGAGCTGACCGTCTGCTTTGCGTGTGAGACTGGGGCCAGCCTGAAGTACCTTTGTCGTTCCGAATTCGGTAAACAACTGGCCGAATTGCAATGTGGAACGATCTTGGCAGTACTCCAATGCGATGGCACCCAGCAGAAACGAGTGACCAACATGAGATTCCTGCAAGTGGTGATCGACCAAGAGTGCGAGCTGAAGTGTCCAAGTGGGACAAGGAAAGCGAGGGTCACCGGTCAACTCGTCTACGTTCCAAACTACGGAAATCGATGGGTCACTGGAGACGCGACAATGAAGGAGCGATCAATGTGGGACGAGATGAAGGAGTTCGCAGAGGCGGTGGTGACGGATCATCTTCCCATCCTTCTAAGTTTTATTGCCGTAATGCTCCTCTTGCCCAAGCTTATCAAATTTGTTGTTAGATTGTTCCTTTGACTTTTTGCGCACGGGAGTGTGCAGAAAAGTAGTTCTTTTCTGTGAAATCTTATTTGATTCTTTGATTTTGAATATCTCTGATTCTCTTGTCCTTCCTCTAAAGATCGTTTGTGTGATAAAAAGGGACGGACCCCACTTTGTATTCTTTCTCGTTTGGCTTTGACACACTGAATCAACGATTGATTCTATTTTATTGTATTTTCTCGCTAGATTAGTGATTGTGTTATATTCGAAATAAATATCTAAATAATCATCCCATCTCACGCACTGCACAGGTATTATAAAAATCCAACCTTCCATTCTTTTGCTGGGTTTAGTCCGGTGATGACTCGACAGTGAACGATGACCTCTTCCTCGAGTTCACTCAATTCCAACGGCTTGATGTCAACGTCGCTGTTTGTACTAAAAGAATGGTATTTTAAAAGTTGCACGTGAAAACAGGTCAAGAAAACCCCGATAACATTATTGAAAAGGTAATAAACAAACACATTGATTCGAGGCGTGCTTTCGATGTTGGTGGTCGATGCGGTGGATGTGAGCGTGCTCGTGTCGAGGTTGAACGAGGCCAACAATTGATTGAACGCCTCCTCGGCCACACGTCTAAATCGACAGCTTTAACAAAAGTACTCCAAAGTTAAACAAAGATTTAAATTTAAAAACAAAAAACTCACTCCTTTCCTTTTGGCACCTCGTAGTCGACCGAAAGCCCACTCAATTCGAAGCTCATATCGAAATTTTGGCTCTACTAAATTTCAGGAATTTTTCGGGAATTTCGTCTCGGGAAACGTTCATTTCGGGCATTTTAACAGTGTTTTTGTCCACGTTGTACGCCGCTTCTCTACGCGTGGTTGTTTTCTTGTTTTCTTTACGTTTTTCGTTAATTTTAAAAGATTTTTCATCTTTTTGATTAAAAAAACTCATTAGCGTGTTAAAAGATACAAATCTAATATAAGTAATAGCGCAACAAGAGCTAAAGAGCTAAAAACAGCTAAAGCTAAAGAGCTTTATCACGAATTCAACATGAAAATGTAATTTGTTGTTGTTTCTTAACTTATTCCGTCAGAAGTTTTGGAAAAAGGAATCTTTCCGGAGAGGCCGAGCTTTTGACCATTTTGCAGTCCGATTTTAGATAGGTTTTTGCTAATAGCTTTTGATGAAACAAATAGTTTCTGAAAGTTGACGTTCTAAGCTATCTAAATCTTATTAAAACTTTCTGATCTAACAAGTTTAAGGTGCTTAAAAATGAGCTGCAAGTTGGCCAAAAACTCCCCCCTCCTCCGGTAACCGTAAAGCACCGGAAAAAGCATTAATCAAACAATAATTTTATTAATAACGATGGTATTCGCGTAAAATTATTGTTAAAATTCCCGAAATGAACGTTTGTTGAAATGAAATTCCCGAAATTTAGAGCCGAAATTTTTCTTGTCTCCAATTTGTCTGTCTCAAATTTGTCTGTCTCAAATTTGTATGCAAATTTTCACCTTAAATGCTAGCTTCGGGAGAACAATTTTCATTCATCATTGTCGTTTTCTCTCTTTTTTTTTTTTGGAAACCCGTTTTTGGATGTTTCGGCGATGATATCCCAGATACTCGTTATCACGAATTTTAAGTTTTTTTTGTTCATCAAAGGTTGAAAGTGAGAAAATGACTGTTTACGACAGTACTGTAGTTAGTCATTGCCTCACTACAATACCGGGATATAAAGTATTCCAATATCTTGACTGATTTTAGGCAGGAGTACTGTAATTAGACTGAATACTGAGACTTGCAGTATTTTTTGATTGCCTTAAGATCTCTAAAGTAAGTTGTATTCCAATAGCCCTGGCTTAGCTTGTTATATAGTATTTTTCCTTGTAAATTTATATAGTATGTGTTTATATAGTATATGTTTATATAGTATATATGTTATATAGTATATATCTTATATAGTAGTTTTCCTTGTCATATATAGTTTTCCTTGCAAATTTTCAAAATTGCCTCAAGCGATTTGTCACTATTCAACGCCATTGCCTTAACGAACCATCTAAAAACAACGCGAAATCCCCAAATTGGCAAATTAACGAAAGGCGATCAGCTAATTGGATATCTTTCAGAGAATGGGGTATTTTGAAAAGAGGAAGCACTGATTTCGATTCTTTCGAGTGAAAAAGACAAAAGAAACTTTCCTTCAGCGCAAAGCGATCTCGACTCGCTGGAAAAAAAACGCTTTCAAGTTCGGTCCGATCGTTGTGGATTTGAGTGCCATCTCACTCCATCCACAAAGATTCCCTGTTGAAACTTTTCCAATGTTGTTGTTATTTTTGATTTTTGGTGTCGTTACAGCTTGGCCGGTGTCGAATCGGGTAATAAGAGAACGAATTTCGAAAATATTCATTTACAGACGGCTTGCTTTAAATATATCGATTGCTTGGAACAGGCACAGTTCGCTTTCAAGAAGTGCGCACAGGGGACGGTCGTGGCGTTGGCGTTGGAGACGAGGGATAAAGTTGGTTAGAGTTAGACATGAGCACTAAAAACTACAAACGTAAACTACAAACGCTTCTAACTTTCTTCAAAGCTGTTAGATTGACATGATCTATAGCTCAAAAGATAGAGAATCTCAAGAGCGAGTACGATCCGTTTCGAGTCAAGACTACAAACCATTGTAACTTTCTTTAGCATTGATATTTTTCGATGTGCTTTAGTCCATTCGAAAGCTCTTGAAATTCTCTATTTTTTGAGCTATAGATCATGTCAATCTAACAGCTTTGAATCAAGTTAGAAGCATTTGTAGTGTGATAGTTCGTCATTTTTGTAGTTTATAGTGCTCATATCTATTGACGAACGTTTTTAGCTTTTCCACACAAGTGCTGCTACTCAATGGAGTGTTGTGAGTCGATGTCAAGGTTAGAAAAAACATTTGAATACTTAAATCAAGCCATCCCTAGAGAATCTCGAACTAGAAGGCCTCGATTTTGATTCTCTACAAGCATTGGTGAATGAGGATTCAAGGGAATGCTTTCGAAGAATGAACAAAAGAAGGACACCACTTCAGGTTTAAAAAAAAAGGTCCATGAAACTCATTTACCAAACTTCTAGACGATGTGCGAGGTTCCTGCTTTCCCGATCATACCCACCGTTCCACAATCCCCAAAAACTTGTCTCATCAATTTTCGTGAAGATCGAAAAAGTTGTGAACAAATGCTGAATTGTTGCCCGGAGCATATAAAGTTTGTGATTTTAAAGAAGTAAATTCAATTTCAGAAGTCTAATAAAAAAAAGTCTAATAAAAAAAGGCTAATAAAAAAAAGTCTAATAAAAAAAGTCTAATAAAGCTTTACTCAATCTCAAACTTTCAGATGTGCAGAAAAGTTAAACACCCTCTCGATCGCCTATCAAGAAGCTAAAAAGAAATGTGAGTTTTAGAAATAAGCACATAGATTTGTATTTATTTTTAGCGGTAGCGATAGCTGATCGAATGCTCACTTGTGTGTATCAAAGCCTTGGACTGAATCCGCCGAAGAGTGCCGCGAAACAGGACTTTCTCAGGGTTGGCAAACATTTTGATACTAATTCTGGGAAATTGTTAAAAGACTTGCATTTTAATTCTATTTTCTAATTCTATTCTCTTTTATAGAAACATCGTGGAGTGAATTTCTCTCAAAACAATGCAAATCAAAATCAAAATACGCAATCAACAGTGCGATTCATTCGAAAGGAAAGACCGAGAAAGAATTTGAAGGTGAGAAGTGCTTCAAACTGCTTTATGCTTCAAATAATTCCTTTTCTAAAACGTTTCCGTATTTCAGAGTTTTCTAAAAGCTTTAAAAATTTAGAAAGAAAGAAAAGCTACAATAATCTAATCGAATGTTTCAAAAAAGCTGAATCCAATCAATTCCAATCCGAATTAAAAACAAACCAATTTCAGCCAATTCCACTTGCAAGCGATACAAACGATTTACATGCAAATGCTAGAGTGAAATCACCAGCATACAGAAACGCTCAGACATCATCAGATAGTGGTGATTACGCATTTGGACCTCAGAAACGGACCTCAGAAACGCAGATTCGGAAAGAAAACGCAGGAATTGAGAACAAATATGCGGACAAATTGATTGGAAACAATGTCGAGTTTCAGGTGGAAATGAAATTTGATTCTTTAATTTGAAAAGTTTAGAAAGAATTGGAAAACTCGGGTAAATACTCGTTTGGGCCAAAGAGTACGGTTGCGCCGAAAGAAGAGGAAAAGCTAGAAGAGATTTTGAGGAAAGAGGGGGAAACGACCGTTGATGTAGAGGTAAAAAAGGATCAGAGATGAAGATTGAGAAAAGTTTTAGACAGAAAAACAAGATGTTCCTGAGAAAACGCCAGATTTTGAACCAAGAAAAGATTTGGGAATGGCTGAAGAGAAGGTTTGGAAAGAAAGAGTTTTGAAAAGGCTTGATTTGCAGAGTCCGCGGTCGGAAAAAGATCCATTTGAGACTTATGATGATGGGACGAAATTGGATGAAGAAGCTGGGTGAGTGAAAAGGGAATTTGATTGGGATTCGATTAGATTAACTATTGAAGATAAAACAATCAAACTTATTTGTCTTACTGCCATAGATAAAGCTTAAAAAGTACTATTGAAGATAAAAAACATCAAACTTCTTCGTATTATATTAGAAATAAGGTGTAAAACGCGTCGCAAAAATAAAAAAGACAAATCGTTTAACATTTTATTGATTCAACAGGATTTTCACAAATGTTAGGCTTTGTCGCTCTATTTGAAAGAAATGAATTATTTCCTGTAGTCTTGGTTTTCTAAAATAGATACATTTTTATTTTAATTATTAAAATGGCTTAAACTAATGGCTTTCCAACTTGGCTGATGAAATGATTTGACCTTTCAGAGTAGCTTCTGTTGTTCAAACTTCTAATGGCACAACCCTGATCACCGAGGGTGAGACAACGACTGCACCAACGCTCATAACGGTAGGTAGACAAGGGTCACGGTGACTATATGCCAATCAAGGGCAAAATGTTGAGATACTGTTGCGAAATAGAGCAGTAGCTATATAGGCTTAAACTAATCGAAAAATCTTGCTGCACTAAATTTCTTCATACATTTCTGTAATCAAACGGTGAGACTCATGCAGTTTTCTAGACTCCAACTGAATCAAAAACTGCCGCCCCTGAAGTGACAGTGACAGAAGTGACAGAAGCACAACCACAAGAGGGAAACGATGAGAAGTTGGAGAAAATGAAGTCACCAACTTCCCTTGAAGCTACGGATATGCAGTCAACAACAGTTGCAACTGCTAATGAAGCTGGAAATTATAAAGAGAGGTTTAAAAGATAAGGAGAAGTTAAAGATCGTAAAATTTAGAGTCGATCTAGTGAAGTATTTGCTGTCATCAGCTGATTCATTTGAATCTCAACTCTATTTGCAGGTGGGAATGTAGAAGTTAGGGAAGGGTGATTTTTTTTGGGTAATGTATTCCAAAATAGTCCGTACAGTATGAAAAAGTAGTCCAAAATGCTAAAACTAGTACAGTATGCCGGAAAAAAGATGTAGGAGACAAAGAAGTAGGTACTTAGTTATGTATTTAGTTGGCGGCTGAAAATAAATACGAAGAGCTTGAGAGGATCGCGGCGGAGAAGAGAAAACGCGTCACTGATAGCACGGGGAATACGGTAAGTGTAAAAGAACTGATAGATATGCACCGTAATACCTCGTCTACGGTGGGTAAATGTTGAAATGAGCACACTTGTTCGTTACGAAGTACTACAGCCCAGAAAACACCAATATTAATCACCAATATTAATCATCAATATTAATCTTATTAATCCATCAAATTCCAGGGACAATAACGCTCGACTTGATCAAAAGCAATACTATTTTTTTTGATAAACCCTATGCAATATATTTTATTCTCTTCAATTTCAACGTTTAGTGTTGTTTATTTTGATTCGTTTCTCGTTCTCTTTGTTTCCTTCTGTCAGTGTTTTGCAAAAATACCTACTATGCATTAGAACTTAATCTGAAGCTGGGTATTGGCCTTTGTTTTAATAAAAATTCGTAAAAACAACACATATCCAACGCAAGATAATTTGATCAACGTTCATCAACTCACTCAACAAAAGAAATACATCAACTAACTTACTAAAAGACACTAACTCGCTTAAATACAGTAGCTTCGAATTTCCGACAAAATCGCAATACCCTTTAAAAAAAAATTTTCAAGAAAATTTTATTTTTTTTATCATTTTATTTCCCTTGCTCGTATTCGTGGGCTTGTCAATCTTTCACAACTTTTTGATTTCAAAAGCTCCTTGTAATTTCTCCATTCTTCCACCTACACTACGTTCCTCAGTGCATCGAAACACTGTTCGCTTTTAGCTTTGAGCGCGCACAAACTCAAATATGAATTGTCATCACAGACACCATTGAATTTCATTTAGTCATCTTACTTGAGAAATTTCTTGCACTCTTTTGCTTCATTTTATTGATTTTTCATCCAGTAATTTAAAAGCTTACAAATTCTTTGCTTTAGACTGAAATCCTGCTAATTTCTACAACATCTTGTACAAAATGGCACAAGTCCCAACGTAAGTTATTTGACGTCAAAGTATTGTAATTATTTGTTCTTTAGTGCTCAAGATGAGAAGGAGAAGAAAAACGAACAGCTTGCAACTGCAATTCTCAAGGAAAAGCCAAAGCCGAACCGTCTCATTGTCGATCAAAGCGAGAAAGATGACAACTCTGTGATTGCATTGTCTCAAGCAAAAATGGACGAGCTTGGACTTTTCCGAGGAGACACCGTGGCACTGAAAGGCAAGAAGCGTCGCGAGACGGTGTGCATCGTTTTGGCTGATGACGCTTGTCCAAATGACAAGATCCGGATGAATCGTGTTGTTCGCCACAATCTTCGTGTTCGTCTCGGTGACGTCGTTAGGTAAAAATTTTTAAAACGCAATCCTATTCTCTGTTTAGTGTGACGGCCGCTCCAAACATCAGCTACGGAAAACGTGTGCATGTATTGCCAATTGATGACACGGTTGAAGGCTTAACTGGGTATCGATTAATTTTTAATAACTATTATGATTTTGGTTTAGAAATCTCTTTGAAGTGTTCTTGAAGCCGTACTTTGTTGAAGCTTATCGTCCTTTGCACAAAGGCGACATCTTTACTGTGAATGCTGCTATGCGCAATGTTGAATTCAAAGTTTTGATTTTATCACTGACTTTTTACAATTACTTCAGGTCATTGAAACCGACCCATCTCCATCATGCATCGTTGCACCAGACACTGTCATTCATTACGAAGGTGAGGCCATCAAGAGAGAAGATGAGGAGGAGAACATGAACGATGTTGGATATGACGACATTGGAGGGGTATCCTTAACCTTATGTGCTGCAACTAAATGAAATGTTTAGGCTAGGAAGCAACTTGCACAAATCAAAGAAATGGTTGAACTTCCACTTCGTCATCCTCAGCTCTTCAAGGCAATTGGTATCAAGCCACCTCGTGGAATTCTTCTCTATGGACCTCCTGGAACTGGTAAAACACTGATTGCTCGTGCTGTTGCGAATGAGACTGGAGCATTCTTCTTCCTTATCAATGGTTGGTATTTTAACACATCTTAAAGTCAAAAATCAGTCTCTTTTTATTTTTGTTATTTTAGGCCCTGAAATCATGTCGAAGCTCGCTGGTGAATCCGAGTCTAACTTGAGGAAAGCTTTTGAAGAATGCGAAAAGAACAGTCCTGCCATTCTTTTTATTGACGAAATCGACGCTATTGCACCAAAGCGTGAGAAGACGCACGGAGAGGTATTGACATTGTGCCTAAACTGAATTGACCAACTTTTTAGGTGGAGCGTCGTATTGTGTCCCAGCTGCTTACTTTGATGGATGGTCTCAAGCAACGATCTCATGTGGTTGTCATTGCGGCTACAAATCGCCCTAATTCGATCGATCCCGCTCTCCGTCGCTTCGGACGCTTTGATCGTGAGATTGACATTGGAATTCCGGATGCCGTTGGTCGACTTGAAGTCCTTCGCATTCACACAAAGAATATGAAACTTGCCGATGATGTTGATCTCGAACAGGTACTAATAAAATGCGATCTACTTAATTACATTTGCTTTTAGATTGCTAACGAGTGTCATGGTTATGTTGGTGCTGATCTTGCTTCACTCTGCTCCGAGGCTGCGCTTCAACAAATTCGTGAAAAGATGGAGCTTATCGACCTTGAGGACGAAGCTATTGACGCTGAAGTGCTCAACAGTCTTGCAGTCAGCATGGAGAACTTCCGCGTAAGTTTCCGATTTTTTCTTTATAAAAACAAACTTTAGTTTGCGATGGGTAAATCATCTCCATCGGCACTTCGTGAAACTGTCGTTGAAACGCCCAACACTACTTGGCAAGATATTGGAGGACTTCAAAACGTCAAGCGTGAACTGCAAGAGCTTGTGCAATATCCAGTGGAACATCCCGAGAAGTACCTCAAATTCGGCATGCAGCCATCACGTGGTGTCCTCTTCTATGGACCTCCTGGATGTGGTAAAACTCTTTTGGCCAAAGCAATTGCCAATGAATGTCAAGCTAACTTCATCTCGATTAAGGTAGGAGTGATATCATTCGTGGGCGGGTTCATGATTATTTTTAGGGACCTGAACTCTTGACGATGTGGTTTGGTGAATCGGAAGCTAACGTTCGTGACGTCTTTGACAAGGCTCGTGCCGCAGCTCCTTGTGTTCTCTTCTTTGATGAGCTTGACTCAGTTGCAAAGGCTCGTGGTGGATCTGTTGGTGATGGAGGAGGTAATAAATTTCAGGTCTAATTAGCTCTAAACGTGATTTGTTCAGGTGCTGCTGATCGAGTGATCAATCAAATTCTCACGGAAATGGATGGCATGAACAGCAAGAAGAACGTTTTCATCATTGGAGCCACAAATCGTCCAGATATCATTGACTCTGCAGTTCTCCGTCCTGGTCGCTTAGATCAGCTGATCTACATTCCTCTTCCCGATGAAGCTTCTCGCGTTCAAATCTTCAAAGCCAATCTCCGCAAGACTCCGGTTTCCCAAGACATTGATCTCACGTTCTTGGCCAAATCAACTGTTGGATTTTCGGGAGCTGATATTACGGAGATCTGTCAGAGGTTTGGCTCTACTACAACTATTTATATTAACTGAATGTTTTAGGGCTTGCAAGCTTGCAATTCGTGAGTCAATCGAGAAGGATATTCGCGTTGAGAAGGAACGTCAGGAGCTCCGTGCCAAGGGTGAAGAGCTGATGGAAGATGAGGCTGTTGACCCCGTGCCTGAGATCACTCGGCAACACTTCGAGGAAGCTATGAAGTTCGCAAGGCGCTCGGTTACTGACAATGATATTCGGAAGTAAGTTTAATCAAACGTCCTACTGTTTAAACAAAACTAGGCGGAACTTTGAGGTGTTTATTTTATTATTTTTGCTTTCAGATACGAGATGTTTGCCCAGACGCTCCAGCAGCAGCGTGGATTCGGGAACAACTTCAAATTCCCTGGAGAACAAGCTTCTGGTGGCTCATCCAACCCTGTGCCTGCCGGCGGCGGCGGCGGAAATGATGACGACGATCTTTACTCGTAAATGTGCATCACAACTTGTAACACCGAAAGCTTTTCTTGTCTAATTTATTTGTACGGGATTTTGTCTGAAAGTAGCAATTCGGTGTATTTCTTTCAATGTGTTATTTGCTGGTTTCATGTGATAAAGTTTTCAAAAACCGATATTAAAATTGCATTGTGGAGAATTTCAATTTGATATCAAGTGAAAGTTTCTGGAAGTTTATACAGGTGAAGAGAGAAAAGAGCGTCTGTCTACTGCTGTGGCATGTGCTTTGGGCACGAGTTGCGGAAAGAGAAAACCTCGTGACCATTATATCATGGCGCGCTTTTGAAAGTTCTTTTCCTTTTTCTCAAAGTCTAGCACCTAGCTGGCTCTCCCAATCTCGTGTTAGTAGCTAGATAAGAGAATCATTTGCTCGTTCGGAGATTCAAGGGTTTTCCACAACTTTGCCTTTGCATTCATATTGATCCAATATGAATCCAATACTTACTCGATTTTGATGTTTTTTGCTTTCAGGTTAGATCACAAAACTGTCTTGTTGCTAGACGACTCGCTGAAATAGCTGTTTGACCAAAAGGTATTTGTGCATTTGCTTTTTTTGATCATTTATTGTTTTAGGTCTGTACAGCCAACCCGTATCCCCAAGTGAACAACAACTACTCGCCCGAGATCATGTTCTTTTTTGATGAAGAACAAGATCAATTCCGTAAGTTTTGTCCTGTGTGTTTTACTATTTGTGGAAGCTGATTTGCATGTTTCCGGAAACTCAAAATTCAAGGGTTTTATCTCACAATAAAGGACTAATTAAAGCCAATACTTCCGGATTAAGTATTGTATGTTTTTCATAAAATTAATCCCTCTGATTTTTCTGGCTATGGAAGGTCAACTAGATTGCTCGCCCACATTTGAAAACGACAAATCGAAAGAGTCCCTTGTTTTGCCCGAGCGGCGGGGTGGTGTGTACGTGTTGTGTGTGCGTTCTCCAATCGATTTTCCCCATCTCATGTGACCAAGCTTTGTTGGTGAAAGAAATTTCGCCGCACCAGCGTTCGTGCGACGTCGCGCGGTCGCCGCTGGCGGCACTCTCCTCACCCACCCCCTTTGAATCTCGACGGTTCTCAGAGGCAGCGTGTTTGGCGTCGGTGGCGCTCAGGCTCCTTCTCGAGCTCGTTCTTCCCCATCTACCTGTATATGTTGAAAGTTATTCCTTCCGCTACTCATTTTAACGTAGCAACCCCAGCCAGCATGACTTTACTTTTTGATGGTTTCGTTTCGGCCATCGAAAATGGTAGTCTATTTTTTACACCTTGTACGATATGAAATTAATGCCTTACACATTAGCAACCTAAGCTCCAGTGTTTATAAAATATTTCCGAACTTTTGGGAAAAATACCAAAAGAATGTTTTCAATATTAAACTTTTAATTTTAGATGGATCATCAGCACATAAGAACGACGGCTTTGGCGGTTTGGGGAAGGCTTTTATGCCAACGGGAGCGAGCAAGCTTGGTGATTTCAACAACCCAATGCTGAGGGGACGAGCAAGGTTTATATTTTGGATTTTATTTATTTAATTTTTAAGCTTAGTTTATTTTATTTCCAAACCAATTCGATGATCGCTGAAGTTCCAATTAACCGATTAATCGGTCTATTTTTTTATAAGATAAAGGGTTTATTGCGTTGTTTACCACATACCGATCGCAGATATTTTTTGACTTCGCAATCTTGCGATAAGCTTTTTGCGTCAGTGTGATTGGTAAAAAATAATTTTTAGCAGCGATGACTCATTCGGGAACGTAAGAAGATCTAATGATGATTCGTTCTCTGGATTTTTCTTGGGTGATGATGATGATCGAGATTGGACTAGTAGCAGGTTTTATAGCATTATTTTTGCTTTACCAACTTGGCTAATTCAGCGAGGAGAATGAGGAACCTTCAGAGCTTATTCCAATGTCTATTCGTAACACGAGACGAAACCGCCAGCGCAGCTCGACTAGAACGGGATTTTTTGGTAACTTTGACGTTTAAATACCTTTACTCAATTTTAATTACTCAAGATTTCTACAAGATGCTTGATGAGAATCTCGGATCTGGAGCCTACGCTAGTGTTCGAACTTGTGCTTACATTCCAACTGGCAAGGAGTATGCTGTCAAAGTAACATCACTTGACATTTTTCTGAAATAATGCTTTATTTTAGGTTGTGGATAAGGCTACTGCGTCTCATACTCGATCCCGGATTCAACGTGAAGTGGACACTTTCAACCTTTGTCGCAACCATCCGAATATTGTGCAACTGATTGAGTGGTTCGAGGATAACGAGAATTTCTACATGGTATTTGAAAAGATGTACGGCGGACCACTACTTGACCACATTCAACGAAAGGTAGAGTTAAAATGCTCACTTCACACCTATTTTTATGCTGTAGAAGTGCTTCACCGAGCATGAGGCTTCACAAGTTACCCGGGATATTGCATCAGCTCTCAAGTTTCTACACGATCGTGGAATTGCTCACAGAGACGTAAAACCGGAGAATATTCTATGCACTGATAGGTAAGGCTTTTGCAAATAAGAGATTTATGACTTATTTAAGGGATCGCGTTTCACCCATTAAACTTTGTGATCTGGATTTGGCTAGCAAGATACACTACAATCCGGAGAGAATGGTTCAGGTAGCACTCATAAACCACGTCAACTATTGTTTTTGTGTGTAGGTGGCCAGTGAACCAGATCTGGCGAGCCCTGTTGGTAGTGCGGAATTCATGGCGCCGGAGGTGGTCGATGCTTTCGTTGGTGACGCTCTAAAGTATGACAAGAAGTGCGACATGTGGTCTCTTGGAGTGATTGTGTAAGTTTTTATATAATCATCTTTATTTGGATGCACTTCTGTCCTGATGATTATGAATAAATTTCAGTTACATCATGCTTTGCGGGTATCCTCCGTTTTACGGACAATGTAGCTCCGAGGGTTGTGGATGGGATTTGGTAGGATCAATTAACCCAAACAATAATCGCCATTCCTTTAGGGTGAACAGTGTGACGAATGCCAACAAAATCTTTTTGAGCGAATCCAAGAAGGCTTTTACGAATTCCCAGAAGAGGAATGGGAGTCAATCTCAGAAGATGCTAAAGATCTTATCCAGTGCTTGCTTGTTCGAGATGCAAAGAACAGGTTGATTGTTGTCATTATTTTGCAAGATCAAAGTAAACATTTAGATTCACCGCTGATGAAGTTCTTCGTCATCCATGGGTGTCATCGGGAAAAGCTCCTGATACGGAGTTGCTTACTGCTGGAAATCTGATCAGAAAAGACTCCACTCGTGATGTTCAACAAATTACCGAGCACTTCAAAGTGATGAGCCGAATTTTTTCTGGACGCATGTCGAATCAGCGTGAGGTTGAAAGGCCATTTGCGGGCATTTTGTTCAAAACTTGTTTTCAGGAAACTCCAAGCAATCAAACAACCACTGAATTGCGTGCATTGCCTATGCTGAAAATTGATGAGAATGAAACTTTGTCGCCGAGCCACGGGTCACCTACGAAGCCACCACCAAATTGGGACTTCGTTGAGGGCAGCACTCCAATCTTTAACATCGAAGCACCAAGTGATCCTCATCAGTTCAGCCGAAACTACTATCAAGTAATTTTTATCAGGATAATATCAAGTCAATTGCTATTTTAGTACGATGATTTTGATGAGGTCAGCCCTTCGAAAAAGCCAGGAGTTGGTCTTGCACAACAATGGGTCGGTGTTGCACAAAGTCCTTTCCGCCATACTCCACCCGGAATCGAAACGTGCCAATCAGCAATTGCTCGCCAGGTTTCTTTGTATTTCATCACTTATTCATTTGGGATTCGTTCAGGATTCATGCAAAGAAGTTTGCGATCCACGTCGCGAGCAAGAAGTGGATGCTTAGCGATAGATGTCAGCAAGGATTTGTAGCAATAGTTCTTCCACGAGCAATACCATTAGATTAGTCACATACGAGTCATTGCTTCCTTCATCTCAGTGCACAATTTAAGCAATTCTCTTCTGATGTAAATAAGTGGCATTCCTTTTTTGAAATCAACTCGTTTAATCTTCAACTCTCTTGTAGCATCACAAATGTGCCATTTTTATTCATCTATCGCATCTATCCATCAATATACTTAATTTATGATCTGTATCTATCTTCTCTTCTTTCTTTTTCCTTTTCCTTTTGTTTCATCTACTTCTAACACCAGTTGTCTCCTTTATTTCTCGTTTTCAGTTGTATGGGTCTCAATGATCAACGGGAAGGTTATGCTATTCTATTTGCAATCGCATAAACAATAATTTAACCTACCGTTTATCGTTTTTTCATCATGTGCAGGTTTTTTCTGGTTTATTTTTGCCTGTGTCTTAATTCTAGTTTTAGTGGTTGAGGCGAATGAGGATTCGTTCTTGAAAGAGAACGAATCCTCCTACTCGCTCTTACTTCGAAAAATGGGAATACGGTTATCATTTCTTTTTTATCGCCCAATGTATACAAACGACCCGAGTCCGTTCCATTCACTTATCCATCGATTCCCAACCATCACAGGCACGTTTTCAGAAGACCGTGCCTGTAGTATTTTAATTCCCTTTCTATCTTGCTTGTGTTTAACGTCTAATTTTCGATTATTTTTGCATTATATTTATCTCGCACATATTCTTTGCGTGTTTTGTTGATTAAACGAGGTATGCGTTTGTTATTGGCACGGGATAACTGCTTAACATTTTCAACAAATAACTTTCGAAATGGCTGACTTCCTTTTTGGATGGTGAAATCCCGTTGTTGAAAATGTTTTGACACGACTTCCGCTGGGTCGTATTGTTGGCTTTTCAAACTATTGTTTGTTTTAATTTTGGCCTCAAAATATCAAAAAAAATCCGAAAAAGGGCCGATCCACCGGGGCGCCAGGTGGTGCTTTTTTGTAAATAGCTGTACATTAGTCGAGTGCCCCAAATTCCATCCGTACAATCCAATCTTCAGGACAACTACGATTTTGCAACAATCTTTGAGATCAAGGAAAATCCTTCAAATTTACACTAAAATAGAAGATTCGATTGTACCAGTTAACTACCATCACCAACACTAAAGTAAACTTGAACCACTATCTCAAGTCAGAAATTCCATCTTACTCCTCTTTGTGGACGATGTGATTTTCACGCATCATGCACAAATAAGACCATCTTTTTTTCCAGCTCGCCATTTTAGTGTAGCAGCCTGTTACCCTATTGTGGTTGACTATACTAGCTACCATAGAAACAAGATCATTTCACTCCCGTAGTACAATCTTACTGGTTTGGATAAACTCAACATCATCATTTGCAGAATCGCAACCAAAAATCACATAATTTATCCAAACCACAATATTAAGGTACAAATTGTAACATAAGTGATCTTATGTTGAAAGTTTGAAAATACCCACGGATCATGAAGAATGCACATACATGATCACAATGTCACCAATAAATATTCAAAGTAAACTTGTCAAAAGTGCACGGCATGAAACATATCAGTCGCTATCCTCTACAATGTCGAAATCGTAAGTTTGTTGAGTCGATCCAGTCGTGTTTTGTGACGCCACCCGAACATTGAAAGGTTGCACGCTTCTAAATTCCACAATATTAATGAAGCAAGTATGCGTGATACAGTACCGGTTCGCCAATTCCGTTTGTAGCCAAAGATCCCTGCCAACTGTCCACGAATAGTTCATCTTCCTTCCCAAGTACCCAAATGTTCTCAACGAAAGGCTATCGATCGATTGATTCAACAGCGGTGTAAAGGGAACACGTCTAAAAACGCTCAGGGGTACGTAAATGTAAAAAAAATATATAAAAATATATTACAAAGTGAACAAATCGCCGCCGGTGCCGTCGATGTTTTGCATCCTTGCGCATATCTCGACTTCGGTTTTCGATTCAGTTGTGCTCCGGCATAGGTCCGCCCATTTCGACTTTGTGAATTTATACATTGACCGCTCTAAACAACGCCGTATTGATATTATGTTAAAGCTTTACTTTTATTCGCAATTTCCGAATCGGCGTAATTTTCAAACATTATTCTACTAGCGGCTACCTAAAATAGAATTTTTTAAAGTATTAATATTGCAAGCATACATAGGAATTTGCTTGTTTCAACATCCGATCGGAATTCTCATAGAAGACCGGCCGTCGAGCATCACATGCGGCCAAAGTCATCATGATTGTTGAAAGTGATTTGATCGATGTTGAAAAATTTGGTGAGTGTTCCCCTAAGAACATTAGCGCCTAAACATGGAAAGATCAATAATGCTTCAAAATTATTACCTACTTGATTATCTGGAAGCCCACTATTGGATAAAATCTCATCAAGATCTCGTTCAAGTGGTGGTCGTCTTAGGCGTGCTTCTTGCAATCGAGATTCTATTACCTAAAATTAAACTTCTAAATAAATAATTTAAGCGCTAGCGCTAGCAAAAGTCAAGCGTAAGTTAACACTCACCTTATTTTCCGGGGAATCTTCTTGTCTTTTTGCATAAAGAACTCGTCCAAGCATTTGAAAAAGCTAAATATATTTTGCGATGGCATATTCAAAAAAATACATTTATCTGTGTATTCGTTGTAGGCTGTACACCCGGGATCCAGTTGCCTTCGCTTGAAATTGAAAAATCAAAAGTTCGCATGGCACACCTTATGTCTCCTGAAAAGTGGAAAAGCTTGATAAAAAAAAATCTTTAACAACTACCATTCGATTCCTCCGCTATACGCCGTATTTCCTGTGTTGATACCTATAAATTTACGTAATTAGCCAAAATTTACGAAAAAACCTTGACATTTTTGTAGCGAGCCACCCTTTGCAGTGCTTTTCGGAGAAAACTTGCAGCACTGGCATTCATCGAAATCTCGGCAATGTTGTTTCGTCTAAAATCTATTAGTTTATTTTAATACTCACTAATGCGGCCTACATGATAAATTCCCGAGGGAAAAAACGTCGAAAGCTCAAGTCGTAAGTCGAGTCGCTGTCGGAGAAGATAAAAACGATGACGCTGTGGCTCAATAATAGCAAAGGCTCGATCGTAGCTCGAAACCGCGCCGGATCTCTAAGCCAATAAAAATTACCCTCATTATCCTTGCTCACCTTATGAATGCATTTGGAAGTTGCTCGACGATCATCACTTTCTTTACAGGTTCCTCCACCTCAATCATTGCGCTATCGAGACTACAATAATCAGCTTTTCGTAAAAAGCTGATAAACGACTCTTCTTCGGATGTCTAGGAAGTTAATCACTCAAATAATTTTAAAGGCTGACTTACTTCGTAGATAAATTCACTGTTTCCAAAACCTTCGCGTGTTTCAAACGTATTTTCCAGGGAAAATTCCACCACCTGAGTACAGTGTAAACATAAAATATACAATCTTTACCTCGTATCCCAATTCATTTACAATAACTTGTACGGCGGTCGTCTTTCCACATCCACTTGGGCCTAAAGAATCAAAATAAATGATTGAAAAAAGAATTACACCCGTCAACAGAAGACACCTTGATAAGCGACCTTTCTGTGCAAAGCATCGTTTAAAGTAAGTGCGAAGCTAAATTAACATCTTATTACCAAAAAAGTATGTTTGCCTCATCCAATTTGTTTGGATTAACAGCCACATCACTGCTTCGACATGGCGTGAGTGGATCCAATGATGTTTCGGCATCGCCCAGGTTTTCTCGAAAAAATCCTAAACACAGATCAGGCCTTTAGTTAGAAAAAATTTTTTGGGGGAGGGGAGGGGAGGGGGCAGCCGAAAGCCAAATTTTTTGCAAAAAGTGCGAACCTGCAGTTATATTCGAGCTTTCAAAAGTTGACGAACATTCTTCGGAATTGATTTCAAAACTATTTGCAATGTAGACAAATGAAACGAGCTCAACAAACTTTGTTTCGGAGAGTACATGCTTTGCGTTCCTTTTTCTTTTCAACATTTCTCGGTGACTTTGCAATCTCCAATGTAAAATTTTGTTAGAAGATTATGCTACATATATTCCGTTTACGTCAAAGACATCCTAGAAAAAAACAAGTTTTAGAAAGTATTTATTACTCAAATATCATTCAAAATCACTGAAAAGACAGAAAAGGAGCGAGTAAAATACGACAATCTAAAGTAAATCACAACCAATCATAAAAAATATATAGAATCAATGCCTTTCGTTCTCTTTTTCGACTTTTTTGGCGGGCGATTGTATGACAAATGGCTGGAAATTTGATAGCATCGGCTTCGGCGCGATTGCAAGTTTTGCTTTCTAAAATTAACCCTCAGAAACAAAACTTCAAAAATAACAAACCTTGTTCTCTTGGGTGGTAACAACTGGAGTGAGCATACTGTTATTTCTCTAAACTTGCGTTCACGATAATTGACTAACATTTCCAGACCTTCATCACATTTCGGTTTTTAAATCCTTCAGCCAATTTTGTCAGTTTCTCGCTTTCAGCTTCACGCCTATCCTTTTCAATCTTTCTCCGCATTTCCTCTTTATCCACTTGTAAATCCGAATTGAGCTCATACTGCTTGGTTTTTGCTGTAGCAATTGAAAGAGGAGTAACCATACCAGCTAAACACAGAAATTCATACAAGCTTAAAAGTTAACATTCGATAGTTAAGCTCAAAATACTTACTATTTTCAGGTGCCTTGCATGGGGTAATGAAGTGAGAGGTAGTCGCTATCTCCTTCACCGGTGCTGGAACTACTTCAGCTATTTCGTCTCGAGTTTCTTCTAAAATTATCGTAAACAACCTATAACCATTTAAACTCACCATTCATCATGTCTTCAAACCGCTTTTGCTGTTCGTTTATGTGCAATCGCAAATCGTCTACTTGGGCTTTCAATGCAGCATTTTCTATACTTGCACTTTCGCATTTTGCTTGCTCACTAAAGTTTCATAGTGTAAGAAATTTTTAAACCTTTACATGATTAGGCGATCTTTCGCTTCGTCTCGTTCTTTCCTGAGGTGGGTTACCGTATCTTCCATTCGTTGTATCTCGGCTCTTAAAATGAAGTTTTATTATTAAAAAAGAGAGACCTACCCGTAGAATCTAATCTTTTCCGGATTTTGAAGGCGTTGCAGATTTTCACGCAAAAATAGAATTGACCTAAGAGCTTCGTCAAAATACCCCTTCAATCTAAAAAAACAAACCTTTGCTCTAAGCTTGCAATATTTTGACGCAAATTGATGAGCTCGATCTCCATAGTTCTGCATTTGCAATCTCGGCGGGGTCCACTTTCGAATTTAGCCGTCGACCGAAGTTTGGCATCTTCCAACTAAAAAACTATAGCTTCATAAAATACTTTAGTCAAACCTCAATTTTTAGCATCCGATTTTCTTTCTTGTACTTTGTCAATTCGACGTGGAGTTTTTTCATGTCTTGCTCGAGATTTCGGCGTTCGTCAGCAAACTACGAATTAAAATAGATCGAGGTATCATTCGAAATAAACCTCCCCAAACATCGAATTCCCTCGTGAAGCAAACGGCAAACTTGTTGCCTGGTTGATTCCGGCCTCAAGCTCTTCATTTTCCGATTTTAGAACCTAAAAACGTTTCAAAAGCTCTTGCCGTAAATTCGATACCTTGATTTGCAGCCGCAATTCACCGAGTTCACCGAAAACCCTTTCGTATTCCCCGTTTCTTTCATGGAGTTGATCCTCTTTTGTTGCTAGTGACATGCGAAGGTCCCGGACAGTTTGGTAATTTGCTTGAGCTTCGGCTTCCAAGTCATCCTTAAAACAGAAAATCAGCTGCAAATATTAAAAATTCTTACGAGTTGCTGCTTGTACTTGTTGATTTCGAGATTATGTTGGGTAGTTTCATGATCCGAGACCTCATTCACACACAACAAGCTTTCAAGTTCCTAAAAACAAGAATTATTCTACCTATGCTGTTTTACCAAACACCTTATTCTGCTCCGTGAGTTCCTGATTGCGTTTCTCCACATCCTGCAGCTTTTTTAACCACGCCTCATGTTCTTCTTCGTGTGCAATTTGCTAAAATCAAAACTTAACTTTCGATAGATATATATAGACGATAGCTATTCAATTATAAAAACGCACAAAGGCTTTTAAGCTGGAAATTTCGGCCATGAGTTTCTCCTTTTCATGGCTGTTGGAAGGCGTCGAGGAGCTTGGGGCTTCTTTTTCGTAGCTCTCAATGTGTTCGTTCAGCATTCGCACTTGCTGCCGTAAGTTTGCCACATCCTAAAAACATAATTTGAAATTGGTTGAAAAAGATCCTCACGTGTTTGAGCTGCTCCTTTTCCTCGTCATCTCCCATTCTCGTGACCTAAAATAAGACAAATGAATTGTTGTCTTAATAAATGTCGTTGAAAGATGAATGTAAAACAGTAAAATGGTAATACAGTCAGTCGCTTGTATAAAAAAGCCTGCCAAAAGCAGAAAGAGGGATTTTAAATTGGCGGAAAAACGAGAGTATTTTGGAAAGAAACGAGCGCGTAAATTCGTGGACGAATACGAGGGAAAATGAGGAAAACTAGATTGGCAAGATTTTATAAGAACATTTAAAGCTATTCAGATATCAGTTCATTCTGTTGAATAGCTTATGTGATTTAGTATTATAAAAACCGGACAGAATTTCGACTTTGTGCATTATTTTTCTTGTTTGCAGTGGTTTTGTTTACGCAAAGTAAAGTAGGAGTTGACTCACTACAACCAAGTTCTCGATTTTTAATGAAACAGGCTAGAAAATCTGTAGAATCCGTACATTTATTGATCATTTTCTTTTATTTCTTTCATTTCAGTATCTCAATAGTATATTGAATTTTTATTTTAGGCGAAAGCCATGTCTGCCAAAGAACGGCGAGCTCTTCGGGAAGGCGAATGGGCGTGCACGGATCCGAAATGCACGGAAGTGAATGCGGAAAGAACACTCTTCTGTCAGTCTTGTGGGCGAGGTTTGGATTGTTTTTAGTTATCCTGGCAAACCGGCTGGTTTAAGCCAAGCCGAAACCTAAGGCGAAAGTTGGACGAGAGATTGGCAAGGATGCTGCCGAAAAGTCGAAAGGACTATTCGCAGCCGAAGATTGGATTTGCACAAAGTTTGTTAGATAATTTTTGCTTTACTCATCATTGGTTTTAGGTGTGGGAATGTCAATTGGGCTCGTCGTAACACTTGCAACATTTGCAATGCTAAAAAGCTTGGAGACACTGAACGTCGAACAGGTATTAAAAAAATTCCATGGCTTAGATAGTTAATAAGGGATGCCATGACACAATTTTTTAGCTAAAACATAAACTTCTGAGTCTTAACTTGTTTTGCACATTTTGACTCAATGTGGTCTTTAGGTTATGGCGGTGGCTATATGGATCGACAGGATGTCGAGTACATTCAACGTGAAGACGATGCTGAATTTGATGAGTTTGGACGCAAGAAAAAGCGCAAGCAATCTGCGGATGGCGCTAAAGCTGGCGAAACTCAGGATGATGAGATAGAAGAGGTAAACTTTCAAGAAGTGTGCTTATTGTGAACTTTTAGGTGAACGATTTTAATCAGCCAGAAGAGGAATCGGAGAAAAGTTCCGGCTCCGAAACATCGGCTAGCGACGAAGGAAGTGGCCACGAAGATGAAGATGAAGATGAAGATCTTGATAAATACGATCTAACCGCTGATGACACGGAGGTATGTATAGAGAGGTAGGATTACTCGTTGTGCTGGTTTTGGGGTCTAAAGCACTCGGCAAGCAGATGATTTATTTAAGTTCTTTAACTGGAACAAAAATTGTTTCAGTGAGTACTAACGCTAAAATGTTTCAGCTCAAAGACAAAGCCAAATCAAAGGAAAACGATGAAGATGATGAGAACGAGGAAGAAGATGATGATTTGGACAAGTAAGTCTTGGTTTGCGCTTTGTCGTTTACTGTTTATAGGTACGATTTAACAGCTGGAATAGAAATCACCCCTCTTCAACTTGCTGTCGCTAACAAAGCCAACGAAGACTATGACTCAGAGTAAGTCAAATTTTTGTTTCTTTACATGTTTTTAATTTTTTAGTTGTACTTGCTCGTGTTCTGGTGGTGAATGCTCTTGTAGCGAAAGTGAATCTGAAATCGAACGTCGTAGAGAAGAAGAGAAGAAGAAAGAAAGGGAGCTTCAAAAGGAAAATGAGAAGCAGAAAGACCAGGACCGTGAAAAAGATCGCGAAAAAGACCGAAAACGGAAAAGGCAAAGTCAATACATAAATTATAACAATATGTTTTTTTCAGATCTCGTTCGCGTGAAAAGGACCGCAAACGAAGCCGTTCACGTGAAAGGGATCGAGAACGTAAACGATCTAGGTAGAACTTTTTACAACATTTATAATTTATAATAATTTTACAACAACATTTATGATGTGCATTTATAAATACTGCTGACTATGAGTGCGTATTTTGCAGAAATTAAGTAAACTTTAAAAATATAATTTACTAGTCTTAGGTCCCGTTCGAAAGACAAGAAACGTAGCAGATCGCGCGATAAGACGAGAAGATCGAGGGATCGAAGCCGTAGTCGCGACCGACGGCGTGATCGACGTTGATTTATTACAGAAATTTGGTCTCATCATTAGGCCTTCGGGTTTTATTGCTATTGGTTATCTTGATATTTCCGTTATTTTGTTGCCAATAAATATTTACAACAACCTGTTGTCAAGAATTATTTGTTGTGTTGCCTTTGCATATTTAACCCTTTAAACTGTCGATTGAATATTTTGAATGGAGCTGAAATATTGAAATATTTTGGATTGAACTGAATATTTTTTGACGTTTCAGTTTGCTTCCCGAAACAATCAACTAGGGCAAGTGAGATGTCTGGTCTACAATTTCAAAGTCAGTTTTTCTCTAGATCTTTGCTAGACCGTAATAAAAAAATGTTGCGGACACAATAATGATATTTCTTGGCATCTTTCGTTCGGGTTTGGTCGCCTCAATCCCCGTCTTTCTAAAAATTAAATTTAAGGTTGAAGTAGGAAACTGGATAAGAGTGTCTAGATTACCTACTAAAGCAAAAGCTACTTGACCTTTAGCCTTTTCCTTTTTACTCCCTTCCTTCACACCATCGTCGTCCGGCTTCTTTTGATTGTCTTCACTCTAAAACTTTTATATAAAAGCGCTTTTAAATAAGTCATATCACTTTATCCTCGCTGGGAGCCTTTGGGACGGGTTTATTGGGCTCATTTATTTGTCGCTTCGAATCTTCTTTTCAGATTGAATCACTTCAGGGTCTCTGTTTTTCTCCTTTTCCCTGCTGCTGGTCTTCTTATTAATGGTTTTCTAGTCGAAATCTTCTTGTTGCTCGCAGGTTCTTTTTGTTTATCCTTCTTTTCTTTGCCCTTCTTTCGACTTTCCGATGAAGCAGTCTTGCCTCTTTTGGACTCCTTGAATTACTTTTTATTACTATAAATGCAAAGAGAAATAGTTAGTATTAAAATTTAAGAGCACCTCGAAGAGTACTTTGATGTCAAACGTTTTTTCAAATTCTTTTTCTCGCGGGAAAGGATGCTCTAAAATTACAAACTTTAGTTAAGAACACCAATTAAAAGTGCCGTGTCTTTCTTGGCGGCTTTATTCTTTTTGCGGCTTTGACTACCTTTGTCAGATTGAACAGTTTCTAGGGAATTTATGTTTGGAAAGAACATCAATAAAAACTATACCCTTTTCCGCTTGTTCTTCGGTACAGCTACGGCATGTTTGTGGTTGGTCGTCTTCTTGACGCATTTCTAAACCGAGTTGTAGGCAAATTATTAAACTGAATAAGCTCGCTTTGCCGTTGCTTGTTGCTTTCTGGATCGACTTCTAAAGTCTGATAGATCACCAATTAAACTATGAATACCTAAAGTTGCGCAATCGTTGTCTGGATTTTTAGATTCTTGTCACGGGACTGAGCTTCTTGACTCCTTTTTCTTTGAAGACTGGGGAATTATAGATCCCGCATTATCCTAAGTAAACAAATGACGCTTGAAAAAATTTAAAAGATCACCCTCTTTGCGCGACCACACGCAGCAAGTAGTAGAACTTGTATAATTAATACAGTGAAATTCAGCCATACAGCTTCGAAGAAGGAGATAACCAGAATAGACGAAAAGAGTAGGAAAAATGATTTCGCTATAAGCGAAGTCTCTTTTATTTGGAGGTTATACAGGGTGTTCGAAAAAAAGCCACTTTGTGTCAAATTTCTAAAAAAGTTGAAGTGGCTCAAAGTGGTAGGTATGATGCAAAAATTGTTTTTTGGGGTCGCAAATTTTTGATCTTTTGTCATGATTTTTACCATATCCCTATACAAAAAAGTTCCCATACCACCACCAAATGGGCCACCGCTATGAGATTTTTGCCATAAAATTAAAACTTTCTACTGGCGTCGTGATGCATAATAAACACTATTAGGATAACTACAAATTTAAACCATTACTTTATTGATCAGCGTTTCCTTGGAAAAAGGGGGCACTTCTTTAAAAAAGGCGAGTTGAAAATCTCTTATGTACGACAGATTATCATATAATGTAGATGAATAATGTAGTGTTTGGCTAGAGATCTTAGTTTATAATATGAACTCTAAACTCTAATATGACACCACGGTGACGGTAGAAAGTTTTAATGTTGTGGCAAAAATCTCATGGTGGTGGCCGTGGTGTTATGGGAAATTTTTTGTAGAGGGGATCATAATATGGTAAAAATCATAACAAAAGAGCAAAAATTTGCGACCCCAATAAACAATTTTTGCATCATACCTACCACTTTGAGCCACTTCAACTTTTTTAGAAATTTGACACAAAGTGGCTTTTTTTCGATACCCTGTACTCAAATTTATGAAGATATATTCAAAATGAGCGTTATGCAAGTTTTAAATTATTTTATTCTCTTAGGCTTTACCAGTGCCGACTTCAGCACGAGTGCCTCGAATGAACAAGGCTTTAATGGAAAGATTGGCGATAAGAATCAGGTAGATATTTACCAGTTGTTAATCTATTCTCATATTTCTTTTATGTAATTCAATCTTTAGGATGATGGCAGTGCTGCAACAACCGGAACGAAGCGTAATTTCTTCTCCTTTTCGTTTTACCAACAATTTTTTGATGTTGACACTGAGCAGGTAAGAAAATTTAAAACTGTATTGTCCTTACTTTTAAATCGCAATTTTGAATATTTAGGTCACGAAGCGATTGATGAACAGTGTCATTCCCACCCATAACAGTTTCATCGCTGATTTCATTCAGCCTATGCCTGATTTGTATGGTTGGTGATTTTTCTTTGATGTTAGTTAATTTTCTCCTAGGACCATTTTGGGTGGCGGTGACTTTGGTGTTTTCAATCGGAATCTTCTCCAACATTGCTCAATACATTGAGAATGAAGGTGGAACTGGGGAGTATGGATCCGACTTTCGAATGGGTACATTATTTTTTTCCGAACACTTGTAAATTCGATTTTTAGTAACGGGTGCTTCGACGCTGATCACGTCGTACCTGGTGTTCATTCCGTTGATTCTTTATGCCCTTATTTGGTACCGGAAAAGCGAGGTGCCTTTATCTCATTGACAAAGATTTTAAGCATATTGGTTTAGGTGCAGTTTTCTTACTTCGAGATTCTTTGTGCGTATGGTTACAGCTTAACGATTTTCATTCCAGTTTCGGTGAGCTAAGAAGCTTAATAAAAAGATTAAAGATGTTTAGCTCTTGTGGGTGATTGATGTTGGTGCACTTCGATGGGCTCTCATTGGAATCTCAGTTGCTCTTTCGGGAACCGTGCTTGTTAAAGCTTTATGGCCAGCTTTCAAAAACGATGCAAATAAATTGGTTATTTTTTATTATTTTACAATTTTCAACATATTTTAGATCTCATTTGGAGTCGTTTTTGGAATAATTTTCTTCCATTTTCTTCTCGCCCTTTGCTTTAAGGCATGTGCTTCCAAATTATTTTGGTCGATGTTCTTAATTCAGGAATATTTCTTCGACGCAGTTCATGGCCGTTCTCCTGCACCGCTTGGGAAGAACGAGGTCGATGTGAGCAAGCCACCAATTGGTGCTCAGGGCGTTCCAGATCACAGCAATTCTTCAATTGTTCCACCCCCAGGTTTGTTTGCATTTTCAAATCCAAGTGAATAGAGATTTTGCTTAGCCGATTACACATTCAATATAACAAGCGGGAATATTTAGTTCTCCCAAAACTTCCGGCCAAAGCAGAAAGTCAAAAGGTGCCAATTGACAATTCCACAGTTGTTGCTCCAAATCCCGATAGGAAGAATGACGTCGTGAATGCCGTTAGCCCTCCTGTTAGCGGCACTAATACTAACGCCAACGACACGAAACCGGCCGACAGTCAGCCAAATAACGCGGTTGAGCAAAAAGATAAGAAGGTTGGTTTATTATTGTAGTTAGTTTTAATCTTTCCAACACTATTTTGTGATGAAATCCGTGTTATTGTTAGTTTTGTGACTAAAGAGATGTCCAAGCAAAATTCCGCTAAATAACAGCTGCGACAACACGGTGTCATGATGCCAGTTTTATTTATCAAACACTATTTTTTATTTTCAGGAAAGCAAAAATGAAACCGCCGCCATTCAGTAGACATCGCCATGATGACTTCTCCAATTTTCCTGAAAAAATGTTATGGGTTTTTGCTTTTGTAACAAAAAGCATAATTTCGGGAATAGTGATGTGACATAACTGTGATATTCTTCTTCTATTTTATTTCTACTTGTCTGTATGCTTTTCTATCGCTCACAAAGTTCCGCTATTTCCGTTGTTCTTTCTTTTTATCTCGTAATAACTTTTTCGGTTGTAATCATGATTTACCGATTTGTGGAAAATAAAATTTACATCAAAACCAAACATGGCAATCTAGCAAGAGGGCGGGGAAAAGAGATAAGAATCTTCTGTAAATTGATTCTTCCCGTATAGTGGCCGAGGAAAGGTTTGCCATTTAATTCGTTTCCACGAAAAAGAAAGGTGAGATGGAACGAGTTTGCATAACGGGTGGCGGTGGATACTTTGGACAATCTGTGGCCGCCGAATTCCAAAAAGAGGTTTTTCTTATCATTTTTATAGTTAACCTTTAGCCATTTCACGTGAACAACCCACAATTATTTTATTATTTGATACTGACTGAGGTGAAACGATAAAGATAACGAACTGGGTTGAATTGATTTTAAAAAAATGGCCATTGAGACTTTCCCTGATCAGTTGGCATTTGAAATTTGGATGCATGAAAGTTAAACTTGTGCCATTGGTCAAAGCTAGCGCAGAATAGAAAATGGGGCTATGGTAGAAGAAATACGACAAGCTCTAGGATATTCAGCTTATCAGTGATTCTATTTGACCCTAACTTGATCGATAAGCAAATCTAGGGGTTACGGTAATGAAAACTAGAGTAATCAAGCTTAAATTTACAGTTATCTACAGAAATTTCAGGGTTTCCATGTAAACCTTCTGGACATGTTTTTCGAGGATACCCCACAAAATATCACACTCGATGAGAAGAAGCTAACGAAATTCAAGGTATTCTATTTTTTTTTACCCTCTCTATGATATATTAACTTTTTAAAAAAACTGTTCACCCATCATGTAGCCAAGAAGGCAAGGATTTTTTTTTTTGAGATAGAACTTGAATCGACTTGGTTTTTTGGATTGGAGGAATTTGACGGCGATTTTTTTGAACGTTTCTATTCGACGCTGTTTTAACTGCATCCCTTTCCTCTCTTATTTACAAAGATAATGCAAGATTCTTTCGAAATTCGATGAAAGACGATGAAATTTTAAAAAAACGAGTTTCAGGGTTCAATACTCGACGAGAAACTGCTGGAAGAGTCGCTGAAAGATTGCACATCTTGTGTGCACATTGCTGCCTATGGAATGGGCGGAAATGGAGCGGTTGGTGATTTATCGCGTTAGCGTTGGCTTAGTTTATTTTAATTGTTCTTAAGAATGTGTATATTTTATGATAGTTATGTCAATAACTAGAATTGCCAAGCCAGAGCTGTCATTTTTAAATCGCTTGAAAGAGGGTCACTGGTAACTAATCAAGACAACGCTGGCTCTCAAAAATATTTGCGCATCTCTCTTCCTTTAGTCCCTTTTCGCAAGCACCGTTGAATGACAATGACATTTAGTCATTTAGTCCATTTGGCCTTTTGTAGAAAAGGTAGAAAAGGTAGAAAAGGCCTTTTGTAAAAAGCTAGTCAGTCCCACGCTTTAGCAAACCACTCTTGTCCTCTAAAGCTCGAAATAGCATTGTATTCATGCTTTAGAAAAAAGGAGCTGTTTGCTGAAACGTGGGACTGATTTATTTTCTACAAAATCCCCATGTCTAGCAGTGGCCATTGAGTGACAAGTTGTTGTGTTTGGACATGGCGATATTTTGATTAGCTCCCCAACAAAGTCAGCTTCTTCAAAAAAGTTTCATTGGAAATATTCCAAATTTGGCAATACCTAGGATATCAATCGTAATGATATCAATTTGGCAGTACCTAGGATATCAATCGTATCAATCGTATCAATCAAAATCCACAGACTTTTGCTGAGAAATGTGAAGTTTTGAAGCTTTTGAAATGCGGGAAACTTCTAAATGTATGAGGCTAATAGTAGGCTAGTGGAATACAGTACACAGATCGTTTTCAGCTGAACAAAAAGCTCGTTTTCGCGACGAATGTCGATGGAACAAATCTGGTGATCGAGAAATGCCAGAAATACGGAATTAGACGGTTGGTGAGGAAGGGTTTTTTGAGAAAAAAAAGATTTTTGGTGTAGATTTATAAATTCGAGCAGTGTCGGCGTGATTTTCACCGATAAGGAGCTGAATTTCGCCAAAGAAACGCAACCCTATCCGAAAAAGGTATGGTAAAAGAAAATCTATTTCATTTATTTAACTTGGATAAGAACCTAGCTTTTTGGGGGATCTACTTTGTGCTCAGAAGCGGAAACGCACCGTTTCTGATGCAGAAAAATTCGTGCCCAAAGGCTGCACATGTACAAATTTCCGCGAAATGGTTCTACGACCATGAACACACCGGTTCAATGTATTGGGTTGATGGAAAAGTCCTTTAAACAAAAAAAAAAACGAGAAAAACGAAGGAAAATCGCGAAAAGCGGCGGAAAGGCTATTGATCTGAGGGTCGCTGGTTCGACTTCCACCGGTGACAATATTTTTCAAAAATTTTCTGCTAAGATTCTGAAAATGCGTGTCTAGGGGTTATTTTTGACGCTGATCACGAAACACATGGTTTTAGCCTAGGTTTCTGCACGGAAAACTAACGAAACGTGAAAACAGCCATTTTTTGGCTTTGCCGCCCTTTACTAAAATAGCTGTAAAAACTTTTAGAAAAGAGATATCTCAAAACGGTTTTTACCAATCGATCCGTCTTGAATTCAGCTTTAGGATGAGCTATAAAACGTCAAAATTCGACAAATTTAAGGTACTCTTCCAAGAAATCGGAAAGGACTTTTCCATCAACTCAATAGTAGAACCTATTGGTGGACTTTATTTTATCTCAAGAGAATCAAATTGGCTTTGATTTTTGTATATAATAGCTTTTCACAATGAAAAGATCTGTATTTTTTCTTAAAACACTCAGATTTCCGCGAAGAATTGAGGATTTTGATAGTGGAGTTAGACAATCTTTAGTACTACTCCTTTAGTTAGACAATCTTTAGTACTACTCCTACTACAGTGAATCAAAAGCGATTGCTGAGAGACTCGTGAAAGAGAGAAACTCAGCTTCGTTCACAACCGTTTCTCTGCGATATCGAGGGATTTTTGGGCCCGGCGAGCCGCGATCAACGAATCGAGCTGCGGTTGGGTATTTTCTTGGTTCTTGAAACGAAAACCGGAGACAGATCAGGCGTGATCTTTGGGCTAAAAACAACCGTCGTATAGTCTTAGGCGGCAAACTGGCTTTGTGCAGCTTCAACCACTAATAAGCTCTCAAATTGGTCACTTTTACAGGAAATCATCTATCGAGGTCTCTTTTTCGCCAAAATCGAGCACAGTCAACCGGCTTACACTCAATTCAGTGGACTTTACAATACAGCCAGGGTGATTTTTAAGTGGTTTTCAAAGATCGGTTGATATTTATATGGTTTTCAAAGATCTCTGTTGTTTAACTTCTTTGTTATCAGAAGTCTTATTGGCTTGTTGTGTTGCCAACAGAAAGTGTTGGCTTAAAGATATTTTGATGGCTACTTTGTCTTTGTATAACGAAAGAGTTTATAGCCTAAAAATTTGAAACTAAAGTCTTTAGTGAGAATTTTTCACAAAAAGCTAACTATTCTTTAGCAAATCTATCGCTAGCAATCTAGCTAACTAATCGCTAACTAACTATAGCAAATCTATCGCTAACTAATCTGTTTACAAACAATTCTTTAGCTAAATATTTTATTTTTGAGAAAAGATTTCTAAAAACGGATAGGCAAGCTTTAGGCATGTTTCCTCGCTGATAAAGCCATCAGAGAACGGCCAGAGCAAGTCGGTGAGTGAACAGAAAACAGAAAAAGATATCACATATTTAGAGAAAAGATTTTTAGTGTTAAAATTTTACATAAGATTGATATTTTCAGGCGGTAAAGCATATCACATTGTTGATGGGGGACCACCGGTGGAAAGCTGGCGATTCTTTAACCCTTTATGCAAAGTGGGTGATCGTTTTTTTTGCTCGATTCAATCGGCAAACTTGGATTGATTGATTGAATCAATTTAGTTAACTCATGACCATCAAAACTCAGACTAATCCACTTTCTAAAACGTGCGACTTTTTGAAAAATATCGTAGCCTTGCCTCTAGCTTTTACGCAATTCACAAAGAACACCAAGGCTGCAAAAGGATAGATTGAATAAAACTTTAAAGAGTACAGTAGTCGAGAAAGTTGCTATTTTTTAGAAAACGGATTGAGATCTTGCACAGTCAATTCTTGCATTTCAATATAAAAAGGACAGTAGTTTCTTTAAAAAGATCTAGAAAAGGCAGCAGCTTCTACAACTTTACAGTAACCTCTACAACTTTACAGTAACCTCTACAACTTTACAGTAACCTCTACAACTTTACAGTAACCTCTACAACTTTACAGTAACCTCTACAACTTTACAGTAGCTTCACGTTTTAAGTACAGTAGTCTAAAATTATGTTAAGTATTGTCTAAAGAATACTATAGTTGTAGGATGACATGAAATTCATAAATATCAGAACGATGAAAGTGGTAGATACGTTTAAATCTCTATTCTTGAGTATCTTCAATAAGTACATCTCGATTTTCGACTATATTCAGTAGTGAATCTCATATTCAACTCAACTTCTCAGGTTTTAAATCGTTCTGAGCCATGGCTGCGTCTCCCTTTCTGGCTGGTTTTCTATTTTGCGTGGTTGAGCGAAATTGGACATGAATATTTCGGTCTACCCTCAACATTATTGCGTCTAGAGGTGATTTTTAAAATAAATAATAAAGTTCGCCGTGGCGCAGTCGAGAGCACGCTTTTCTACAACCCACACGACCCGGGTTCGACCCCCATAGTGCCACTCCATTTTGAATTTTTTGATTTTTATTTTAAATAACACAACTACAATGTATTCTAAGGTTTTCTAAAGAAGTGTTCGCTTTATTGGTTAAAAGACGGTCTAGAAAATGCCAGATAGACTATATGCCGTATTTTCTCCAATAGTAGTGCACCCTGAGCGTCGCCTAAATTCCACGAAATCTCGAGAACCGCTTATTGGAACCTATCGATGTGGGGTCGGAAAATGTAGCTGATGATGAGAGCTAGTGGGGGATTTGAGTATTGAGCTTCTGCAAAAGCTTGGAAACCGTAAAATAGTCATCAACTCGGCTCGGCGGGGTGCACTACTATTAGAGAAAATACGGTATTTTGTTATTTTATTTTATCCAAATTAGTTTGTTTAAATTTCATTTTAAATTTTTATTTTAAATTTTTATTTAAAAATTTTATTTTTAAATTTCAAAGTAAATGAAAAAGCAAATCGGCTATGATATAAATAAATTTAAAAGCTTTTTTTTTCAGGTGGCTCTTGTTGGCATTACAAACACTTATTCAATCGAGTCGGCGCGTCGAGATTTAGACTACAATCCGATACAAAATCATGATTTAACAGGTATTATAGAGATATTCAAATAGCTTACATATTCATAAATTCGCCTGTTTTAGCTTCTGGATAGCTCTTTTTAAAGATTTCAAAGATTTCAAAGATTTCAAAGATTTCATAGCTCAATGGATTTCTTTTCTATTTCCAGAGGTGTGCGCCTACTACAAGAAGTTCTACGAAACGAATCCGAGTTTCCGGCTAGAGTGGATGAAAATCTTCATTTCCTTACTCATTTCCACGTTTTTCATTTTTTACTTTTTCTGGTAAACGCTTTTTATTCGCAAAGAAAAATTGGTAAACAAGATTGCATAAAAGAGAGTTATTCACTACCATTTCGGGTTCAATTTGTGCCAATGAGCTACCGGTGTTTCGGGATGGTCCAACATCTGAAAAGAGCAAGATTTGAGCAATATTATTGAGCAGCGGTGAAAGTCACCGTGACGGCCGGGAGCGCGCTTGTATACGGTCGCCGTGAGGCCGCAGCCTGTTGTCACCATGGCGCAGTAAGGGGCGCCTTTTTCTACGACCTACACAAAGCCGGGTTCGACCCCCATAGCCGCGCTGAATCCGCGTTTTTTAAAATTTCAGTTTTTTTGGCTTAAAGATGGCTGAGAAAAGCAGAGAGACACTGCTCTTTTATATCGTCGGTTAATTGAATATTTCTTTACTGCCAAAACATTGTGCAAAATCATTGTGCCAAATCATTGCGCCAAACATTGTGCCAAATCATTGTGCCAACCTGTTTCCAATGACTAGCCCCAAGCTCTGAGCCAAGAGGGCCCAAAATGGCGTGTCCAATCTCGTCATTTGTCCCGATCAGATCATAGTCCATCACCTGCAATATGCAAACATGTTTACTGCATAAATTTAGACCAAAAAAATACGTTTAACACAGTGACGACCGTTAGACTGTTTTTAAGGGATTTCAGGTATATTTTTGGCATAAGTGTTACGGTTTGTAAAGTCTTTATGTACACTTAGCTTATGGGTTTTCAGGACACAACAAAGTTCTATAGATTTATTTCATTTAAACGATACAAAACGATACAAATCGGTTTTTATCAAATCTACGACGATTTTTTTGGTTCAACGACCTTTTTGTCAATGTGTTAAATGGTTAAAGGAGTGAATAAGTGAATAAGCTAAATAGCCTCTTCTTGCTTACCGTAGCCACCAGATTCACGTCACTCGTCAGCATTTCTCGGCTTGGCACGGGAAACGCGAAAGACTCGTTGAAAATCGGCATCAGAGTCTGAATTTTGAAAATACTTATTAAATATTTTCAAAGATTTTCTAACCTGTGACTTCACAGCTGTCCTTCTTTTCTCCATTTTATTCCCCTGTTGCACCAGCCAAAGCTTTACGTATGGATCTGAAAATCGTATCGTAAGCATCGTATTGTAATGATCGTATTGTAATGATCGTATTGTAAAGATCGTATTGTAAGGATCGTATTGTAAGGATCGTATTGTAAGGATCGTATTGTAAGGAGCGTATTGTAAGGAGCGTATTGTAATGATCGTATTGTAATGAGCGTATTGGAATGATCGTATTGGAATGATCGTATTGTAAGGATCTTATTGTAATGATCGTATTGTAATGATCGTATTGTAATGATCGTATCGTTTCATTTCATTCAGTCAATTTCGTGACTAACATTTTCCCCGATCTCTTCCCAGTAATCCAAATATATGTATAGGGTTTTTTTCAAACAAACCTGAGCTTCCAGCCAATTTATCCTTTGCCGGCAACTCTTTAGCCCGAATCACAGAGACGGTGATTTTGTTGTGTTCCGGAAGATAGCAAAGGGATAACATCAACTCTCCGCATTGCTCCTAAAAAAAGATTAAATGCTTAAATTGCAATTTTCTTTATGGAAATTGGATTAAATTCGAATTCCTTTAAATTGCAAAGCTTTTTTGTCGTTTCAAATTAACCAAATTAACCAAATTGACCAAATTAACCAAATTAACCAAATCACCCTCTCTTAACGGTGATTTTGAATTCATTCGAAAGAGGAACTGTTTTTTTTTCGTTTACAAAAGGAGAACAAAAGAAAACAATGGATCTTTTCGAGAAAAGACTGAATTTGAAATGTTTTTAGCGAAAAAATAGACTTGATTTGCAAGAAAAAAAGAGAAAAAGAAGCAAAGAACTCAACCATTTCGAGAAGCCTTTTGGGTACAAAGAAATGCACTGCAGATGAATTTTGTTTTATTGTTTTTGTCCTCAATTCTTTTGGCATCCTTATGATTTGTTTATTAGAAAAAAAAACATCTCATTTCTCTATTTTTTTTTTGAAAAAACCCGACGAAAATCGGTTCAGAGGCTCGCGAGAAAAACAACGACTACGCGACGCTCCTCTGGGCATTTCATAATATTAAGAGAAAATAAGGTATTCAGCTATTCAGTTGTTTACGTTTCAATCAATCTGTGGGCCAATTTTGAAGTAAAATTCAAAAGTACACTACTGGACAATGAAATATCATATTTGAAAAAAAGATCGTCACACTTTCGCGCGCCTGTAACTCCCTTGTCTTTACCGTATTTCTAAATATTAATATTACCATTGTGTAGCCCTTGAAAAGAGCTTTCAGAAAATGTATAACACTAATAGTTTAAACGCAAAGACAAGGGAGTTACAGACGCGCGAAAGTGGCGATCTTCTTTTCAAATATGATATTTCATTGTCCAGTACTGTACGTGCAGTACTGTACGTCTAGTACTGTACGTGCAGTACTCCTGTACTTTTGTTTACCAATGCATTTCTGTAATTTTGTCAGTACTTTTGATGGCGGGTATGTAGCTTAAATTGCGATAGTTTACGAGATTACAATAGACGCATATTTTGATCAATCAAGAATCCCATGTACTTTTATCCAGGTTATCCAGTTGTTATTATCCAGTTGGTAAAAGAAATCCAGCAGCAGCTCCATTTAGCCTTCAAAAATCTCCCTTCTCATTTTCACCTAATTATCCAGCTCCGGTTAATCAACCTTTTAGTTAACAGGTGTTCCCAGCTGTTCCTTTGATGCCATCCCACCCCCATTCCCCTAGATTCTGATTTACCTTGCTGACTGTGGGCCGTTGCAGATGTTTCCAATAGACAGGACTATGCTCGAATTTCACCGTTTTCATTGGGAGAAGAATTTCACCTGAACACGGATCATTTCAGTTTTTCAAAAGCTATAGCAAGAGCTAAAGTTATTATTTAAAAGAAGGATTTGAAAAATGGCAGTAGATCTGATAAAACATGCCTAATACTTACTAGAGACAGCATTGTAGATAAGTAGCGTTTAGATTACGTTGTTTAGATTAAGTCGTTTAGATTAAGTCTAGATTACTCTTTAATATAGATTACGTCTTTAATTACTCTTTTAATTACGTTTTTCTTTTTTTTTGTCGCGTTTAGATTATCTTAATTACGTCTTTAGATTACTTTTAGTTGTCGTTTAGATTACGTTGTTTAGATTACGTTGTTTAGATTAAGTCGTTTAGATTACGTCGTTTAGATTACGTCGTTTAGATTACGTCGTTTAGATTACGTCGTTTAGATTAAGGTAGCTAAGTAGATTACGATAGTTATGATACGTTAAAGGCTATTGTATTATAGTAAAAAGTTTCCATGTTTAGAAAACGGATATCCTCACCGATGGGATCATCAGCCGAGAATCGATCAAAGTCCATTACTTGCATGACAAGTGTCATATCGTGTAGTTTTTTCATTGAATGACCTAAAGAAGTCGTCAGTTTTAGCTTTAAAATCGATTCCTTATAGTCAGTCAAATAGAATCGATCTTTTAAAAGTTCTGATTATGAATTGAGGAGTAGAAGATACGGTGCATTTGTGGATGTGCGGAAACGGTGCGGCGTTGAAGGGAATGCGAAGAAAGAAGACCATGAGGAGCCGTGGAAAGGGAAGAATCGCCGGAATGCGAAGAGGAAACACCACGATGAACACGGGGAACACATCTAGGAGAGAGATTTAGAAGAAGACACACTTCTATTCACTCTTCACTTGCCAGTAGAGATGCTAGAGATGCTTAACTCCCTCCCTTTTAGCGGCCGGGTTTTCAATTTTAACGAAAACTGTATCATTTGAGAGAGCTTTTACCCGATTCCCTTGATACCTCTTGACTCAAGCTTTCGATTCCGACCCCACATCGATAGTCTAACTTCAACGGATGAATAGATTTCAATCATTTTGTAAAACAAACAATTTCTTAATACAGATAATTGACAGAAAGACAGACAGAATTAACAAAAGTCGCGACCAAATTTTTCAGCACACATTTCTTTGAGAACTTTGAGAACTTGATTCCTCATTAGCTGACGTTTCAAGCTTTCAAATGAACTCTCACACAATAGGGTAATATTGTAAGTGGGCATAGATTTCGATCATTTTTTGAGAGCTGCCAAATGGTTTACCATTAAGCATCTCTACTAGCAAGCCTGCGCTCCGCTCTAGTCTCTAGTCATAGCTCTAGTCAAATCTAGAGGCTTGCTTGTACAACGATCAACTTAATATTGGCTGTAAAATTTGTTGGCATTGATTAGTTGCACATGCAAGCCACCAGATTTAAATGGGCCTGCAGAGAGCTGTGACCGGTCAAGCATCTTCACTAGCACTTCAAGTTGTACTGTAAATGAAGAATCTAATGCAATAACTGTAATAAATGCAATCGTTAGCTATGTCCAATCATAGCTAAGACTATATTTCTTTTATGTAAAGCTTCTAAAACAAGAAAATCATAGTTGAGTGATTGGGTAAAATGATCTAACCGAAATTGTAAAGCTTATCAATCTCAAAACGAGAAATTCATTCTGAAACCTTCTTGGCGAAGCGCGTCTTCGCGGTTGAACGGAGAGAAATCCGTGCATTGCGTGACATGAAGCGAGACGATCCATTGAACACTAGACAAATTCCAATCCAAACCGAATTCCACTTTCTCTTATTCGATTGCTCTGAAATTTTTGTCTACAAGAAGAGAAACCTAATTTCTATTTGTAGGCAAAATTTCAGAAAAATCAGCAAAGAGACGGCTGAGAGAAGGAAAGTGGAATTAGGTTCGGCGCGGAATTTCCCCATAGCTGCACACTTCAATCGGAAAACGAGGAAATTGACACAGTCAATGAATTCATAAACGAAATAGTTTCAAAGGATATTATCAAGAAGTTTTAATGGAAAAGAAAAGGTGTTAGTGGACAAAGAACACTGGATTTGCAAAAAACACACAACAACATGATTGCAAGCTAGTTAGATAACAGAGTTTTAAACTTTAAAAGCAAACTATTCCATTAAGCAAGCTATTGTTGCAAGGAAGCTATTGTTGCAAGGAAGCTATTGCAAGGCTATTGTTGCAAGGAAGCTATTGCAAGCAAGCTATTGTTGCAAGGAAGCTATCGAAAAGCTAGAAAAAGCTTTACAGAACTCTTTCTTTTTTAGGTAATCTAAAAAGTCAGTTCACTTACAGTAATCACATTTCGTGCAAATGCAATCCGACGGGAAAGCGAGCGGGAAAATGGCTGATTGTCGGCGAGTGATCGGTCGATTGACGGGTAGAGGTGAGGAGGATTGAGCACGCATCATGGCCAAGTGGAATGGACGTCGATCGTTGCTCAGTTCGATCTCACAACACAACTAGCCCAGGCAACAAGCCACTATTTATACGTCAATAGGGAAAAAAAGGCGTTTCCTGGTAAATCACCTGTTTCCCAACCCTGAAATTAATCGAGAGGTAAGCGAAAATTGAAAGTGAACTCATTTTGGAGACAACAAGAATATAGAGAAAGTATTTTTGGAAAATTCTTTGAGAAATTCCAATGCCGTGGGAAGAAAAAGGTGTCGGTTTATATGAATTTTGATTGGGATGGGTATTTGTGAAAAAAAAGATCAATTTCTTTTGAATAGAGGACTAGAGACATTTTAAAGCCGATCTGGATTCAAGCAATACAGCTCAACAAATCAAAAACAAAGAGAACAAAGAACAAAGTCGGCAAAGTTGCTCGGTAAGCGAAAGGTCGAGAGTTCGAGTCTCGGCAGTGCACAAGTTTTTGATTAGCCCTAGTTCCGACTCAGAGAGGGAAAGACAAAGGTGAACATAGTAAAACATAAATGCAGTCGAAATCAGCTCACTATGAGCAGAGAAATTTAATTAAATGTTAAGCATGAGTTGTTATTTTTAGAGATCATTTAGTAGCAATATCTAGCCAAAAACAGCCAACGATAGCCAATGATAGCCAACGATAGCCAAAGATAGCCAACAATAGCCAACTATAGCCAACGATAGCCAAAGATAGCCAACGATAGCCAAAGATAGCCAAAGATAGCCAACGATAGCCAATGATAGCCAACAATAGCCAAAGATAGCCAACGATAGCCAACGATAGCCAAAACAGCCAACGATAGCCAACGATTTCAAGTAGAAACCGCTTTTAAAGTAAAGCTAAATTCGTTGATTTGTACTTTAGTTATTATAAGATAAGCTTGAAACGCTACAAAAAACGCTACAAAAACGATAAGCTTCAAAAACGTTTCAATTTCAAATCTAGAAATAAAAGATGTATCGAAAAATAGTATAAATCTTTTCCTTAAATAACTGGTTTTGTCAATTCAAAGCAACAAAAGTTAATCAAATTTTAAAAGAAAGAGAAAGAAAAAGTTGGAATTCTCTTTGATTCAATTTTGATTGACCGTCGAATTTCCACGAAAATAAACAATTATTTTAAGGGCTCAACAAAGAGGTTTTGAGGGGAATTTAGCTTTTGAGGGGAATTTATTTTTGAGTACAATTTTCGTCGAGTAATTCGATAAGTCCCCAGGTAAATGAACCTGAGAAAAGTGACATTTTTGAGGGGAGATTTGCAGAGAAGCTGTGTACAAAAATGAGATTTTTGGCCTCGAAGATGGAGGAGAAAGGTTTTGTTAGATGAAAAATTGAAGTACAATAAACATTTATATCTATTTTCTTTACCGTATTCTTAAAGAAAGGTAAAACAGTAAGAGTTCTAGTCTAGAAAAATTTCAAAAAGTATTATAAAAAGATTTCCGAAAGCTGAGCCAATCTACCAAAGCCTGAGCCAATCTACCAAAGCCAATCCACCAAAGCCCGAGCCTATCTACCAAAGCCCGAGCCAATCCACCAAAGCCCGAGCCAATCCACCAAAGCCCGAGCCAATCTACCAAAGCCCGAGCCAATCTACCAAAGCCTGAGCCAATCCACCAAAGCCAATCCACCAAAGCCCGAGCCAATCTACCAAAGCCCGAGCCAATCCACCAAAGCCCGAGCCAATCTACCAAAGCCCGAGCCAATCTACCAAGCCCGGCATCCACCAAAGCCCGAGCCAATCTACCAAAGCCCGAGCCAATCTACCAAAGCCCGAGCCAATCCACCAAAGCCCGAGCCAATCTACCAAAGCCCGAGCCAATCTACCAAAGCCCGAGCCAATCCACCAAAGCCCGAGCCAATCTACCAAAGCCCGAGCCAATCTACCAAAGCCAATCCACCAAAGCCCGAGCCAATCTACCAAAGCCAATCCACCAAAGCCCGAGCCAATCTACCAAAGCCAATCCACCAAAGCCCGAGCCAATCTACCAAAGCCCGAGCCAATCTACCAAAGCCAATCTACCAAAGCCAAAGCTGAGTCTTGTAGTATCGAAAAGTGTTTGTTGATTCTTCTACAATAACAAGCAATCGTTGGGTGATTGTTTTTTGATGCAAACTCACGATCAGACGAATCTATTAACTCAATTTTTCAAATCTTATTCAAAAAGTAAATCTTAAGCAATATCCATGATCAAATAAATCCAAAATTTCACAAAATTTTTCAATTTTTCAACAAATGTCTAATGGTTTAAGCGTTTAGGAAAAGAAAGACAAATAATTCACAATTCCGAATAGAAAGTGAACCCTAAAAGAAAAGAAACGAAAAAGGGAAACTTCTTTGGTCTTTCTTCTCCTTTTTCCCATTCACAATCATCCCGATTTTCCTCTCAGTTAGACAATTATCTTTTCGAGAGAAATCTCGATCTCATTTTTAATACGTACTTAAAGTTCTACTACAGCTTAAGGCTCTACTACAACTACAACTACAACTTAAACCTCTACTACAGCTACAACTACAACTTAAGGCTCTATTACAACTACAACTACAATTACAAGTTCTACTACAACTACAACAACAACTCAAAGCTCTACTACAACTACAATTACAACTTAAAGCTCTACTACAACTACAACTCAAAGCTCTACTACAACTACAACTACAACTTCAGCTCTACTACAACTACAACTACAACTTAAAGCTCTACTGCAACTACAACTACAACTTAAAGTTCTACTATAACTACAACTACAACTTAAAGCTCCACTACAACTACAACTACAACGTAAAGCTCTACTACAACACAACTACAATTTAAAGCTCTACTAAAACTTTCAAGCAATTAAAGAGCCGTAAAAAATGTTTAAAATGTAAGATTTTTATTTAATTTTTGAAGTTTTAAGGTTTCCATTTTTTGGAGAGATTTTTCACGGCCTGATTGAGCGAAACGGAAGTGGGGGTGGGGAAAAACGAGAAAGAAGAAAAGAGATGAATCGAGAACGACAATTGACTCGTACTTTGTGTTCTCGCAAACGAACAATCTCTAGCCTAGTTGTTTCAAAATCTCTTGAGAAAAATGAGGAATCAAGTGCACCAGAGAGAGTGCGTTTATAGGGGTACAAAATACGGCAGTAGGTTGAGTGGCTTTGATTGGCCGTTTTTATCCCATTCAAAACACAAATCAGAAATCAGAAATCATTAATTACTCATTAATATAATATTAGAAATCGTAAAAGGATTCACGTGTAATATCTGAAAAAAAAAAATTGAAGAAATAAGGATGAATTGAAAGAATTCTAAACAAGTAGTAAGTTTAGATTTAAGCAAAATATCAAAAATATCAAAAAAAATCGATGTTCTCCAAAAATTCTCCAATTCTTTAATTCCAGGGTTTCCCTGGGCGAAAAATTAAGTTCATTATTTTCCAAAAAAAGAAAAATCATTTTCCAAAATAACCTTTAGATATTTTTAGCTCAGAAAAAAGCTTTTAAAGGCCACATTGACGTGGGGAAATGGAAAATTGGAGAATTGGAGAATTGGAGAGATAATGAGTCATTCGCTCAGGTAAACAAGCGAAAATTACCCTATTTTGGGGAAATTCGTATTTGGAAATGTAAAAATGAGAAAATTTGGAAAATCATGACGTACAAGTCTTTTGTATATTTCAAAATTGAATCTATTTTTGAGAAGTGGAGATTTTTTTTGGAATTGTGAAAGGTTCAAAGTGTTTCCTTTTTGATCTAAACAAAATCAAATTCCCTAAATTGCTAAATTGGAGCAAATGTTCAAAAGCACTGTAATGACCGCTATTTACAACCTAGCAGGGATAAATTTGAAGTTTCTTTAAAATATAAAAAGCAAAAGCAAGTACAAAGCTTGATTTCCTCTTGAAAGTTAAAAAATGTGCTAGTGCAGAATATAATATCCCGAAAGAATGATCTTGTATGGATTCAAAATTCAAGGCTTTTCTGGAGAAGCTTTCAAAAGAGATTACGGAATCGGATCCATTTGCTAATTACTTTTTGGCTATGGTAAAAGGAAAACGGTACAAGTTTCTAGGAAAAAGGTTAAAGTTCGGAGTTTGACCCGCTTTAACCTTATTATCGGGATGATTTTGTTTCAGAATAGGACAAAAGGTTAAACATTAAAAGATTAAAGGTTAAAAGATTAAAGGTTAATAGCACAAAAGGTTAATAGCACAAAGGGTTAAACGGGCTTGCCCAAAACAAGAACACCATCCAGCATAAGTCACAACATAACAAGAACACCATTCAGCATAAGTCTTTGTACTTCATAAGTAATGAGTGTAAAGGCTGTTTATGCTAAGAAAGATAGCTTGAAATTCGTAGAGAATGGTGTAGCAAGTGTAGTTTTGAAAAGGCAAAAATTTTCAGAGGAAAAGATTTCCGTTAGGCCTGAGCCTGAGCTAAACGAGTGCTGGGTCTAATGCTTTCAACATTAGCATTAGACATTGGTCTAATGTCTAATGCTAATGTTAAAAATCTGGAAGTAAATCAAATGCACCCTACACGAATGTAATTCAAATATCATTTCAAAGGAATGAATGCGGGTACCTAAAAGGGAGATGAGAAAAAAAGGTTAACACTCGTGATACGAGTAGGCAACGAATTGACGCTTCATCAACAAAAAATATTAGCAAATTCTTTCTATAATGTTAGACCAGCTATCTAAACAGAATTTAGAACCTTAAGAGTCGTTTAAAGAACGGATTTATAATTTTACGGCTTATTAGTACAGAATGAAAAGGCAACGATATTAAAACAGCGTGCGCGTGGAAAGAAATATCAAAAGCTGATAGAAAAATAAAGAACGACGACAAAACTTTAAACCCAAGCCACAAAAATACCGTAAATACTGTAATATTTCCCCACCCCCATAATGACGGTGCGGAGTGTTGCGTAGTCTAGCTTTGAACGTGTTTTTCTCGACACTGGTTTATGCTACAATGCGCGCTTAGGTATCAAAAAATAGCTGAAATTCAGGGCTATTTTTTCATACCAAAGACACATTTTTTGGAAGTACGGGCGCTTTGAAAAAAATGAAATACTAAAAAACTTTTGCAACTACGCGACTGTACGTGGGGAGGGTTGGGCATTATTACAGTATTTACGGGAAATTCTCTCGAAAAAATAGAAAAAAAAAAGACAGGGACAAAGACAAAAAAGACAAAAAAAGAAAAAGACGGGGGTGGGACAAATGCGACCTTTTTTTTTGCTGGAAAAGACCTTAGGAAAGGTCGTAGAGCTTCAAAAATGTTTTCATAGAAAGGAATCGTATACGTAGATTCCGAATTTCGACAAATCAGACCTCGCTGACACGTCAAATTTGGGCTAAAATGCAAAAACTGCGGAAAAGCGTTAAGTTGCGTAGTTTTTGCCTTTTAGCCCAAATTTGACGTGTCAGCGAGGTCTGATTTGTCGAAATTCGGAATCTACGCATACGATTTCCTTACATGGAAACATTTTTGAAGCTCTACGACCTTTCCTAGGGCCTTTTCCAGCAAAAAAAAAGGTGCGCAAATGTCCAAGTGCGCAAAAAAAAGGTCGCATTTGTCCCACCCCCGAAAAAGACATTTGGGGAGAAAATGAGACAAAAAAGCGACGCAAATTAAATGCAAATTGAAACGTAATTTTTTACGGAAACGGACGCGATCAAAAAAATTTACAAAATTTTAAAGTTTAAGCTGAAATTTGTATAAAACCTTTAGTAAAGTTATATCTTTTTCGTTTTTTAGTAAGAAAAGAGTGATGATCTCTTGGGCTTTTTTCGAAAAGAGAACAATTTGATAAATGTGCTGTGGAAAGGCGAGAAACTGCTTGAAATTGCGAAAAAAAGTGCTTGAAATGAACGAAAACAAAACAAAGCAATCAAAAAAAATTTCAAATTTTAGATTCCATATGACTGACTATAAAAAAATGAAAGTTTTGATAAGTTTTTAAAAGCAAACCAGCAAACGAGAGAGTTTCGTTGAAGCGGGGATTCAAATTGCGGCGATGAACCTAGAAATTTTCGTTATTTTTTTATTTTTTGTCAATTTTAGGTTTATTTTTCAAAATAAAGCTTAATTAGCTTATAGAAATATGAAAATTCGAATTGTAGTACTTTAGCCTTTTCAAAATTGATTATTACAACTTTACAAAAGTAAAACTTATCACCCACCCTTGTCCTTTCCCATTGTCTCGGGTATTGCATCAAGAAAACACGCACATACGGATCAGAGCTGCCTAAAAGTAAATGAACACATTAAAAGCACTTTCGAAAAGTTCAGAAGTCTGAAAACCGTATTTATTTTAATAGAAAGCGCATGCGTTTCTATAAAGCTCCGCCCACTTAAGCCCCGTTCACTTAAGCCCCGTCCACTTAAGCCCCGTCCACTCACGTCAGGAGAAAAAGTTACACCCAAAATTCAATTTGTGTCAATGACCAGTTTAGTGTCAAAAGCTCTGGGGCTGAGTAGCGCTGGAGTAGCGCGCACAGACAGACAGATGGACAGACAGACAGACGGACAGATAGACGGACAGAGAGACAGACGTCTTAGTTCCTTTATATATAGTAGATTTTTGACGCAGATTTTTTTTAGCGCATGCGCATTTTTTACGCGCAAATTTTAATAACTATTAATATTTTACTCTATTTAACTACTTATTTAACTACTTATTTAACTACTTATTTAACTAAAAGTGTAAAAAAGCTAAAGCTAATGAAGGAAAGCTAATAAAGGATAGATTAAATAAAAATATTCGACAAATCAGTAGTCTAAGACAAGCTTAAAACTAGGACAGAATTTGATAAGCCTAAAATTCATTCAATAGATTTTAAGCACATTCTTAAACGGAGATGAGTCTAAGTCTAATTGCATTTCAAGATTTTAAAGCATTGCACAAAATCAATGACCAAGCGGCGGTGATAAAGTTATTTTCCGTCAAAAAGCTCAATATTTTATTTATTTACATTCATTTATGCATTTAATTTTACGCTATACACTCAAACTTGACCAGTGAAATCGCGAATTGGCAAATCGACCGCTTCGAGCACGTGAACATGAAGTGTCGAGCTGTCCTTATCAAAGGAAATCGAGAAATTGAGTTTCCCTCGATTCTCGCTCACTACCTCCGGTTTAAGAGTATCGATCACTTGTTGGGACTATAAAAGAAAGTATTTTAATTTTAATTTATCACCTTCCTTACAGCGCTTTTCCAGTGAATCGCGTGACTGATTCGGTTTTTCACCGTCGGTTGAACGGGTTTCGGCGCCGATGTGCCCAAGACGAGATCCGGGGCGATCAGTTCGGGACTGAATTCGATTTGATTCGATTTTAATCTATTCTATTAGCTTCACCAGTTACTGACATGACTTCTAATTAATTTTAATCCACTCACGCAAAGAGTCGAGCTGATTGCGCGCACTCGCAATGGTCCATCGAATACTTTCGGCGACGGCGCACGAAGACGGCCAACATGACAAAAAGCCCGAGTAAGCCAACGGATAAATACATCTAAATTATAATAGTACATTTCTTTCACTACGGTAGATATTACAGTAGATTGTTCTAAAAGTTCTAGCCAGATCTGGCTCTGATCGGGCCAGATTAGAGCCAGATCCTAGCTCTGACCCTGGCTTTGCTTCACCCTATGGCCTAATTGAAGCGATATCCTTTGTCATCACAAAAATAGATCGAAATTGATAGATGAAACTAAAACTAGGACAAGATTACGGTAACTTTTCAAAAGTGGATCCATTTTAGGAAACGGATTTGATCGAGGAACTCGCAACAAAAGTCTCCAACTCATCCAAACCCTTACCCATTTCACATAGAACTCTTTGTACATTTGAATAGCAAAATAAATTGATAAATGAATAGCTAGGAATCAAAATATAGATAAGAAAGTACTAAAGGTGCTGCAGAAATGGAGGTGAAATGGATAGATGATTGGTCGTATATTCTCACAAAACCTTTCCCCTTTTCTCCATATTTCTCGAACATCTAATGAGTCCCCCTTTTTACTCATTTTCCCCATCTCTCCCAGTATTTTTTCGTAAAGAGAACTCTCTCACCTTTTCCCTCTTTCCTTTCCTTCCTTTCCTTTCCTTTCCCTTTCCTTTCCTTTCCTTCCTTTCCCTTTCCTTTCCTTTCCTTTCCTTTCCTTTCATTTCCTTTTTCAAAATCATTTGTGGATAAGCTTTCCTTTGAACTTTCTCCTTTTCTTCTAGATGTTTTTGGAATCTTTGTTCACTTTAGTTTCCCCTTTTCCTTCTTTTTTTTTGACTATTTTGGGAGTTATGAGCCGAAAATAACGATAAAAAGAATAGGAGACTATAGTCATAATGGGAAACTTTGTAGCTGAGCTAGATCCGGTTTTTTAAAACGTGCCAAATCGGTGCTCAAGCCTTTGCCTAGTACTAGATTTATGTCTAGGGATATCCCAAACTAAATCTAGAGTCTATAAGGCCTCTAACAGAATCTGGCTTAGTTCGCTTGTCTATAGCTGTCTATAGCTGTCTATAGCTGTCTATAGCTGTCTAAAGCTGTCTAAAGCTGTCTAAAACTGTCTAAAACTGTCTAAAACTGTCTAAAACTGTCTAAAACTGTCTAAAACTGTCTAAAACTGTCTAAAGCTTTTTCTAAAACTTGTCAACTTTCGAAAGCCACCGTATCTTGTCTCTACTTTACCTAATCAATTTTCTTTTTGAATCTTTCAATATCTTTTATAGACCATAACAGAATAGATCAAAAGATAAATCGAATAGAAAATAGAGACAAGGAATAAGAATAGAGACAAGGAATAAGAATAGAGACAAGGAATAAGAATAGAGACAAGGAATAAGAATAGAGACAAGGAATAAGAATAGAGACAAGGAATAAGAATAGAGACAAGGAATAAGAATAGAGACAAGGAATAAGAATAGAGACAAGCAATGTATGATTCAAGAGCAATCTTCAGCATCACATTGCTTGTCTCTATTTTTTGCGACAAGAGACAAGATTGCGATGATTTTTGAAAGTTGACAAGTTTTAGAAAATGAGGAACAAAAAAGGAACAGATTTCAGCCAAATCTTTTAGTTTAAACATGGCTTTCCCCAGTTTTCTTATGATCTTATGATCTACTCGAGTAAATCTCACCGAATTCTTCGATATGGTCACCGTTCCATCACCCGAGGAGAGCATGGCGAGCTGGAAATTTGATTTTTTTTATTTTATAATATTAAAAAGCAAATGTTGATCTCTTCAAAAGGTAAAAGTAAATCTAAAAAATGGTTTCTGATTTTTTTTTCAGTTATTTCTTTTACATAATTGTATCAATGGGGCTTCTCTCCTATTCGGGTACACATTTTTGAAAGAAAGGAAGAAAGATAAAAAGAAATAAAGAAAGAAAGAAAGATAAAAAGAAATAAAGAAAGGAAGAAAGATAATAATAGAAATAGAGAAAGAATAGAATAGAGAAAGGAATAAGAATAGAGAGGAAGGAATGAGAATAGAGAAACAAGCAATGTATGATTCAAGAGCAATCTTCAGCCATCACATTGCTTGTCTCTATTTTTTGCGACAAGAGACAAGATTGCGATGATTTTTGAAAGTTGACAAGTTTTAGAAAATGAGGAACAAAAAAGGAACAGATTTCAGCCAAATCTTTTAGTTTAAACATGACTTTCCCCAGTTTTCTTATGATCTTATGATCTACTCGAGTAAATCTCACCGAATTCTTCGATATGGTCACCGTTCCATCACCCGAGAAGAGCATGGCGAGCTGGAAATTTGATTTTTTTTATTTTATAATATTAAAAAGCAAATGTTGATCTCTTCAAAAGGTAAAAGTAAATCTAAAAAATGGTTTCTGATTTTTTTTTTCAGTTATTTCTTTTACATAATTGTATCAATGGGGCTTCTCTCCTATTCGGGTACACATTTTTGAAAGAAAGGAAGAAAGATAAAAAGAAATAAAGAAAGAAAGAAAGATAAAAAGAAATAAAGAAAGGAAGAAAAATATAATTTTGAGATTTGAAAAGGAAAAAAGTACTGAAATTATCGTTTAGAAAATCCTTTAGAAAATCCGATTGACACTGAATGAAGTGACATTTACCCAAATTTCAATGTCATCATGACAACAAGATTACTGTAAGTAAAATGGCTGTAAATTTGGGATACTTTAAAGTCTCACTTGTTAATTATATGTTAAAGATATTCAGGTTTAACACTTGAATATTACTGTAATTATTGTAGAACAAGAGAGCTTATTTGTCAACTTTTTCCAACGCTCTAAAGCATGTTCCAACTACCGTAACCCGTAACAAATATGGTGAAAATAAATGTAAATTTAAAACAGTATCTTTCAAAAAAAAAAACCGCCAAATTCTCAGCTGATATTCTCATCAAAAGAAATAGAATCTATTTGCTTTTAAATTTCAAAAAACAAAAATCAACAAGAAACCACTTCGAAAGGAAACGAATTTAGTAGACTTCGGAAAACAAAACTTAACCAAAACCAAAACTACCAAAACCAAAACCATAACAAAACCAAAACCAAAACAAACCAAAACCAAAAACCAAAACTAACCAAAACTCGCCAATATCTCGCGACTGGGAGGAGCTAGCGAAAATCTGTTTGCAGATTTGAAATCAGCATCCAAAAATCTATCCCATAGGCTAATTTTTGTTTCGAAATTTCGAGGTCGTGTTTTGGTCCTTTTTTCGGCCGCGAGATTTTGTGGAGTGAGAAAAAGTGTAAGGCTAATTTGCATTTTACATTAAAATTTGAATTTTGCAATTTTAAATTTACATGTTAATTTATATGCAAATTGAGTTTTGGTTTGTTTTGGTTTTGGTTTTGGTTTTGGTTTTGGTTTTGGTTATGGTTTTGGTTTTGGTTTTGGTTTTGGTTTTGGTTATGGTTTTGGTTTTGGTTATGGTTTGGTTTTGGTTTTGGTTTTGGTTTTGGTTTTGGTTTTGGTTTTGTTTGCCGAAGTCTAGAATTTAGTAAGATAAGGACCGAATTTAATAAGATAAAGAACCGAATTTAGGGATAGGGATTTCACTTCGAAAAACTCCCCGAATTTCAAATGTTTTAAGTCGGCTTTTTTTGCAGGTACTTCCCAAAAAGCTGAATTCTAAATTTTCGCCTAAATTTTCGCCTAGGTCAGAAGTTCGGGTTTGATTTTAAAATTTTTTTAAAAATGATTGAAAAATGGGCTTTCCTGAGCCTTCATTGAAAAAAAAAATCCCCTCGCCCATTCCCTCCATTGAAAATTCTGCTCGCAACCCAACGCAAAAATCTCTCGTCGCGAAAGTCATTTTAGAAATGAAAATGAAAAAAAATTCTTGTTATGACGTTTTTTAAGGCTTTTAGTTTAGTTTAAAAGAGATTCATCAAAAATTCGCTCGTTTCCGGGTTTTTTCTTTCGTGGAACTTCTTAACTTTTTGCTGCGAGTTTTCTTATTCATAAGTTTTTGAGTTTTTAGGGATTTTCTTAAAGCTTTAAATCACGATTTCTTAATGAGATAAAGATTTCGATGGCTTTCTTTTCATTTTAGAGGAGTTTTTCAAGATTCAGAAGGAGAAATTGATAAGTTTGACTGGAAGGTTAACGTGAACTTTGCTGGGTGTCAAGGTTTTTCTAAAGACAATTTTTATGAGTCAAACAAGGCTAGGACGTGCGTTGGTTTAGCCTGAGCTGGCTCACAGAAAATCTAGACTAGAGAGAAACCAAAGTTTCTCTCTAGTCTCAGACCTGGCTCTGGTCTCAGACCTGGCTCTGGTCTCAGACCTGGCTCTGGTCTCAGACCTGGCTCTGGTCTCAGACCTGGCTCTGGTCTCAGACCTGGCTCTGGTCTCAGACCTGGCTCTGGTCTCAGACCTGGCTCTGGTCTCAGACCTGGCTCTGGTCTCAGACCTGGCTCTCAGATCTGGCTCTGGTCTGAGTTACAAGTTCTAGTTCTTGATTGAAACACTTCTAGGGCCTATACTGAATAAAATTGGTTTGTACGAGGACTGTTTCCTCTGCAATCTTCCTCTTTTACCCGGGCGGAGATGCTTTCTCCTTAATTGATCGTGATATCAGATCACAATCGAAAAACATTTTCCCAAATTGACGTGCAATCTGATCAACTTGAAAACAATAGTTTTATTGAATTTACAAGAAGTTTATCTCCTTCATATGAAGGAAAAAGGTGGGGTAGGCTAAAAAAACTTTTGCGACTACGCGACTGTACGAGGTAGGCTAATTTTCGCTATTTTATTTGCGCAACAGGGTCATTTGCGCAACTGGGTCGTTTGCGCAACTTGCCATAACTTCCTTCTAAGTGGGCCAATCTTTATGATTTTAGTGTCAATTTTTAGATCTCAATAAGTACGCAAATTAGCCTACCCCAAAAAAGAGAGACGAAATTCTGGCAACAAACAACAACAACAAACACATAAAGCAAAGAACGTTAAAGATATTCAGTAAACGGGCTAAATGCTCTACATGAAAATTGACAATACAAATGGTAATTGATTGTTTAGATCCAAAATTTGAATTTGGTGTCAAATATTCGGCACAGGACTCAAAATCTCGTAGAATTTTACCGTCTAGTGTACTGAATCCCGATGTTTTCAGATTTGGTTTCAAATTTGGATTCCTATCTCAACAAATTTGGATTCCCTATCTCAACAAATTTGGATTCCTATCTCAACAAATTTGATTCCTTATCTTAACAAATTTGGTTCCCTATCTTAACAAATTTGATTCCTTATCTTGACAAATTTGATTCCCTATATCAACAAATTTGGATTTCCTATTTTATAAAGTGATCAAATAAAAGAATTTGTTTATGAATAGGAACTTAGTTTGATTTGACTTGCATTGGATTTATAAAATAGCCAAAAGTGATTTAAAACTCAATTAATTTCATGGAAATCAAAAGTTTTAAAGAAAAGAACTTCAAATTTGATAGTGAATTTGCGATTTGAGAATTTGCGAATTTGCGAAAAAAAATCCGAAAGATTTGTGCCTATTTTTGTGATGGATGAAGAGAAATCGAGATGGCAATTCAGGGGAAAAGGAAATGAAATACGAAGAGCCATTGATGCAAAAAAAAACAAAGAAAATATCCATCATAAAGATGAGCTGAATAGCTGAATATCCTATAATCTGTTGAAAGTGAAATAAAAGCTATTTTTGTATAGTTTTTATTCTAAAAATCGAAACTAAACATTTTTTTGGTGAATTTTTTGTGAGCTTTCGCGTTTTTTCGTGTCATTCGACTTAATTTCTATTCACTGAATCCCTTGAATATCTAATGAAAGTTATGAGGATACTAAGAAGTCCATTGAAATCACTTCCGCTAATCGGAATTGCGAATTGACTCCAGGAATGCCTGGAGAAGTTGAAGATGAGTTGTGCCTATGTTTCCGGTGGCACGACGGAATTTCTTCAATTTCTTTTTGAGGCTAGAGTTGTTGAATGTTGAGATAAAAAGAATGTTAATCAGAGTTGTTCTAAAAGTATTTTTTCAGGCAAAAGCCAAGGTTGACCAGAAAAAAAAGCCGTAATTACTGTAATAGTACCCCAGCCCCATAATGACGGTGTGGAGTTTTGCGTAGTCTAGCTTTGAACGAGTTTTTCTCGACACTGGTTTATGCTACAATGCGCGTTTGGGTATCAAAAAATAGCCATGAATTTCAGCTATTTTTTGATACCAAAGACGCATCTTTTGAAAGTACAGGCGCTTTTAAAAAAATGAAATACTAAAAAACTTTTACGACTACGCGACTGTACGAGGGGAGGGTTGGGGACTATTACAGTATTTACGGTAATTTGTTTAGTAAGTTGTTTACTATAAAACTACTATAATTTGTTTAGTAATTTAGTGATTTATCCTTTATGCTCAAAATATATTAATATTAATAAAAAAATAATATCAATGCACACATTTCTTAGAGTCAAACTATTTACGTTAAGTGCAACAGAAAGAGTGAGTTTCTATTACCGTAAATACTGTAATAGTACCCTACCTCCATAGTGACGGTGCGGAGCGTTGCGTAGTCTAGCTTTGAACGAGTTTTTCTCGACACTGGTTTATGCTACAATGCGCGTTTAGGTATCAAAAAATAGCCATGAATTTCAGCTATTTTTTGATACCAAAGACGCATTTTTTGAAAGTACGGGCGCTTTGAAAAAAATGAAATACTTAAAAACTTTTACGACTACGCGACTGTACGAGGGCGGTGGGGTGCTATTACAGTATTTACGGTAGGTGAAATGGTGAATTTGTTATTTTTCAACGCAAGTATGAAAAGAAACGAAAAAACTTTCTGAAAAGCCTAATAGCCTTTTCAGAACAGCCCTTTTCAATCCTTGATTACAAGCATACACTTATTAGACTACTCTAACTTTTATCTATATCAAGCTGGCAAGAAAGGCTTGTCTTGTCTATCAACATGTATGATATCTTTTTATTTATTGGGCAATGCATGTAATCTTTTCTTAAAAACGGAATTTGACTGGACCTTGTTGAAGCAGGCGAGGAAATTCCTTAGTTGACTGGACTTTGTTGAAGAAGACGAGGAAATTCCTTAGTTGACTGGACCTTGTTGAAGAAGACGAGGAAATTCCTTAGTTGACTGGACCTTGTTGAAGAAGACGAGGAAATTCCTTAGTTGACTGGACTTCAGCAAAGTCCAGTCGACTTTGTTGAAGTAGGCGAGGAAATTCCTTAGTCTTCGACCAAGTGCTCACTCGCAAAACCAAAAGCTTTCTTGAAAAG